CCAGTGGTTTTTTCTTGACACATCAATGTTGGTGAATTTCATCGTCAATTACAAATGAAACTATGAAGAAAGAATCCATCCTTCATGGTCAATTGAAAGGGCGATTTGTGGATTAGAGGCCGGTAGTCTATGCACGTGGATTTCAATGTAAATCGTTTTTTCAATTGCTCCTCACCGCACACCGTAGGGAGTTGGTAGTAATATTTCGTAATATCTTTTCAGGAACGTGGTGGCATAATTATGTCACTGTGATAAACAGAAAGGGTAGATAGGTAATTAAAGGATGATATAATTATGCCGTTGAGTAAAAATGTAAAAGTAAAATAGATAAGATTAAAGTGTAGGCCGGTCAGATGACATGTAATTTAATAACTGAAATATTTTGGACAAGACCAATGACCTGAGTCGGTCTGTTGATCTCTTTTTATTTTCTAAATTAGGTTATGGCTATAGAAATTAATGAATCGTTAATTGTTTATTTTAAGAAGAAATATAAAACTTGAAGGCAGCCAGGGGCGCAAATACCCCAATTAAAAACAGGGGTTAAAGATGCCATAAAAACCATGAATTAAGTATTTATTCTTTATCTGATTAGAGTGATAAGAATTGACGAATCGGGCGACTGTCCCCTGGATAATTTTTCCCTTGTCCCTGGACAACTTGCAAAGAAAAATCATCCAAAGAGCTAATAAACCTAGGGCGATTGTCTTGGGGGTCATTATCCAGAGGTAATCTTGTGCATTCTTTTTTAAAATTTTGTGTGAGAAGAAGTAATGTGGTACTAGAGTCATAAAGTCGATATAGTGTGGGATAAAATGATTTGGACTTGAAATAAATATATTTTTCCTTTATCTGATCAGAGTGATCGGTATTGACGAATCGGGCGACTATCACCTGGACAGCTATCCCCTTGTCCCTGGACAACTTGCACAAAATATCATCCAAAGGGCTAATAAACTTTAATAGCCAGGGTGATTGTCTTGGGGTCAGAGGTAATCGTGTGTGCAATTTTTATTCTTCAACTTGTGAAAAGATAATCATGAGGTATACTTAATAAGTCGATGCAGTGCATGCGAGACGAAATGATTTTGGACTTTGCAAACAAAGACAAACTTTTTATACAGTGACATTTTAACTCATTCAGGGTTAACTTTCTCATGAAAAATAATCAAAGTCTCCATTCACATCAAATTAATGTAAACGGGAGAAGCCGTGAGTTTTAGTGATCTTATCAATTTTTTTTAAATTTATGTTTATTGAAAGCCCAAAACGGAATAATAAAACAAGGATAACAAATAGATATTGACATATGTATTCAATGGTATTAATTTAAGAGAGTTTACAGACAAGAGATAAGCGTGGGGGGGGGGGGGTAATTAATTGTAAACAATTGATTATTTGTCACAATTCTATATTTGTAAACTGGTCTATGAGAAGTGACAAATCGTTGGTCTGAATATAATTTCCTTGTTGTTTCCCAAAAGCCATCGAGAAAAGGTCAAACGACGAAGAAAGATCACAAGTTTGCTCCACAAAAAGAATTTATTACGGCAAACAATTTGTGTTTACAAGCTCTCCGTTTTTAGAAGGGCCATGCCATATTTATATAGCATCTATTTTTGTTTTACGTATGATTGTTGGCAGAGAAATGCCTGGTTGAATTTAATGAAATGCTCCTGCAAAGATTCGATGTGCACACGGACTCGGGAGTTTAACCTCTTAATATATGTATTGAAGATCTTTTGTTCTTGGAATAGGGGATAGAGAGAACGGCCATGTCAGATTTATAATATAGGGTCTGTTTTTGTTTTACGTGTAATTGTCCTACAAAGGTTTGATGCGCACACATGATCTTCACCAATTAATATTGAAGATCTTTGGTTTTAGGAATACAGGGTCAAACAATAAAGTAGTACGAACGTACACCATTCATGCGTGGAAATAAATCAAAATCAAAACCAGAGAATACTTGTACAAGTATTGCTTCAGAGCATAAAATCATAAACATAATCTTTATATTTCATCCTACAAGTACCTGAGTATATACAATTTTTAATTTCAAATCAGAACACAGAAAGGCGATTTCAAGTTTCAAAAATATAATTTATTTGTTTCGGACATTATTAATTTTCAAGATAGAATCGAGTAATGTCAAATGGAACAAGTAAAAACATTGAGATTAGTAATAAAATGTTCCTCATAAGATGTATCCACGACTGGTGTTTATACAGAGGAGTGGTGTCATTTGAATTGCACAAGTGATTAAAAAATGGGGGCAGCCACAAAAATATTTCATATGAAACAATATTTATGTATTTCAAAAGAAAGGGGATCAAGTTTACACGTAATACCAAGTGTTGGTACCAGTCAAAGTGGTCTCAAAAGAAAACTTAATTAGGTGGTCTGTCGTAGACAGATCACCTATTGATTTCGTCAGAATTTTCTTTCTTATTTATTTATTTATTCTTTATTTTTATTTCTCCCCTTTTTTTGTTCCTATTTTAACTCACGATCAGTTGTCTTAATTTCTTTCAATTTTGGCACAGTCATTGGTTATTGTCATGAGACGTGACAGGAACAATTTCAAGGTCACCAAATTATCGTGACGTCATCCAGGCGCCATTTTGTGAAATCACATTATCCATCATATCTTCATGATGCGTACTCAAAGTTTATTCATATTCATATCACACATACTTCAGGTCAAGGGTCAACAGGTCGTGTCATCAAAGGTCAAACAAAGGTCATGACGCGCACAAACGCGCGCGTCAAAGTTTTAAATTGCTCGAAATCACTTAACTGTCAAAAGAGAGTACGAATCAGGTCATTTTAAGCATTTCAAAATTTTCCGTCTGTACGTGTCCCCGCGCGCGTTGTGCGCGCGTAAAAGGTCAAATTCAAAATGTTTACATGATTTGGATTCCTCTTACCGTAATTAACAATTTACATTAATTTCAGTAATTCTTGACCTTTTATAAGGCCATGAGCGCGCGTCAAAGTTCAAAATCCGCGCGTTCTGCTATGGGCAATATAATGCACATTTGATCAAAAACATGCCATTTTAAAAATCGTAATAGCTCTTCAAATAGTCCATCGACCCCCAATTTTTATATCATGGTTCGAAAAAGTACGAGTTGGAGATATGATTTCATACCACCTTGACTCGTACAAAGTGAAACAAAGTCATCATATTGGCATCTAAACTAAAAAAAAAGTATTTTGTTGATGACGTCATTTTTGTCTTTATTTAATTGAGATTATCTCGCTTAATGGTGATCGATTTTCTCCCAAATTTTGAAATGTTGTAGCTGAGATAATTTTCTACAAGAAATATGACATTTATTATTCATTTGGATGACGTCATCATAGTGAAATATTCAATTAAAGGCGGCAATGCATTATTTGGCTAATTTGCGTGTTATGTCTATGGGAGGTCACTTTTTTCAAAACATGAATCTGCATGACAATGTGTTTTGACCAGTATCTCGGTTGTTATTCAACAGTTTTCTCCCAAATTTTAGTATGTTGTACCTGAGATGATATGTTTTCTAAATCATTTTTCCGATAAGATGTCAGAATCACGCTCATGATCATGATCATGATCATCATCATTATAATGATGATAATCATCCTCATCAACATCATCATGATCATCATCACCATTACTATCATGATCATCACCATTACTATCATGATCATCATGATCATCATGATCATGATCATCATCGTTTACATGTCTATATAATTTCTCCCATTCTCAAATCTATCATAAGAAGTGAAGACAGACCACTTAATTCGTCACCATGACGAATTAAATTTTCTAGTTTTGTTTTTAATTTTGGGACAGGCCAACTGATACTTATCTACAAAGAGAGTCTTCGACAAAAATATTGTACTGTAACTCCTAGTATTGAGATTGACTGCATGATCTGCATGTGAACGATACATTCTTTAGAAAATTAGTCATGAAATATGGTTACTTTTAATGTAATAAAAAGGCTGAGAGTTTACTAAGAAGAGTCCCTTAAACTATAGATAGTTTGTTTTCAACCTCTAAGCTACACAAAAAAGGGATATATGTTTTTGCCACAAACCACTAAGTAAAATACGATGTTAATGCCTGTGATAACCATAAACAAAATTTTGACGAATAAGAGATAAATAAGGCAAATTAATGGCATGATCTCTTACAAGCACATTCTATCAGGGTAATGTAAAATTTGCAACATGATACCTTCAAAGAGTACTGCAAAGGCAATCATAAGAAATGAAGCCAAAATTTTAAAAGATATTTGGCTGTGAGATACTATTTCCCCCAATACAATCACTTCATTCTGTGAGTATATACATGTACATGTAATTACCCAAATTTCAGCAAATACAAAGTATAAACTTATAAATAGCAATCCATAACCATCTTCACAGGAAATAAACGATAATGATAACTTCACCCTCCCAAACTTTTTCTTCTTTTTCACTCTCTCTCTCTCTCTCTCTCTCTCTCTCTACAAATACCCACAACACAACCTACCCTGCCCATTTGACCCCTTTTAGGATTATTGGGCAATCCCCTGCAACAATTGCTCTATTGAGGAATTTCCTTCACTACCAGTAACTAAACTCCAAACAGCAAATCCCAGACCAGACACCATACATAACCCTAACCGTAAATTTTACCCTGAAATCAACTGGTAAACTAAAACCTACCCTACCTCTTTAGAGAAATTAAAGCCAGATCAAATGCCACCAGAGCAAGTGGAGCACGACCCCATACATATACATATAATACTGAGTGTAATCTGTTTAACAACTTATAATCGTAACAAAATTTTCAAAAAATACCGTAACTTAACAGCATTAACAAAAAGACACTGACCAAAAATCAAAGAAAATCAAAGAAAATAAAGACAACAGCATAACAGGATGTAAAAGGCTACATTTTATGAGAAAAAAAGAAATATGTTCTAAATTCAATAGAGCCTCCTTTTTTTTGGGGGGGGGGGGGGGGGGCACTGACCCCAATTATATCTATAGTACAACAGTTCAACAAAATTGTAATTTTTTAATCATGGGACACACCCTACCTCCATAAAATATGGTACAAAATATGGTTTCAATAATAAAATACACTAAAGACTTGTTCAGATATGCCATAAAAAAGCCGCCACAGATTTTTTTACAAGTAAATGAATGGTAACTGTGCGCAAAAAACGACTTTCATGTATTCACTGATGCACAATGATTGCACTGCCGATTAACTTCTCACTCGTGTCCTTGATTTCATATTGGTCTTGTCTTCTGACATATGTCGGGTACAGTGGAAACTCATTATAAGGTGCTCTGATACAGTCGAACATACTTTAGCGACCACCTGTATAGAAAGACCACCTGTCTACAAAGACCACATATTTCATGTTTCCCTTGAAAATGTATTCTCATTGAAACATGTACTATAGGAATCTGAACATAAAAAATACCTGACTATAAAGACCACGTTTCTTGTCTCCCTTGGGTGGTCTTTATAGACAGGTTTCACTGTATCATAACAAGATACCTGGTATAACAAGGTTATTTTCATCGTCCCAATGACCTCATTGTAATGAGCTTAAATTGTATCCGATATCATATCCGAAATAAATTTTGATAGATTTGTGAACACTTGTTGCCAATTTACTTCTCGCTCACATCCTTAACTTCATAGAGATCTGGTCTTTTCTGATGCATGACGGGTATCTGGGTACGCATCTTCTCAACGGCGTTAATGTCGATATCTGCGTAGACGATCTCCTCCCCTGCTCCTGCCTTTCCTATCGGTTCTCCCCTGGAAGGTTGAAAAGTGTGGAAAGAATTTGTTGGATAGAAAAGAGCATTAAAGGGGAAATCCATCATTTTGTAATTGTTTTTTGTCAAAATGTTGTGAACAGAGTCGTGATCGTGCAGTAATTTCAGACTTATCTTGCTCCCGGAGCAACTTTCTGCTGGACGACACGGTACAGCAGCACGAAATGAACCGGAAGCAACCAAGTCACCAAGCTATCCCAGGGTGCATTTGAAATGGAGGCATGGCGATAGCGAGAATTAATGCAAAGTCATTGTGAATATGGGTACTTCACATAAGATGATGTCATCAAGTCGATTGCCAGCTTTTAGGGCGACAATTAACTTCCGATTTTCAAAGCTTTAGATTTCAAGTTTTAAACGAGCCGTTTCTCCTCTGACAGACACTAAAATAGCATAAATTGATATCATAGTAGTCTATGGCTTCTAAGCTTTCCATTGATATTTAATTCATCTATTTCACTTCCTACAAGGTCTATAGGTCGTCGGTCGGCAGTGTGAGAAATCCCTCAGATTTTCTACGAGACTCACCATGGGTTGACCGCTGTGCTGTGTCCCCAGGCCACGTAGCCTGCACCTTCGTCTCTGGCGGGGGATGCGGTAGCAACGTAGAGTTCATTGTCAAGGGCCCTGAGTAAAAGCAAAGAAATGAGATGGACTAATGAGGTGTTGTGGTCGAGTGGATACGTCGCCGGACTGTCGATCACAAGGTCCGCGGTTCGAGTCCCGCCGCTGCACTAATGTCCTTTGGCAAGACATTGATCTATATTTGCCACACTCCACCCAGGGGAAGTAAATGGGTACCTGGTAGGAATTTATTCCTTGAAACGCAGCGCGCGTAACAGCTGCAATGCTAAAGCCAGGGTAATTATGCTGCATTATTGTAGAGCGCTTAGAGACTTCTCACAAATTAAGTGTTAGGCGCTATATAAGCACAGTAATTATTATTTAATCGATGATCCTTCATACTACATGTGAATGCGCTGGCAATAATTACTGCAGGTATTATTTTATCAAAGAGAGGGATGCAATTGGGTTTTAAATAAGTTTTAGAGTTAGGGTTAAACGTAGTGGTTGGTCCAGGGTCGAGGAAGGGCAAGTGGTCTATGCTGGAAAGTGACAGTGGAAAAAGAAACATTGTTGTGAAGCATGCGCATGTGTTGTATAATCAGATAAATTTACTATAGAAAGGGGGCGAACATGGTCTTACCTTGCTCGTTGGAGGAGTTCCCAATGGGCGGGGCCCGTTGTCATATTGAAGGCTCCTGGATATAGCAGTAGGTGGCAGCCTAGAGAGGTCAAAGGTTAAAAGTAAAAGAATTATTACCGAAAAGGTCAAATAAGGAGTAGGATCTTTACCACTCATTCAGAGTAAGAGTAATATTGTTCACATTACATGAAATTTTAAAGATAGCATACTATGCCTACTGACTTTTTTTTTTTCACTCCACTTTTGCAGACTTTGGACTAAGCTTGAGCCTAACTCCAAACCAAATGCCAGCTTTGATTCTTTGATTTCTGTCAGTAGAATATAAGCACTACAATTTGAACAAATAGAATGTTTTGACAATATAAGTTATGTTGCATAAAAGTAAAAATATTTCTAAGTAGAAATTCAGTGACACATAAAACATATAGATGAACAGCAGTGTAATTTAAAAAAATCAATAAAGAGAGAGCCTTAGTTTGAAGACAAACTCTATAATACAATGCTTTCTGGTCGAATTCACCCCGGAGCTGTTGTTATTGTGCAGGATTTTGCATCATTAAAAATATAAGTTTCAGCGCTGTTTCGTTTTACCTCTCTTGCAATACAGTTGAGCCAACTCTGCAAATCTCATGTCGTAGCAGATTCCAACACCAACTTTTACATTTTCTGCAACAATAAAAAGATGAAAGCACTTTGTCATGACATGTTCAATTTCAGAGCATTAAAAAATGTTTTAGGTAAAACAAAGTTCAAGCTTATCTGCCATAGTTTACAGGAGGGATTAGAGTGCTCTGCAAGGTCACTGGACAGGTGGTTATCTCATCAACTCAGCTCTCAGTTAACATAAGAAAAAGAGGATCATGGGGGACCAATGGTCACCGATTAGGCTTTGGTTGTTATATAGAGGGCGCAAGTAGCTACAAGTAGTGCAGTGGGCCTTTAAGAAACAAAGTGAAAGATAAGAAGAAAATAGAAAATGAAGAAAAGAAACAAGAAGTAAAAAACATCAAGAAGTGTGAATAAAAGAAAGAGATAATATTCAACAAATATGTGATTAAATGAGAGAGTTATTGCTAAAACAATGATAATGATTAATTAATGAGAAAGGGGAAGAAAGAGAGAGAGAGAGAGAGAGAGAGAGAGAGAGAGAGGAGATAGGAAGAAAGTTAGGGAAATATCAATACCATCTATAGACATCATTGCAATTACTATGAAATACATGTAACATGCAATAAAGAAAATCCAAAGAGAGCATAGAAAGAGGAGAGAGTAAGACAGAGGGATAGAAGGAGGAAATGAGAAAGGGAGAGAGAGAGAGAGAGAGAGAGTGAGAGAGAGAGAAGGAGAAATGAAGAAAGTTAGGGAAATATCAATACGATCTGTAGATGTCAGAATATTGAGGGGGGAAAAATGGTGATTCATTTTTTTAACACAGTGATTGGCTTTCATGCCTCATAAATCAGGAATCTTTCACACCCTGATATTGAAAAACTTTCAACAACATTCCTATTTGGGTGGCTAGTCTAATCAGGAAATACCACATACATATCTGTTGGCAATGTGAACACAACAAAAGAAATCACTAAACTCCATTATACCTGCAGTGAAAGTCGTCAAGTCTGATCCCGGACTGAGAACATCCGATTCTTTGAACGTAATACCTCCTGGCACATCGATGTCAAAGAGATGGATCTGTTGAGGAATAGACAATAAAGAAACAGTTACTATAAATTAAAAAGGGGGTTAATATATATACTTCAACGCAGAGTTGATGCCCTTTTGGCTCCAAATACATTATACGGAAGAATCAAGGAACATGATATTTTTAGATATTTTTAATGAAATGTGTGGAACATTCAAATGGACTAGACTCTCTTACCTTTCTGTGTTTAGCAATGCAGGTTCCTGTTGGATCGAAGACAGTGCACGTGTTGTAGACCTTACCATCAGATTCCTCCGGTATGGAACCTGTTAGGAAAAAGTAAGAAAATTATGAAGATCTTTAAGGAATGACAAATATGAAGCAGAAAGTAAATAGAAAAGGAGAACAACAGACACAAGCATATATATGCATAGCAAGGGGGTCTGGGGGGGGGGGGCAAGTGCTGTACCATTTTCAATCTTTTGATATCCCCCCCCCCCCCCTTTATCTAAATTTTCAAAAAGTGGGAAAATGTGTAACAAATAAATGTAAATGCTTTAATAGTGAGATTGTAATTATAAGTGCATGAGAGTATAATCATCAGTTTCAATACTATTATGCACCTTCCTATACTCCATTGTAGTATGGATGGTCAGTACATGTACGCATGTCTATGTGCTTCCTCACAAAATGTCTGCATATGTTTCATGAGTCGTTTGGGCCTTTGGTCCTATATCCAATTGTTCCTTTAAAATAAATGGTAATAACCAATGAAACAGGGCACCCGTTGCATAAAAATTACGATGGTAACTTGCACGTTAAGAAGCCATTGCAGGATTCGTATACGAGTAGGGGGAAACCCTGGTGTAATGGTCCATCTGCATACCCCAACCAGGCCGAGTATACAGCATCTGCAAGAATCTTCAGTATTGAAGGAGGCAGATTATCTTGAAGAAGAAGAAGAATAAGAACTTCCATGGAAACCTTGACTTGATTGGCTGTCGAGTGATGTTGCCATGTAGTTACCTTTGATAGCAAAGTTACCATTAATGGTAAGTTTTATGCAATGAGACCTTGATCTTATGCCAAATACCTTGATACGTATCTCCTTAAAAAGATGTTACTGTATGTACTTTAGAGTTTGGGCCCTATATTCTTTTGGTCCTTGCAGGACATGAGACAGATGGAATGTATACTGAACCAATGAAACAGAGATATGTTGATTTGATACATACCTCCTACCACAAATATCTTGTGTTCTTTGGCAGCTGCAGCTAGTGTTTGACTGGAGTTGCCTGGGATGTTCTCTGCATATTCCCGGAAGAACTGGGTGCCGTAAGGACAGTTGAAACATTCCTGAAATATAAGATTTCAATTAAAAAATGGTCGGTAAGGTTAGCATTTTTCTGTTTGTCATGTATGGTCGATTGCAAAATAACATCTTGAAGAAGTTGCAGTGGTTATTGACATGCAGGCCATCAAGCAATACCATGTGCTAGTTCAGGGTTTACTTTTTATTTTAATCAACAATTAGTTTAAATATGGTCATATCAGGGGAATTCTTAGTGGCTACATTCCATTCCATATCACAAGAATCACTTTTGGTCTACTGAAAGAAATTCACACCAATTTTGATTCATGTCAAGATCTACTACTCACACATTGGATAGTTCCATAAGTTGATTATGAAACTATCCATATTAGAAAGTGGATAAATAAACATATATGGCCACTTTTTGGCAATGTGATGTAGTACCAAACAGGACATACCTCACCATAACTCTAATCCTAAATCTAACATAATTACTCCTAAACCTGACTAAACCTCATTTACAACTTAACTTTAACCCTTTATCCTTGACTAAATGCCTATGAATTAAACCTGGAAAAAACAATGCATCACTGTTTGTATGGGCCACTCACATTATCAAGATTAACCATTAACCATGAAGAAAAAAAAAAACATTGATTTAAAAAAATTGTCTCTTAGTTGCAGTGAGCATTAGAGAACTCTGTGAAATCGAAAGGGTTTTAAAACGTGATTGGTCAGTACTTACAGGGAGGGTAACGATCTTAGCTCCGGCCTGGGCAGCCTCACCGATCATCCTCACAGCTCGACTCAGGTTCTCACTCTTGTTGGCAGATACGGCCATCTGCACAAGGGCCAGCTTCAATACTGCTTGTTAGAAAAGTGCAAGGTGTAAAGAAAGTGGGAGATAATAATGATTTACACAGATACTCGGACAGATGAAATAATGAGGAAAACTTCGGTATATGGCTAGAGCACCCATGTCTGTGCTAACACGATTCTGACAAAACAAAACATGCAACCAAAAACAAAATGTCAGTCTCTATTATAGCAATAAGTATTTATTCATAAAAAAAAACAAGTACAAACTCAATGGTGAACATTTCTAATTTGTGTAATTTTAATCACAAGCCTTGATAGACTATTCTTACTTAGTTAAGTGAATAAATGGATAGACATAGGAACCTTTGTTTTTGCATTGTCAAAATGACACCACTGCCTTTTCTTGTGAAAATGATGACATTTTCTGCATATTCTAATACTCTCTAGAATGTGACGAATAAGACGAGATCAAGTCTCAGGCAGTTAGGCCTTACGGGTACAAGGTTCTTTTGTTCAAATTATAGGGCTCCCCTTCATTGAAAATAAAAGTGCTTAACTGCGCTGTCCGTCCTGTAGTACTAGGCTGTAGGCCTACTTAGTTATAGCGAAGAAGAACTTAGAAGAAGAAAAGGGGGTCCAACGTCTATGACTATTATAAAATATTAAAGGGGGTGAAGCATGACTAGACTACGTTCCCGTCGCCTGACTCGGGGCCCAATCGGGTTTGATTGCGGACAATGCGACCGCAGTATTCAGGTGCGTGCAACATACGAGAAACTGCAAGAAGCGTGAGGAGAACTTCGGTCTGTTTCGTGAATGCTAGCGCGCGCTGACCGTTACTCAAGTCCATTTGTTACGTGCAGTAATTGTCCAAAAGAAGTCGTAGATGGCGTTAACCATGCCATGCTACACCCCCTTTAACAGTTAGATCTCCACAGGCCACAGTGCTGAAAACACATAAATTATTACCCTATCATGAATCATCCGATTATTATCAATATAGATCTAGACTAGTGTACATCAACAACAACAAAATCATTCATTAATATCACATTCAAAATTCACAGTTCGATCTCAATGTTTTCAATTTCAGCAGTGTGTAATCATCTAGCCTAGTCCTACTCCTAGATCTAGAGGTTTACCTGATTTTGAAGAAGACATATCCAATAAAATTTCAGAACTTTACTTCGGGCGATTGTAATGTCAACTAACTACAAATCTGCTTAATTAAAGTCCCTCCTGATCCTGGCTGTAAATGTACAGTGTATTTCTAGGTCGATCTAGTCTCAGCTCATATGCAGCTACAGTGCAGTTCTTTGATGTTTGGCGTGCAGTTTTTTGAGCGTGCAGTGCTAGTGCAGTATTCAAAATAAAACATCGTTCACATATGATGCCCCTCCCCCTGGACTCTGGCGTGCGAGCAGGAGACCCGGTCCCAAGACGGTCACTCTTTCTTTGAAACTTGAAAATCAATTTGTCAGCTAATATTTAGTTGTCATTATATCTGTAATGGCGTCGACTGACAAAATGACTGACAAAGCATCAGCGGTTTTATTGAAGGTGAGATCAAAAGTAACTAAAAATATGTAAATATTATAACGTGTGTCCCATTAGTTGAATCTGGTGTAGTCTAACTCTAAGCTCACACATTACACAAAAGGGTCGGACCAGCCAGCGCCACCGCCCTAGCCATGCCAGGTGCAGGCCCTAGCGGACGGGTGAGCCAACGCTCCACGGGTAAGCCACCAGCCTCTGTTCGCGGTCCTAGAATGGGGTTTCATGAGAATGTATAGCATTAGAAAAAATAATAGATCAATAAATAATAATAAACTCATAGCTGTTTCCATCGTTTTGAATTAATTGAATAAAAATGGCCCATGGACATGGTGATGAGTGACACTGATAATGTTTTATTTTACTTTTACATTTAATTTTAAACTAGAGGTCTAGATCTAGATCTATGAAAATATGAGGCTATAAACTAAACTCTATTTCAATTTTCTCTTTGTCTATGAATTTTGTTTATTCTTTTATTGTAAAAATGTTGATATTATTGTTTTATTTGTGTAAAAAACTTTAATATGAAATTTTGTTGATTTTAGACAGTAGGCCTAGATCTATAGGCTAGATCCTGATTAATGCCCCGTTTATTGAATTGTGCATTTTTCTCTGTTATCCAAACCCAGATCCTGTGTATCCATGGTTACAGGTAAGAAATCCCCATATTTATCTTTGTTTATCACTTGGGAGAGGGGGGGGGGGTGTAAATTTCAAAGTTTCAAATGTAGACCCAATTCTTGTATTTAGAGAACTAGTTGTTAAGCATATTTCTAAGTATTTTAAAAGTGTGAATTGTAAGTTGTAGCAATGTAGTTGTAACTTGAAATACAGTTTAATGATACATTTACCTTTAAATTAAAAATGTTAAAAGACAGATTATGGTTCTGTTCTTTCCCCCACCAGGCAGACTGGTAAAACTTTCCGGGAGAAGACTGGATCTTTGAGAAAGGCTCTAAAAAAACATGCAGAGTTTGGTAAGTAGTAGTACCAGTGGCGAACAGAGGATTTTTTCAACGTTTCATCCAGCCGCTGAATAAGCATGGGGGGGGGGGGGTGGGGGGTAAGAGGACATATTATTATTTTTTTGGGTCCAAAAAATTTTGCAACGACTCAGCCAGCCGCTGAATATGAATAAGCGGAGGAGTGGGGTAAGAGGACATTTTTTATTTTTTTTTGGTCCCGAAATTTGAAATTTTGACTGATCGACATTCCGTTCCATCGGGGGGGGGGGGGGGGGGGGGGGGGGTAAGGTCATCTTTTTTAGGTAATCCATTAGGATTTTTTTTTTTTTTTGTAATAAAAACAAAAAACAAAAAACACTCAAAGGGGGGGGGGGGGGTTCCCAAAAAACATACACATAAAAATACTCAAGGGGGGGGGGGGGGTTAACCCCAACCCCCCCCCCCCCCCCCCCCCCCCCCCCCCCCCCCCCCCCCCCCTGCGTACGTGTCTGAGTAGTACCATATGTACTTGACAAGAATAAGTTAAACCCTTTGCTACAGGACATAATAGTGCCATGCCTGGGCTCAAACTCTCAAGTTCGCATCTCCAGTCAAGTAAATAAACCCCTCCATTGATACACTTTATAAAAGATGTACATATTCCATATGAAGCCTATTCTTTACATCAATGCCATGCAGTAGTTAAATACTTGAAAATATTATGCTTGCACAATGCACATTAACCTTATGAAATAAATTCAATACCAGTAATTAAAAATATAATGCTTGTACATTGACTTTAGGAAATTTACCAAAATACCACAATACTTTTACTTGAACCTGACAAATTTAATGTTTTGTAAACACATTTGTTATCAATAGGATTAATTGTTTTTACTTTCTTCAGTTTACATGGACGCACCCAATCTAATCAAAAGTAAAAGTGATGAGAGTGCCGCAACCAATGAGGAGAGAGGCTGGTGGTTTTCTGACTCTGAGGGCGGTTTCCGTGCAGCAGAGAAAACAGAGGTCAACCCAGGCTACAATGAGTCCGTGGAGACTATCGCTGAAGCTCTGAAAGAACAGGGTCCTTTTGATGGTAATATTTTTTCGATATTGAGGCAGGAAAAAAAGACAGGGGGGAGGATGGAGAAGGAAAAAAACATGAAGAAAAAGAAGAAAGGAGCTCCTTCCGTCCCCTCACTGTATCCAGTTGCCTTTTTGCATTTCACCAACCGAATAAGATTAGTGCCCCCCCCCCCCCAGAATGTTAATGTCAGATGATAATTTTTTGTATTTCAAGTTAGTAATGATCGAAAGTGCTTTTCGTTTGTTTTGTTTATTTTTGTTTTTTTAAACAAGTAACATGTACCTGTAAGTACGCGGCACCATGCTATTGTTTTTGTTTGTTTTGCTTTGTACCCGTAGGTGTCCTTGCATTCAGTCAAGGAGCTGCCATGCTTGCCTTGATATGTGGTCTAAAGGAACAAGGTGGTAAGTAGAACTCATAGTATAAAGAGGTGTAATAGTATGACATGTTCTGAGTTAAGAATCCGATATTCAGTAGTGGAGCTTGGGAGGGGGGGGGGGGGGAGGGGGCCATGGCCCATGCACGCTATTTTTGCACAACATTTTTTCTTAAAGAGAGAAAAGGGAAAAGTTTGAACTGAATTACCAGTTTTTTTCGTGTCATTCATTGTTCATTACTCAGCTACATAATTATACATTTTTTACCAATTTCTTGTGATAGATAACATTTATTTGTCATATGTAAGAACTTCAGTTTCCTTCGTTTGCACTACCGGTACTCAGATTTCGTTTTGATAAAGGAGTGGAAAGAATGCTAATTATTGTCTTTTTTTTGTTTTTCTCCCCCCACAGATACCAGATTCCAATTCAATTTTGCCATTTTAGTGGCAGGCTTCAGGAGCCTGAGTTCAGGACACGATAATTGCTTCAGAGAGAAAATCACCTTTCCAACACTTCATGTGTTTGGTGACACAGACCAAGTCATTCCAAAAGGTAAGTATGATAATAATAATAGTAATGGTCACATTTGTAAAGCATTTAATACTACGTTTCTAAGCGCTTTACATTGTAATTATTATTATCCCAGTCTTAGGATCAATTGCTAATCTTAGGGGGGGGGGGGTTGGATGGATTAGTGGTCAATGTTTTAAGATTTTTATTTTGTAATGTTTTTCTTTGGAGTAAAGGATGAAAGTTCATACTTGTTTGTTTTTTTCAGCTTATTTTTTAAATGTTTTTTTTTTGTTGCAAAAACTAATTGCTTTTTAAAACATTTAAATTTCTCTTTTTTAAAGTAGGAATCGAAAGTTCTGTTCTGCCAACATTGAACCTATCGACAAAGACTATATCTTTGCATTTTCCTTCAGAAAATATAACAATGGCTGATTTCCCCATTTATTTCTTCCACAGAGTCCAGTGAGGAAATGTTACAATACTTCACAGAGCCAGTAGTTCTACATCACACAGGAGGTACAAATTTTGCATTACGTTTGGTCTCATGGAAAATTCATAAGAGTGGGAGGGGGGGGGGGGGGGAGAGGGGGAATTCTAACAAAACAGTATATTACAAGGGCACTCTGCAGAGACAAATGTAAAAATAAATGCTACAGAGGTATATGTATTTTTTTTTTTTAAATGTTAGATCTCATTGGTGGTTCTTGGGGGAGGTTGGTATATTACAGGGGCACACATGCTGATCAAAACCTAAATTATTACTTTTGCATCCAAATAGACTTTGTTAGGATAGTTATTGGGATGATAGTAATTCAGGAATACAAATACACCATTATCTTGTTGTTTTTTTTTTCTCTCTCTCTCCTTCTCTTCCTCTCTATTTGACTAGCTCTCTAGCTTAATCTTTATCTTTCTCTATCTCCAATATGTATATTCCTCTCTTAGTCCTGTAGAAGTTTTTCAGACCTGGAAAAGTTGATAAGTACAAGTTTTTTTGTTGATTTGTGTTCTAGATGGGTATTGAAGTAAATTCAGCTTGGTTGCCAGCTTGGCAACCTTGAGCAACTTTTTTAAAAGCCATATTAGCATAATCATCTTATTAGCATATGTGCAATATGTAATAATGTTGCTAATCTCAATCCAGGAAGCCTGAAAATATGGATAATAGGACTTTTTATGGGTTTTCTACGTACGTAGGCCAGGGATGTTGAATACAACAGTGCGAACTATGATCTATCTAGGTTTACCAAAGCTAGAACCATTGAGAGTACAAGCCTGACGTTGCTCAAGCTTGTGGCAGAATTCTTGGAAAAGTCATATTATCCATGTTTTCAGGCTTCCTGGATTAAGATTAACAACATTATTACATATTGCACATATATGCTAATTAGATTATTATGCTAATTAGGCTAATTATACTACATCTATATGGAATATCTTCTCATGAATTAATGATTAGTCTTTAAAAAGTGATTTACAATGTTGCATTGCACCATTTTTAGGCTTTATAGATAAACAATGACAATGAAGTCCATATATTGTACATATTATGCTAATTATGCTATTTAAGACAATTGTATTACTTTAAAATTAAAATTGGTGTCATAAATGAATTCCTTGTCATAGAAAACCCTTGAAAAGTTGTATAGATAAACAATGACAATGAAGTCCATATATTGTACGCCTGCTTATTAGCTCTTTATGCTCATTGTGCTATTTAAGACAATGGCATTACTTGGAATCAAAAACTGGTGTCATAAATGACTTCCTCATCATAGAAAACCCTTGAAAAGTCATATTTTCCACGTTTTCATATTGCACATATGCTAATTAGATGATTATGCTAATATGGCTTTTAAAAAAGTTGCTCAAGGTTGCCAAGCTGGCAACCAAGCTGAATTTACTTCAATACCCATCTAGAACACAAATCAACAAAAAAAAACTTGTACTTTTCCAGGTCATGTACATGGTATAATATGGTACCGTCTACTGGACTATCTTCTAAAATGCTACAAATAGTTTAAGTTTGGAATTTATCATTCCTCGAATTGTTAGAACTACAATGTAAATACCATAGAAGACCAACTTTACATACAGATATATTCCAAACTCTACATTATCTGTTCAATTTTGATGTGGATGTATTCAGTCATTTTTGTTTCTTCTTTATTTTAGGTCACTATGTACCAGCAACATCAGCGGAGAAGAAAGTGTACATCCCTTTCTTAGAGGCCCAGGTCAAGAGAAAGAAAGAAGAGTCAGAAACAAATTCATGACGACGATGAACACACTCTATGAAGAGCAAAATGTGCTTTCTATAATTGCTGTGAATATCGAGGACCTCTCCAAACTAATTTATTATATCCATCTGCAATACTAGTACCCGGTTGGCTGCATATAAGACTGTACACAAAGTCGAAAGTGGCTTTACTGACCACTTGAAAAGTGTTTCTCACTGAAACCTTTTCAAGAGGATCCTGTATATAAACACTGCCTGGCTATTACTAAATTTATTTTCTGGTCTGCCTTGAGTGGTCTGTCAACACGTTTCAGCGTCTGTAGGTGTAACATGGAATTTTCTTTGTCTTATATCTGTTTCGTGAGGGCATCTTTAATGTGTAGCTTGAAAGATTGCTCAAAATGTTTGTGAATGGTAACTATTGACAGCCCCAATATATCGCACTGCCAGTGCCCCAGTATTAGTAGTTTGCCTGACATATCAACAACTAATGTTCACAACCTGTTTTCTCGCTGTTGAAATACCATAACTTTTGGCAGCTGAAAGCAATGTAGTTAATTTGCAATCTCTTCAATTAGAAGCATCTATGAATTTGAATAGTGTATTCAAGAACAGAGTGCTACAGAATTGCTTTTTTTCTTCCACACTTGTGCCCTAGATTTAAAATATAGGTTTTTTTTATATCGCACTGCCAGTGTCATAGTAATTTGGTTGTCCCCAGCTACACAACAAAAGAGAACTGTTGTAGCAGTCTGCACACATAATAACACAATGGTAGAAATAACAGAAGTGAGTAAAAAATATTGTATTTTATTTGAAAAATAATGTTCAATTTGATTGACTTCATCATGGCAAATTTTTATACAAAAGTTCAAAAATATATATTGTACTATTAAAATGATTTCCATCACATTATCTGCATTTCATGATAGATTTATTTCAGAGTAAGTGTGTCAGCCTCACAAATCCCAGCCTCATCCATGACATTGTTCATGTCTAATCAAACATAATTTGGTTTAGAAACTACGTAACATGAATATACCATCCACCCATCTTTATTAATTAAAATTACCCAATCACCAAATGATTTCATACATTGATGCTTACAATTCATTATCATGATTTTGTTCCATTATATAAACATACATATACAAATGTAGAAAGATATTTGGAGATAAAATCTATCTTGGCTAAAAGCTGAAGTGTAGAATATATCACAAATGAAACGTTTGTAAACCGAGTATAAACAAAAATGTGAAGACATTGACTACATTGTACCGTATTTGCCGGCGTAAAGGCCGCAGTATTTTCGGAAGAGAAAGCAACAAAAAGTCTGGGTGCAGCCAATGCGCAACAACTACAAATTCAGCGGTCAAAACAGCACGTCCATTCGTACGTATGGGACTACAATGATTATAGAATGGTACAGGACATTTCTAGAATAACTTCACACATCTTACCGACAATTTTATGTTACATTGTTGACATAAAGACCAAAATAACAAAGTTATTTTTCTAACAAAATCTACCGGTAGATCTAGATCTGAGTTGTACCATTGCATCGCTAAAAAGTAAAAGAAGGAACCGTTACGGAGCTAGCCGCCGCTTAACTTAACTGCACATCTAGCCGAAGTCGCAATTTTGTATTACACCGCACATCGTGGTAGGGGTACATGTAGGATACCAAATCTGCCTGCAATACAGTACTAGCTTAAAAATCGATGAAGATTTGCTAATTACGATCATTTTTAGGTAAACTTCCTGTAAATTTTTACAAATAAGAATAAGTAATTTGGGTATCGGTTTGTAGGAAAAATATTGTTCTACGAGTTTGGTCTGTTTAGGTTTTTTTCCTTTAGTTTTTTTTTCCCCTACAAAATGTTGAGGGTGGGCCTATGCGGAGCTGCGGCCTTATTGCCGGCAAATACGGTAGTTGGTTCAAGATTATTTTTTCCCAGCTTTTATTGAAGGAGGTTATATCAATCAACTGTAATACTACAAATTGTTTGGGTTTCATATTGTACCCAACTCTCGTGCACAGTAAGCATGTCTGCCACCATCTATTGACAGTGTTTCTCCAGTGATAAAGGACGCTGCGTTGGATGCAAGAAACTTGATGGCCGACGCTACATCTGTTGGTTGTCCTATCCTGCCCAATGGATGCATCTTTGCGCATACCTGCATAATGAATAAAATTCATCCAGATGTCTTCATAAATCTGTGAAGCATTGATTCTTACACCCAAGCATAGATTTAGAGAAGGTACAACTGTCATGCCCCCTTCTAAAGTAAAAAAGATGGCTGAACAATGTGAGAAATGCGAGGTTAAAACTCCAGGCTCACTTGGTTATGACACCTAAGCATGGATTTAGACAGGGGTTTTACTTTCATGCCCTTTTCTCAAGTAAAAACATAGCTGAAAAGTGTGAAGAATATGAGAATAAAACCCCAGACGGCTAAGCATAGATTTAAAGGGCTACAACTGTCATACTCCCCCCCCCCCAAGGAGTTAAATGTCAGTACCTGAATACATGATCATTTGTTTTGGAATCGAACTCCCATAATGGCAAATCTGCCGAAACCTCGAGATCCTGTCGTAGTTCTGACGCCCAAGCATGGATTTAAGGGGGCACGACGATTACACCCCCCCCCCCCCTTGAAAAGCAATTGAATGGAAGGACCACAAACCACTGTTTTTATGCTGTTATTATACAAATATCTAATATCAGGGTGGAATTTTTCCTTTTAAGGATGGTGAAGCTCACCTCTTCGATTTGTTCTGCAGGTATTCCAAATCCTGTCAAAAGGGGCGTCTTGATTGCTCCTGGGCTGTGATAGGAAAGGAAGAATAAATTCAGAATTTGCTTTTAATAATGAAATGCACAAACTAGAAAGAAAGAAAGATCACAACCAGTCAAAAATATTACAAAGTCTACAAGATTTAAAAGATTGGTAGACAGAAAGCACTCTTACACATTCACTTCCTATTCTAATGTTATTCACACTGCAAAAATAATTGTTTTGAATCCCCACTGTACTACTTGTAGCTACTTGCTCCCTCTATATAGAAAACAATGTCTAATCCGTGACCATTGGTCCCCCATGATCCCCTTTTTCTTATGTTAATTGAGGGCTGATTTGATGTGATGACCACCTGTCAATGACAATACAGGGAGGTCTTATCCCTCCTGGCCAAACTACCAGTATTGCAGTGGGGCTTTAAAATGAATATCTGGACTGGTATTCAATTCAATACTTAGCATAAGTAAGTGGCTAAGTTAAGTAATTTACCTATCTCGTATTCAAATCGCATTTTAGACTTGTACTTACGCAAGACAAAATCTAAGTAAAAAACTTGCTGATAAGCATTGTGATGTCACACAGTCAATCAAAAGTAATGCGCAATTGATGCATTGCAATAAATGCGCGCTGATATAATTGTGCGCAGGTTATAATACTGCATAAGAAAACCATATGCCTGCCAATCAAGGCCTCCAAATAATTGGCTTAAGTCTGGTATGGAGTTGGCTTAGATTTAAGGTAAAATACTTAGCCAAAAGTGTGAATTGAATACCAAAATTGGCTAAGTATTTTATCTAAGCCAAATACTAAGTAAAAAGTTTAAAGGTAAAGACCAGTATTGGAAACGCCCCAATTTCAAAAAATGAAATGGAAGCTCTTATTACCAATCACGTGAAGGAATACATTTTGAATAATACATGATGATAAAAATTTTCCCATATACATCTTTCTGTGTACAGTGCTTGTAACTTTATGAAGACTGGGCCAAATTTCTTATCATTTTGATGATTCCAGAACCTTGCAGTACATCTATGCTAGATGATCAACCTTTTCTGATCGATTTCACAACGTTTCTTTCACAATGCAATCGCATGACCATGACTGGTCTTTATCTTTAAATTTTGTTCTCAAGTATTGAATTAAATACGGGCCCTGGTACTTACTTCACAGCATTAACTCGGACACTTTTGGGAGCCAAATCTAGGGAAATTAATGAAATTAACGGGATGCAAGAAAATATTAAGATTTAAAGTTTGGTCACACATCAACTGCAATGATAATGATTTCACCATCATAAGCACTCTTGGCCTTTGGCAAGATATCAGTCTAAATTTGCTACTTTCCACCTAGGTAGGTTTACTATGTAGGTACATGTACTTGTGCTGATAACGGTTGCCGGAACTATACCTTCGGTTATGACTTCCAGAGCTCTTTATAAGCACACAAGGTGTTGTATGATAGTTTGGTGAACAGAATGTTATTTTACTGCTCATGCACCACACAATTTATAAACCAGTGCCACATTTGTATTTATATTATTATAAGTTATTTTATGAATGGCTTTTAGTTTGTTTCAAATTTCTAGTACCAATCAAACTACTACATAAGAAAAATAAGAAGATTCAAGATTCAAGATTCAAGATAATTTATTGTTTGTTTGTTTGTTTGTTTGATTGATTTTATTTCTGCGTTCAAAAATATACAAATTCAAAGTCAAAGTACAAAATTTTGAACAATAACAAATACAATGAATACAATGTTTACAAAAGTAATTGAATGAAAAATCATGTACAATTATATCATTCGATAAACATGTACGAAGCATACAATAACATAAGAAATATTAAATATTTTCAATAAATTAGAGAGGTAATTTGGAACGCAGGAGACCACCATCGTGAGCGGTTAGGCTGGAGATGGATGGCGGCCTCGTAAAAAGAATTGGCGACATAACTCTCTTCGAAAAACTGAGTGATCAAGAGGGTGCGGTGCAAGTGCAGGTGCAGTGAGCAGTTGCATGATAAAGAATAAATAAGTCACGGTTTTGTTATACTAATAAGCCAGTTCACGGTTGCAGTCTGAGCATGAGCAGATAAAGGTCATTGCAGAACAAATTTTGAAATACACGGAGACGAAATACTGTATACGTGCTCATGAAAGTTATGTAATCATTATTCATTTATGCACTCCATGATACACAGGTGGAAGTATTCTTTGAAAAGGGGGAACAAAGGCTATTGATGTAGCACCTCCATCGCTATAGGAGTGATTATTTAAATATGTACAAAGTGGGACCTCTTCATGTTTTAAAGATCTGTGGATATTCGGGGTCATTGCAGTAATGTGCTAACCGTGAACTGGTCTATTCAAAGAGAGGGGAGCATATGATTGTATTATTTGTCGTTTAAGTGTAGTTTTGAAGGAGTAGATGGTTGAACAAGACTTTATGTTGTCGGGTAAATCATTCCAAATGTCCGGGCCAGAATGTCTAACAGATTTGTGTGTTATTGATAATTTGGGGTTTGTAAAAAATACATAAAATTTGCCTTCGGACATTTAAAGGTGCTATATATGTACCTAAATATAAATACAGACAAAATAATTACAATTCAACATACCGGTAACATTTAACAATCATCACAATTTTAAGAAAGGTTGCATTAAAAGAATAAGATAAAACTGAGGAAAAGGCAGTGCAGTCTAAAAAGCTTGTTTTGTTTTGTTGTTGATCTCGTCCATCCAGGCACTTTCACGCCGGACAAGAAATCGTATTACTATACAAAGCTTTTGGATTGCACAATACAATTTTAACGATGCATTGCAGCCGAATGGTGAATTGTGCATTTTTTACAATATTTTTTTTCACAGTACATTTCACCTTGCATCATTAACAAAATGCATTTAAGAAACATCCTGTTTACTTCAGGTTACAAATAAAGAAATTATAGAAACATGGTACCTAATGTTTGTATTGGTCTGCACCTATGGAATGTCTATAAATGTATGAGCAGCTGAATTGCAATTTGGTCTACAACCAATTTGTCTACTGACCAGTTTGTCTAATGCCCATTTCGTCAACTATCCGTAAGGTCTAATCATCATTTGATGATTATTATACAAATATACACTGCCTTGAGAGGTTCTGGTTAAAACTACCTTTATGCGCTAGAGGTGATCCCAATAGTACTATTTGCTGAGGGGCGCAATTTAGAATTTAAAAATCACAATTTTCATCAAAAGAGAATTGAAAATAAGACAAATTTATTGAATTAAGATTTGAAAAAGAAAAAAAATTAGTTAAAAAAAAATATTCAAAAAGGAATTTCAATTCTTGAATAGCACTCCCAAATAATACTTTTTCAGAGCACGTTAAAATGGTTGAAATATTTCTGGTCATGTGACGTGCTCACAACCAATCACAAACCAATACATTTTTGATGCAGGATATAATACTATAAATGATGATTATACCAAATGGGCATTATAAAAACCGGGAATTAGACTAAATGATCAGTGGACCAAATGGGTAGTAGACTTATTTTGAGATTATAAACTGTATGAGCATATCAGTCAGCACTTTGGATTAATAAAAAGTTAAACTATGACGAGAATACTTACCAACAGCACAACATCTTGTGAATTGGTCAGTGGCAGCCCTTAAAATATTGTACGAAAATGACATGTGGGCCTGAAATTGAAGGGGAAAAAAAATTATTTTCAGAAAGAAATCATAGTTCAGGCAAAATTTGGCACATGACATAATGATATGAACAGTTAAAATAGTTTATTATTTAAGTATCCATTAATTATGGAGAATTATGGCATGTCAAAAAGCCTATGGAATCAAGTGCAGTAGAAAAATAAAATAATGTAAGCATAGTTCATTTCACATATTCATAACACACACAAGAATAAGTATGCAAAGAGGCCCTCGTTGATCACAGCTCCGTTTACAAGGGTTATAATTGTACCACAACACTTTCTTATTAAAGGCAGATTCACATGCCTGCCGTGTTTGAACTGAGATTTGTTTGTGTCAAGTTACCTACCACTCTTTTTCCTGCTAGGCTGGATACATTCACCACGGAGCCTGAAAGACAATAGTTGATAGTTAGCTTCATAACTTATCCAATTACATAATGAAATTACTCAAATCAATGCAATAAACTGACCTAAAATTTGATGTATGATTATTATTTTTTTCTTCTTGAAATTTAACCCAATTCAGGAAAGTGTAAAGTAGACATTTTGAAAGAGTGAAAAAGGGCACTCTGTTTCCAAACTTTCTGGCACCAATATAGGGGTTGAAAAATTGCATACCTACTATTCATAATTATCACTTTCTAAATAGTTGTTTCATATGAACAATCCACTTTTCATATCGATGGATTTTACAACTGTACTTTTTCTACCCGAGATCAGAGATTGGAACAAAAGTTTTTTAGGTTTGTGAGAATTGGCAATTTTGCTAAGCATGTCAGTTAGTTCAATATCCAAAATTGGAATGCTCTAACTGAGTTTAATTGGAATTTGGAATCCTCTCCTTATCTAGAGTTTCCTGGAAAGAGGTTTATGTCTCAAGATTTGACCTTAGAAATTTGATAACCAACTTTTTTATTTTCAAACTAATCGTCACTTGAGACATGTTGGGGTAAAATGCTAACTTGATATTACATTTGACATGACAAATTCTCAAGCAGCCACCGCACTGGAATTGAGGGGAAAGGGGGAGGGGGGTGTCAGAATAACTTGTAAAATGAATACGATAATACAGGGCTACTGATTAGAAGAAAGTTGCGGGAAGTGGTTCAGTCATCTTTTCTCATCCTTTTTTCCCTTTTATCCTTTCCCTTTCTCTATTTTTTCTTTCTTTTTCTCCACTCAATTGGATGGGGTGGGGGGGGGGGGGGCGCATCCCCCTTGTCCCCTGTATGTACACCACTGCATCACAGTAACAAGATTAATAACTTACCTTTAGAAGTAATAAGATGAGGTACTGCTAGGTTGGTGAGTTGGACAACAGATCTTACATTAAGCTTGAGCAAATCGTCAAAGTTCTCCATAACAGTTTCACTTCTGAGGAGGTCAAGTTTGGCTTGTCCTGCATTGTTTACCTAAAATACATTGATGAGCAATGGCAAAGGGAAAAAGAAAAAGAGAGAGCAGGAGAAAGAGAAAGACGGGCAGAGAAAGACGAAGTGGGAGACGGACAAAGCGAAAATGATAGACTGAGATAAAAATATAAATAAGATAAAAAACTTCATTAAAATAAACGTAAGACACAAACCTCTGCAAAGATTACTACAGTTACTACATATTGAAGAGATTGGTTTCATAAACATTTGGTTATAACCGCAGGGGGGGGGGGGGGGGGGGGATTCACTAAATGAAGCCCCATTCCTCTCACATCTCTACAAATCAACTGAAATATGTACATTTACATACCTCTAAATAGAAGTATTGGATAAAACTCGTAAAAGAATGCTTATGAAAAAAATGTCACAATGTTAGATAGCAACAGAACAAAAATATATAACTTCCTTATATCTCCAGTCAGTCACAGGTTACAGTTATTAGAGAGATGACGATAGCGTGTATTAGGAAAGATAGTTGTGACACGCACACAAACGCGATCAAAGATTCAATTCATGGAGCTCCAAATAATTCTTTCCCCACATAACATCTCTCTGGGAGGGAACTAATTGTGGCCCCACAAATTGACCTTTGTACTTATGCATGTGTCACAACTATCTCTCTCAGTACGCTATGCAGGGGCCCGTTTCACAAAGCCTTTTTTCAATGACGAATGACAAAAATCAGTGACAAAACTGCCGATAACCAATCAGAAGCAAGGATTTCAGTAGCTTAAAACACAAACTGTCATTTGTCACTGATGACAAGTTTTGTGAAACACCCCCCAGATGACCATTGTAAACACTATTTAAAGGGTACGACAGGTAGGTAATCAGAACTCACCAAGACATCCAGTCTACCAAAGTATGTGATAGTTGACTCCACAATCCTCTTCACATCTTCTTCTACACACATGTCTGCCTTGATTGTAAGAACCTATCCCGATGAAAAAGAAGAGATGATTCCATTATTACATTAGCTAAAATGAGAAGATCTCGTCTGCCCACAGTTATACTATCAGTAATTAGCATTTGATCTGTTTTTTTACTCAAAGGCTGAGTTGAAAGTAGATGTAGATATAATTCAGATTGTTTCTAGCTAATACTTATAACATCATACCTTGAAAGTGTGTTTGCCCGAATTGTAACAAATTACAAAAAAGGCAACTGTAATTGGTGGGTCAAATTTTCTTTAAAATCAAGAATATAACTAAAAGACTGCAAGGGTAAAAGAAAACAGATGACCTATTCAAACCTAAGGATATCCACCTTTCTTGTAGGCACTAGACATCACTTGATCTTGAAATTTGTTATACAAAATTTTGGAATTGAAATTGTAACCAGGTCAGCGTTTCATGTAACCATAATAATAATATTTAGCTCTTATATAGCACTTAATACAATGTCTCTAAGCGCTTTACAAATATACTATTACCTCGGTCATTAGATTGAGTGCTTGCCCACTAAAACTGTGTGCACAATCTCCACTCCCTGGGAAGCATTCCAGCCGGGCATTACTTGACGCTCAAAAACTGTTTGACCAACAATGACAGTCGCACCCTACTGGGTACCGTTTAACACCTGGGTGGAGAGTAGCAAGTGCAGGTTAATATCTTGCCAAAGGATATTAGTGCTGTGTCGGGATCCGAAACCTCAACCTTCGCATCTCCAGTCAAGCGCCTTAAACCACTCGACAACGACACTTAAGTACAAGTTCGAGACATCCCATAGAATTAACACATGTTTCAGTGGGTTGTCAGGTTGTCGGTGAACTTGAACCTATGACAATTTTATGAAATGCTGACCAGTTTTACTATCAAGCTTTAAGGTCACCAGCTAGAATAATGCACACACAAACCTTATCCTTTGCTAGGCCTTTTGCCATGCAATCCTGTGCAGTCTTCTCTAGTCTCCCTTCATCACGACCCACTAAAGCAAGACCTGCTCCTTCTGCAGCAAAGTGGACAGCCGTCTCAGCTCCAATTCCTGAGCTCGCTCCTACCAAAAAATATCAGAAAAAAATGCTAGGATCATACTTTCAACTCTATGGCTAATAAATAATAATAGTGGGTTCTTGTATAGCGCTCATGTCTGTCAGATTTGACACCCCTGACACTCCAGACTAGACTAGGGTCTATATAACACTTTCACAGACATGATGGATGGAAGATTATATATTTCAATTTGAGCTAATGGCAGAACAAGCCAAAGCCCAAATTAATGACATAAATGAAGCACGAAGTCATGCCCATGTGGTCGTGGCATGTCATGTCTCTTGATGAGCATTTCTAATTATAAATGTATGTTAATACTTAACACCAGTCACTAGAGAACCTATTCTGCTGATCAAAAGCACCGACACTGGCACTGAACATGACAACATATTGAGCATTTCAATATGGTATAATTAAACTTAATGGTTATAATCTATGTCTATGCTGGTACTCGTCAAAAGCCTTTTCAGCAACTAAATGAGGATATTGTGGTGTGGTGTCTCTCATAGTGGTCATGATTGATTATAAATATACACATCCCCGAGCGAAGCTCGGGGATGTACCCCGCTTGCTCCAAAAAGCCGCTGAGCCCCCTACACATTTGCCGACGACACGAATATCTATTCTATCATAACCTTTATCACCTTGGGAGTGTGTTCTGGGTGTTCGGTATTACATGAGCTTCATGCAGCTCTATTTATTTTTAAATAAAAATGTTAAAAACTCACCTAATCCTGCCTTTTTATCAGTAAAGTCCTTCACACAGCGAACAAAGTTGTGTGCAGTCCTATGGGGCTCGATCTCATGTAATCGCTGTATATGAACCGGAAGGTAATCGCAACTCTGTGAAGGTCAAGTCACGTGACGAGATCGCCCGAGTAGCACGCGCGGAAGCAACTGCTGTAGCAGACGACGCGACGTCTATACTGTGTGCAATGTAAATTTATAGCGTAATCGCCCAGATTCATTCATGATTCAGGCAGAAATTATTCAGCGTACGTAGAAACTGCACTTCCGGTTGCGCATGCGCAATACGTATGTTTCGTGAAGCTACTATTTTGGAATTTTAGTGCGATCACCAAGGACCAAGTTTTAGGTTAATTTGTTGCATTAAATCAGTAAAACCTCACTATCAGATATCAAGAAAGATGACAATGGATGCGCACAGCAACGTGGCATAGCCAAATGTGAGTATAGTTCCAAAATAATTAATTGCGTTAATTTAAAATGTTTTTTTTTAAATGTAGAAATTCTAGAATTGGCCGTTCACTGTACTGGCGGTATGGGAGGAGGTCAGACGCCGTGCTACGCACGGCGTCTGGTCAGGCTAGATTGATTAGTGCATAGTGCGTATATACAAGTTGTGCGAGTAAAAACAGTTCCTCCTATTTAGGCACTGATGGCTCCCTTGAACTTCTCCACAGAGGGCAGTTCAATGAAGTTGGTAGGGAGCTCATCCCAGCCCCGGAGTGTTCTTGGGAAGAAACTTTGGGGCTAGTGTAGTTCCGTATCCATTTTTTTTCGCAGTTTAATATCCATTCTTAGCAAAGGAATATCCATTCTTAGTAAAAGAATTTTAGCCCAATTGTTTACTAATTTTAATCATAATCATATATTGCATTTTCCACCTGAGTTTGGATCACATCTGAGATCAGGAAACTTTTGATGTCGATGTCGTCGCTCAGTACCGTCTCTACGCTTTAGTACTGCACCTCAAACTGAAGCTATCAGTACAAAATTATGCAGACTTCTCGTATAGTTTATGGTATCGCGCATACGAGAAGTCTGCATAATTTTGGACTTATAGCTAATAGCTTCAGTTTGAGGTGCAGGACTACAGTGTAGAGACGGTACTGAGCAACGACGACGACATCGAACTCGAAGCCCTAAACGATATAGACTATAAACGGAAGTTTCCCGATGTCGGATGTGATCCAAATTCAGGTGGAAACTGCAATATATGATTATGATTTAAAATAGTAAAAAATTGGGCTAAAATTCATTTGCTAAGAATGGATATTAAACTGCTAAAAAAATGGATAGGGAACTACATTCACTAGCGCCGAAACTTTGCCTGTAGCTGTCAGACCAGAGTTGGAGCTGGGTCTCATGAATCTGTGTCGGTATTGATAAGATAAGATAAGATCCGCAAACTCTACGTACGTAAAAACTTGATGCTGGTGATTGTATGTCGCTGACAGATACAGATACAGATACAGCTTATGTTAATCAACAATAGGTCTACAGATACTCGGTCCATGGGCGAAATCGCACAAACATGGCATCGGACTACTCACACCCGTCTCCGCCCAACTGTCGGGGTGACTCGTCCAGCCGATGCCGTTAAGGCTCCGCGCACAGAAATATGTTCCGGATGTTCGCAGCAAATACCTCTACATATCATGCACTATTCAAATTCACAGACAATTTGACAACACCATAAATTAATGAGCTCGGAAGAAGTATACTGATAAAATCTTACCAGTGATTAGGACCACTTTACCGACAAATTCCCCCATTATCCAATCGTCTAGAGATTATAAATTATTTATAGTGGCGTTCTATACGTACGTACGGTATGGAACGCTACTAATGATTAGAATTAATTTAGAATCTCTAGACTAGACTGCGTGACATAATAAGAGGGGGGGGGGGGGAGAGAAAAGAAGAATCGTGGGCTGATGAGCTTTTAAGCAGTTTTTGCTTTACGCTTTCAAAGAAATTACTTGTATATTTGAATAGGGTAAGGTAGGCAGGCGCGCCGGAAGCAGTTTGGGATGGGTAAGAGCTAGGACACTTTTTTTTTTTTTTTTTTTTAGATCCCCAAAAAATCGCAACGACAAAAAACTGACACGCTTATTCTCTCCACGATATGCGCGTATCGCTATTATAAAAACCTCCATTGATAAATAAAGCTAGCATGCGCAATGTTTAGGAAATTTAATTCCTGTTAACTTCCCTTTTCTTTGAATGGAATTTTATACGTCATTTAACTCAGGTTTTTATTATTGTTATGTTCTTTTGGGTTAAAAATACAAACCATCTTTACTCCTTTACTCCTTTTTTTTTTTTGGGGGGGGGGGGGGGCAAAAAAGCGTTTTGCCCCCCCCCCCCACTTCCGGCGTCTATGCTCTCTCCCTCCTTTTAACTTTTAAGCAGAGTCTCTCATTCCCTCCCCTCCCTCTCTCTCTCTCTCCATCTCCCAATACCTTGTTTAATGTCTTGCCTTTTTGTAAATATTATGTTATATCATTCTTCATCTTTTATTTAGTGTAAAATACCAAAGCTTTGCATGTATTTAAGCACAGAACATATTTACTCCTTGCTACTCCTTCTTCCTCCTCTCTCTATCTTTTGCTCCCTCTCCCAGTCCATTTATTTTTTCCAGGGGTTCCTGCTCAACCCCAGCTCTCTCCCGACCTCTTGCCCCTCCCCTCCTTTTCTTTCAATGAGTTCTGGTCCCCCCCCCCCCTCTCTCTCTGGCTCTCTTATTGTATATTTTACTCCCTCTCTCTTCTCCAGTACTCTATTTCTTTCCAGAAGTTCTTCTCTAATTAATTACACTCCTTCTTGACATTGTGCTTCCCCTCTCCCTCCCTCCTTCAGATCTCTGAATTTATTTCCATAATTACCTGCCCCCCCTATTTGTCTTTCTTGCATTGATATCAATTTGGCTTTACATAAAGGAAATCTTGGCACACAAGAGTTATTATTTTTGTATGCAAACTTTAGCAGTGTGCGCAAAACACTCACGCCTGAGCAAAAATGAGTATCGAGAGCTCTCGGTCATAATACAGCACTAGGTCAGAAGAATAATCTGATTTGATTATAAAAGTTTTACAAGATGCACCTTGCTTGAAAAACTGGTAATTCACTTCTTAATTTGCTTCCCTCCGGTGTTTTTAAGGTGCCCTGATAGAACTGGAGGACTCTAAAACATACAATATAAAATAGGAGACTGTTAAAAATGAAGTACAAGTATACATGTATATATTTCATATTGATGTTCAATTTTATTGACTGATATATGATTTATTTCAATATATCTATAATATTTCCAGTTTAAAAAATACAAATATCTTATTTTATTATAGTCGTTGGATACAGGCTTGCCACAAAACAATGTATGCATATTCTCCACTCCCTGGGGAGCATTCTGTCCAGGCACTTGTTATATATATATATATATATATATATATACACATAATGCTGAACAAACCACAGTACAGCAACAAAATTCTCACGAATTTGGAAAAAAAAAGAAGTACCTCTTACCCCCCACAAAGTACCCCCCCCCCCCCTCCACTTATAGCGGCTAGATGAGCCGGCCCTTAATATTTCCCTTAATCCACCACAGTGCTTGCCACCCCTATCAAAATACCCTGGCGCCGCGGCCCCTGGATACACATATCAATAATTCTATGACTATGATTGGTCAAAACTTTAGGTATGAATTCATTAGTGACTGACATGATCTAAAATGCATGCAGCAGTGGCGGATCCAGGGGGGACCCGGGGGGGCGGCGCAATTTTGGGGAGCAAAAAAAAAAAAAAAAATTAGTGCTCACTCCCCCCCCACTGAGCAAAATATTGGCCGGCATGATTTTCATATTTCAGCACACTAAATTTCAAATTGATTTCAAATTTGGGCCCCCACCCCTAAGAAATCCTGGATCCGCGCCTGGCATGCAGATATATACATGTATATAGACATTAAATATATGTAACTACAGTGCCCCTGTAAAACAGGATACCGTAAATACAAATTCAACAGCTATATACCACACATTTTATATTTTAGATATTGCAATAATGTGATCTAACACTAAGGTAATGTTGAAAACAACTCGTTTGCCATCCCATTGGCATTGGAAATTCACTAGGTTGTACCTTTTATTGCTGGTCTGCACCCATGGCAAGACAAATTTAAATACAGGTCACGTGATCACATTGTGAAAAAAAAAACTGTCTGAAAGAAATTGGGAACGTTGATTATGTAGAATATAAGAATCGACATCGTGAGGTTTTAGAATGATCATATGAAAAGACATTGATGGATAACAATTATATAGTAAGCTTTCTTAGGCTACAAACACAAATTTCAGCCTTCCATTAACTCAATCTTACTGACAGACACATATTCTGCACTCAGGAGACGTATACGTGGCCTAAAATTTGGTTCAAAATTTTCAGCTAGCTATACTTTATCATATTTATAATTTGAGGGCATTTGAAGCTTCTTTTCAGGAGATACATATCTTCCGAACTGACATAAAACGAACGGGTAGCTCACAGATTATATGTTAATCTTTACCAGGACTCAACATCCATCTTTTCAGCACATTAAACGTGCCCCCCCCCCCACCTGAAATTTTACACCCAAAAGGTACCTAAAAGAAAAAAATACTTTCCCCATATCCCACATCATATTGCACTTTGCACTTAATTGGTCCATCATAATTAAAAATACATGTATAGCATTCATTGTTGACAGCCAACCCTTTCATTCCCATAAAAATTGGGAATCAAAATTATCACATCTCATTGTCCGAAACATTTGAAGGTTTTTATTGTTACAAAATATTGTTTTTAGAGCAATTTCTCGTTATGCTAGGCGATTTTTACTCCCCGAAAGTAAATGGGTAACCCTCAGCACAGGAGCATTGTCTGCCGCCATCTATTGACAGTGTTTCTCCAGTGACAAAAGTTGCTGCGTTGGACGCAAGAAACTTGATGACCGATGCCACATCGGACGGTTCTCCTACCCTACCCAGTGGATGCTCCTTGCCTAGTTGCTGAATGGAAAAAGGGAAAAAAGATAGAAAAAAAATTAGTCCTGATTTGTTTGAGCTTCAAAAGTCTGTGTTCTGAGAATTGTGTCCCTTTTTGTAAATTTCATTCTGAGCCTCAAAATATAGCACAAGCACGAGCAGAAAATTTTAACTTGACAGGCTCTGTTCAACATTGGGTTTAACAAAAGAAGTTAGCATGATTTTTCCCCATAAAAATTCCCGTCCTGCATATTAATAGACCAGTTCATCAGCGAAAAAAATACTTTAAAAATTCTGGGGGCTACTTTTAAAGCTTGTTTGCATAAAATTACACTCTTTAATTTGTTTTGCATTGAATTCTATGCAAATTTTTGTAGGCTCTTTTATGACTTTCGGGGGCTCTTTTTTAGCATTTCGGGGGCTAATTCGCCCCTGTGTATTTTTGCACTGCAGTTCATGGTTAGCACATGATACAAATGACCCCAAATATCCACAGATCTTTTAAACTTGCAGCACGTACCCAGCATTCGTCTTGGAGGATTTTGCATTCTTGGTATAATTAATTGGCCTTTATCTAAAACCTTGCATGCTCAGATAGTCACTCTACGAACTGGCTTAATTATTCTATAACGGTATATCCCAGAAGTTAGAATAATGGAGGTTTAAAAAAACGGCCCCTGGTTACCTCTCTAAGTTCTTCTTCAGAAAGTCCATGGTTGGAAAAAATTGGGGTCATTATGGTCCCTGGGCTGCAATATAGGATGAAAAATGGAAACATTAGAGGTCATCGCATTTGCAATAAATTTAAGCATGTTTTGAAAGATATGTTATATTAAAGATAAAGACTAGTTATAGTCATGCGATTGCATTGTGAAAGAAACATTGTGGAATCGATCAGAAAAGGTTGATCATCTAGCATATAAGTATTGGTGTGTAGTGCAAGGGTCTGGAATCATCAAAATGATAAGAAATCTTGCCCAGTCTTGGTAAAGTTACAAGCACTGTACACAGAAAGATATATATGGGACTACGCACACGTGTGCGACACATGCGTTATATCTATCAGGTCCAAATAGATTTACCAAATATATCAATTAGTAGGCGGTTTCTCGGCAAAATTTGTATGATCATGTAATATATAGTCAACACATATTCTTTCACATATAATTGGTAATACGAGCTTCCATTTCATTTTTTGAGAGGGGGCGTTTCCAAAAATGGTCTATACCTTTAAACCCATAGCTGTTCAGAGTTTTTTCACTTCCTAAATTAATCTGCTTTCCCTTCTCAAATTGGCAACAATTGATCTAATTTTTCACTCCTTTATAGTTTTTTAAAACCAATAGCCATTCAGGGTTTTCTCACTTCCTAAATTAATCTGCTTTCCCATCTTAAAATGGCAACAATTAATATTATTTTCCACTCCTTTATAGTTTTTTTTTAACCAATAGCCATTCAGAGTTTTCGAACTTTCTAAATTAATCTGCTTTCCCTTCTCAAATTGGCAACAATTAATATCATTTTCCACTTCTTCATAGTTTGAAAAAAATAATCTTTAATAAATGAACCAATGTGAAAGAAAATTGCAAAATGTAACCCCCTAAAAAGAGAAGATTGTGAAAAGATGGAAGGAAATTCAAAATATCAAGGAAATTTTTTTTTTTAAACCCACAATCAAATCTCTTCTCTATCTCCTCCCAATCCACCACACCCTCTCCGTCTCCCAATATACCCTCTATCCCTCATCTTGCTCTTCCTCCCACCCCAATCAACACTGGATATTAACTATTCTAAAAATATTGCAAACATGAAATATTGCTGATAGCATGACTCACTTTACTGCATTGACTCGAACACCTTTGGAAGCCAGATCTAAGTAGAAAAAAAGAGAAAGAAAATATCCTCCCACTTTATAATAAAAATATCAAATTTTTGACAGTACCGAGCAGTGAAAGTAGATCAGGTAGCTGTTTCAAAAAGCCTTTTTTTCAATGAAAAATGACAAAAATCAGTGACAAATCTGCTGATATACAATCAGAAGCAAGGATTTTACTAGCTTATAACAAAAACTGTCAAGTTTTGTGAAATGGGTCCCTAATCTCTAACGATTTGACGAAAACATCAAAGGTTATCCTTATACAATCACCAAAAAAGGAAGTGGATACTCTTTATTATTCATAATGTTCATATAAACCATCAATAAAATATAATACAATATATAACAAATTAAGGTAATATTTTTATGTTTAAATTTGTATTACCTAAATTACCCTAAATTACCCTAAATTACCCCATGTAAGCTAAATAGGAATTGTGTATCATTATTGTTGTTGTAATTAATTATTTTAATGTATGAGGCATAAATGTTCATTTCTTTTCCGCCCTTTTCCCTCTTTTCTAAGCGCATAGGGACTTTCTTTGTGTTAGTGATATGCGCTATACAAATAACTTTCATTATTATTATTATTTTTTTAAATATTATACTCTACCAACACCAGTTAAGATCAAGTTTTGAAATTTCACATTTGGATGGGCACATTCATTGAACTGTTAGAAGGTCTGATTACAGAAATTGCAAAAATAAAGCAAAAAATTTATAATGATTGTCACATAGCAAAGAATACCTACCCACAGCAGTACATCTTGTAAACTGGTCAATGACAGCCTTTGTAATGTTGTAGGACAAGTAATTCCGCACCTGCAAATTCAACCACAATTTTTTTTCTTCATTTTTATATAATTGCAGTACATTTAATGTATAGTGATGATTCTCCATTATTTTTCTTATCCAGAAATACTACATTAGCTGAAAGAGCGATATCCCCCCCAAATAAGGTTTAGTCTATTTCTAATGCAGTACGTTGTGCCTTTTTTAAGTACGAGCAGCAACTAACTGTTGAGGTCTCTAAATTGGTAAGTAGTGTAAAATATAAAATCACTTTTTAGGTGTACAAATTGGCAATCTTTAGGTCAACTTTGGGAATTTTCTTTCTTATTGGTAAACATTTATATTTTTATAAACAATGGAAAATAGGATAGGTTATGGCCAATTTGAGGAGGGGAAACTTGATTAATTTAGAAAATAAGAAAAATCCCTTGAACTGCTACAGGTTCAATTAATGGTCATGCAAGCACGGCAAGTTTGTACAAATATCAAATGTTGAAGTGTCATATATATGTTATAGACCATAGTTCAAATACTTGAATTCAATTAACAAGCTACAAATGTGGCGTCTTCCCCACACATTTCTTGCTTGTCTGATGCAAAATTGCAGAAATGAAATGAGGGGGCTATAGCAATTATACAGGCTACAGATAAAATGATTCTGGAATATTTGTATCTATATCTAGTCAATACTTACCACCCTCTTTCCGCAGATGCTTGATACATTAACGACAGAACCTGGAAAGGAAATGTTGATAGTATTACTAAATTAGGAAGTTTTCTGGAAGATAAAGATGTTTAAATGTTTTTATAATATGACTTTGGTTTAATTTAGCACAGCTCATCGCTTCAGCTATACAGGCTGAAGATAACTGCAGCAAATTTGACCCTTGTTGACCCTTAATGTGGAGGGGTGTGGAAAATGAGGTTTTAATTTGCTTTTTTGGAAAACTGAAAAGGGAAATAATTGTTCTTTATATTTATATTCTACGTTTATTCAGATTTCAATTGATATAAACTTGTACTTTAATCAGATAAGGTCTTTAATGGTCATGCAAGTAACTAGACATTTCTAATTCATAGAGGAAAGAAATGAAAAAAACCTATAATGTCATTTGAGACACATTGCACAGATTTCTCCTAAAATGTTAGAGAAACTGAGGATGTAGATATGGCTCTACATAAATCCAGAAAAATCATTATTATCAGGTAAATTTTTAAATTTCCATTTACCTGTAGGAAGGGAGCCACCTACCTTTAGATTCGATAAGATGAGGTGTCGCTAGGTTCGTCAGTTGGATGATGGATCTTACATTAACCTTCGTTGTGTGGTCATAGTTCTCCAGTAGTGCTTCACTTGTGAGGGTATCAAATAAGGATATTCCAGCATTGTTCACCTTTTGAAGATATTTTAAGAAAAAACATTTGAGATCTAATAATAATCCAGGATGATAATGATAATTATATGTCTTGTTTACCCAGAGTATAGCCTCATCAGTTTTAATACTATATGGGGGGAGGGGAATTCTCCCAAATAATTCTGGCAGCAATTTCATATCCAAAAGGCACTTGAAGTGTATTTTCTTTTTTTGATTTTCATCCTTTCATCATTCATTTTTTGCTTGTCAGGAGAGAGACTGCACAGAGAATATAGAAAATGCCATTAATTTTGTTTTTGTATGCTCCATCCACCCACCCAACCAGAGATTCCTAAAACTGCTGTTGAACAACTCACCAAGACATCCAGTCTACCAAAGTGTGTGATAGTTGATTCCATGATCCTCTTCACACCTTCTTCTACACACATGTCTGCCTTGATTGTAAGTACCTGTCAAAACACATGAAGAAATTAAATGTTTTCAGGTACTTGTAGTTTGTTTGTTTGTTTGTTGTTATAATCACAATCATCATTCGTATTATCATTACCATTATCACTGTTATTCTTTTTCATCTTCTTTTCTCTTCTTCAACTACTTCTTCTAATTTATCTTCTCATCACAATCATCACAATAATAATCATCATCATCATCATCATCACCATCATCATTATTACTTTTATCATATCACCATCATCATCATATCCCCATCATTATCATCATCATCATCAACATCACCATCACCATCATCATTATTATTATATCACCATCATCATTATCATCATCATCACCATCATCATCAACATCACCATCACCATCATCATTATTATTATCATATCACCATCATCATCATCATCATCATCATCATATCACCATCATTATCATCATCATCATCATCATCATCATCATCATCATCATCATCATCATCATTATTATTATTAATACCATTATTATCACCATCAACATTATCATTATTATTATTTCTTAAAGTAGTAGTACATAGCAGAAGTAATCATAAAACTCCATTATCGTTACGGGGTTTAATGATCAGACAATAATTGCAAGTTATAAAACAAAGACATCCTATTATACCTTATCCTTTGCTAGGCCTTTTGCCAGGCAATCCTGTGCAGTCTTCTCTAGTCTCCCTTCATCACGACCCACTAAAGCAAGACCTGCTCCTTCTGCAGCAAAGTGGAGAGCCGTCTCAGCTCCAATTCCTGAACTGGCTCCTATTCAAAAAATAAAAAATAAAAAAATAGCTGGAATCATATTAGTTTTCATGTTTTCGAAATCCCATCGAAATATTGCAAATTCATTTTCATGGGTTTTCGTGAAATTTTCATCACCACCACCATATGGGAAGGGCTATATTCTACTCACACATAACAAAACAAAACCATATAAAAACACAAAACAAAACACATTTAGATCTAAATATAGCAGTGGTGGTTAAGTAAGAGTGAAATTTTAGCTGGGCGTAACATAACCCCCTACAAATACAATGCCCCCCCCCCTTTTTTTTTAATGTGGCTTCATTTCAGTCAGCTCCAGCCACGCCCATGCATAATTAAACGTACACGCACATACAGCGCCTCCCACCAGCTCTATTCACTCGTAAGTTGGAGCTAGCGGTCCCTGGATATTACCCCGATCAGCTCACCACGGACAGCGACCGCTAGTCTGATTTGAGCGAGCCAGTTTTTTCAAGTCCTAGCTAACAACAGTTATTCCGCTAGAATTGAAACATTTTGACTAATTATTACACCATTTACAGCAGTTTGATGACTTACCAGTTATTAAAATCACTCTATCAACAAACTCCCCCATATTGCAAAGGGCATTTGTTCCACACCAGTACCTTGTCGTGGCCATCTTGGTGGTGTGTTGTCTTCCAAGTCCCTGGTTAGAGTTTTCCACTATTGACAAAATATAAATCGTCTCGATCTATTTAGAAATGTATAAGCTAGGTCGATCAAAGATCGTACTATAACAGATGTGTTACTTTTTGACAACGTACGCGTAGCGTCCGACAGTACGCTACGCAAACTTTGAAACTAATCAATCTCTTATAAGCATAACGTGTCACACATTTTATCTTGTCCTGTGCTGTGAGTGTGACTCTGACCCTAGCCCTCCGAAACTGAGCCAAAAATGGGAGAATTCACTGGGAAAGTGGTTCTAATCACTGGTAAGTTCTTGATCATAATTATTCAACAATGGCCTATGCATTCTCGTGTAATAAGCCACTGCTCATTCACTTTGTAAGCTGCGGTTATCTGCGTTACTTGCGTGTAAATAAAGACTAGATCTAATGTCGAAGGCCTATAGTATATGGTCAGTATGGAGGCTCCTTACAGGCAGGTGTGTGTGTGTGTTCCAACTCGATGTCGATGACAAGAGCGAAATTTCAATTCTGGATGAGGCCTGAGATAATCCCTTTGCAGCAAATGTAAATGAAGAATACTTGTATCTTAAAAAGTTAAGCAAAGTTATACACATCGGCCCGAATTCACAAAGCAAGGTTTGAGCTCAGACCAAGGTTTGAGCTCAAACCTCCTTTTGTTTCGCCAAACCTCCCTTTGAAATTTACAAACCAGGTTTGTAAATAACAAAAGGAGGTTTGGCGAAACAAAAGGAGGTTTGAGGTCAAACCTTGGTCTGAGCTCAAACCTTGCTTTGTGAATTCGGGCCTTTAAGTTTAAAAATTTAACCGTATTCTTTTTGTATGATAATTTTTTTAATTAGATCTAGAGTCTATTATGATTCACACACAAAACAAATTGGTCTGACCTCGATCGTACACAGAGTGGTAACCAGCGCTCAAAATACACGGGGGTGGTGGGTGATTCGCCCCCGTGAGCTACAAAATCGCCCCCGTCAGGTTGCTCACGAGGGCGATTGCAAAATTAAAAATCGCCCCGGTGGAATTATAAAATAAAGATAATCTTTTCTGTTATAACTTTAACACAATATTGAGTTTCAAATTTCAATCAGCAGTGCAGTGCCGCCGTCAGCAGTGGTTATAGGCCTACTGCGCCGTTAGTAGCGGTGCGTGTGCACGCTGCCGCGCCATGTCTGCTGGAGCTGGAGGCGATCGGGCAAGGGCAGAAACATGGTCATGGCCAGGAGAAGTTTTTCGTTGTCAGCAAATAATGAACCTCCACCAGTAAATCAATATTAGGGACTTTTAGATTTGCACGATGAGAACGTGGACTGCAAAGTGTGACCTCCTTTTAAGGCACTGCCAGTGCTTAAAAGGATGTGATTGCCAGTGACTTAAAAGGACGCAACACGTCCACGTCCACGCAAATCTAAAAGTCCCTTTTGAGGAGAAGAGGAAGACCAAAATGTCGTGGAATGATATGGTAACATGGGCAGATCTACGGCGGGGGGGGGGGGGGGGGGGGGGGGGTGGGGGATTCTGGAGAGGAGGACTACTAATCTATTTTATTTTTTTCAGGGGGCGGGGGGAAGTGAAGCGCCGTTTTAGCATGACTTTCTTTTTAACTCTTACTTTCACCTATCTCAGATAACCCTAAGTTTTTGGTTGCTGCTTTATATGTAGTTGATAATGCATGATTAAAATAAAGAGAGAGAGAGAGAGAGAGAGAGAGAACCACCATCATTTTGCAATGGTTCTGGGTTCGTGTAATGTACATTTGAAACCATTTCTTAGCGTCTCAACCCTAAAAAAATAGCAAAATTATTTTTGAGGAAAAGCATTATACTGAATTAAATAAAGAATAATAGCTTTATATTGGATCATACTAATACTGATACGGGCTAAAGACAATGTGGTATTTGTATAGAGGTATTCCAAAATGACATTCTGATAATCAACATTTGTTCTGGTATCATATGTATATACGCATAATACAACTGATCTTGATGATTTCTTAATGTGACATAGCTTCTTCTCCCTCTGCAAACAAAACATAAAACAAGGTTATTTAATAAAAGGACCATGCGACAAATAATCATTGTGATTCAAATTGATGCAAGGATTTTTTTGAATAAGCAATGCTTTTCACCAGAATCTTCTTCGTAAAAACGACTTTTACAAATCTCAGCCATGCAATTCTGCCACTGTGCTGTAAGATCACTTTGAGATTAGGAGAAGTGTATTATGTAATGGGTATTTTAAATTGAATGGAACGTCTCAACTCAGTAAGCATGGCTGAGATTTGTAAAAGTTGTTTTTACAAAGAAGATTCGGGTGAATAGCAGTGCTTATTCAAACAAATCCCTTTTAATGACCATGTTTTCTTTTTCGTTTGCAAGGGGAGAAGAAGATATGTCACGTTAAAGACATCATAAAGATCAGTGTTGTATGCGTATATATTATATACACAGGCCAGTAACAGCTATGTAGCTTGTAAATTTGTAAGAGGGAAAATGCTGATTGAAATGATAATGATGAAATAGCAAATAATTGAGGAGTATCATAGGTACCAATTCAATGGATATTTGTATAAAAAAGAGCCCCCGTCAGTAATAAAAGAGCCCCTTTTTTCGGGGGAAGAGCCCCCGTGGACAAAAAATTAATTTGAGCCCTGGTGGTAACACTTTGGCAGGGACAGCAAAGTTGCCTTGTTGTTGATGATGTTGTTTCTTTATATTCTGTTGAAATTTACATGTTAACCAGCAATAGAGTGACAGTGGAAAGATGACTAAATGTTACAATCATTTGGGAATCGCAGAAAGAAAATTACTGTACATGTATGGTATCCGCGCTCGCACAAACGAAGTTTTAACACGTTCTCCAATAGGGATCGCAGCAAAATTTTACCATTTTTCCGGTTCCCGGATTCTTTACGGAATGGCTAAAATCACGACTTCAATTTCAACCAATCAGATGGCTAGATTTCTAAAGAGAGGTATATAATATGGTGTAGATGATGTGTACCATTTTCACCAATACCATCATCACTATCATTTAATTCTGTAATATTCTTTAATATTTTCATGACAGGAGCGAGTTCAGGAATTGGAGCTGAGACAGCTCTCCACTTTGCTGCAGAAGGAGCAGGTCTTGCTTTAGTGGGTCGTGATGAAGGGAGACTAGAGAAGACTGCACAGGATTGCCTGGCTAAAGGCCTTGCAAAGGATAAGGTGAAAATTACTATGCATATTACATGTATATTATATTACACAGGGGATTGGGGGCAGTGATTCAGGATTTTGTAAATGAGGGGGCACAATATTAATTTAAAAAGTTGTGACAAGCGAAAGTGAAAAGTCGTTGCCTGTAAAAGGGGCGGGGCACATTCTTTGCGTTATGTACTTTAAAAGATTTTCTATTTGGGTTTTAAGGGGGAAGGCATGGGTGAATGTGCCAGCAGAATACCAGTTTACTAACATATTCAAATTTTAAGCATAATACTGTTTAAAGAAAGGTTGTTCTTGAAAACCTGAAAGCTTTCCCAATGTTTGCCCGTCATGGCAACACGTACATAATGCAGACTGGATTCCAAGTATTGAGGTTCATTTGGAAATAACAGGTTAATGGAATGCCTTGTCACTAGGTCCCCATGAAAAAACATCCCAAAATTTGAATATAACTTAGTAAACTAGTCTATAGTATTGGACTGTGGAGCCATGCTAAAAAACTTTGATAAGTTTTATCATGCCATCATCATTCATTAACGATGGACTGCCACTGAATGAAAATCATCCTAATTAGATACATTTAAATGAATAGGAGGAAGGGAAAATAATTTTCGTTTAAACTTTTGTTTTTTCAACTTGGAAAACCCCCGGTGGGGTCACTCAATGTGACTTCCGGACCGCATGACTGTTACCAAAATCGTGGGAAAAGGGGTCAATTTCAAGCAATGTCCGCAGACAAAATATTACTCAAAAATATAGAAAAAAAGGGGTGCACAGGTGTCCTCGAAATTGATAAATAGGGGTCAGGAAAAGAGAAAACCGGGAAGAAACATTCTCGGAGCCGAGTCTTGTCCTTGAAATATGGTAAAATAGGGGTAAATTTGTGAAAGTGTCCTTACAATCTTATAAAATAGGGGTATTCCAAAGTACGATTTTGTCTTTGTTTTGACGTAAAAAAGGGGGTTAAATTTCACAAAATGTCCTTGAATTTGACCGCAAAAGGGGGTTATTTGCGTTTGTGGTAACGGTCATATGTGTCACCCTCTACGGGGGAGTGACCCCACCAGGGGAAAACCTTGAATTTCTTGAAGAGTATAGTATGAAGAGACCCTGAATTGAGAAACCTAGAAGAGAAATCTTGAATATGCTCCGGTGTTTGATACAACAAAATATATGAACTGTCAAACTTAGAATTTCCCAAGTGATATTATACTTCACCGAAATGGCAGGCCGATGTACATGTAGATGCACGAGGGGAATTATAAATTTGGAGGTGATACATATACATGTCTTGAACCACGATTTATGTTTTATATATTATTTGTTTAATAAAATTAAGGGTATTTGCAAGCTAATGACTCAGTTTTGATGTAGAGCTAAGCAAACATACCATAGACTATGTGACTACAGTCCGACTCATAAGAGCTTGTAACATAACTCAAAATAACTCTTCTATTTTGACAGGTTCTAACAATCAAGGCAGACATGTGTGTGGAAGACGATGTGAAGAGGATCATGGAATCAACTATCACACACTTTGGTAAACTGGATGTCTTGGTGAGTCTTGTTTTATATTCCAACAGTCAGTAGAGCAAATCAATCTCACAATCTCTGTGTCAATATCCTACTCTCACTAAATTTTTCATTTCAATGCTGGACCAAACGCTCTATCTAGCTCTTACCTTAACTCCAAACCTAACCAAAGACCCAGTTGCGAGATGGCTAAGTGGTAGAGCAGTGGTCTCATAACCAGGAGTAGGGTCCTGGGTTTGAAACCAAGTCAACGTGCCAGACTGCCAGTGGCCTTTGTTTGAATTTCTACCCCACCCCTGTTCCTTTTTCAAACTTAAAAATACCTGGTGATGAGTGCGTTATAGTCGATGCAGCGCATGAGGGTATTCACTATTTGCAATAAAATTCATGATGTGTAGCCGAGTGTATTTTGTGCCATTGTGAATACCCAGATAGCGCTGCATGCATATGGCCATAACGACACAAATGAAAACTTGTGTATAATTTGTTGTTTTTAAATGGGTCGACAATCTTACTAAGCAAGGCCATTAGATGTCTCCCTGCAACCTTCATCCACGGATGTTATCACCAAAATGCACCCCATGCAGATGGTACGGTGCATATATAAAAACATAATGTTGGTCATGTGATCCATTTTGACGCTTCTCATTGGCTACATTCTTGAACCCATTTCATAAAGGTCAATAATGCCGGAGGAGCGAGTCCATGTTCCCTGACAAGTGAAAACTTAATGGAGAATTATGATCGGGATGTGAGGCTCAATGTAAGGTCTGTCATCCAACTTACCAACCTAGCGACTCCTCATTTGATAGCATCCAAAGGTTTGTCTATTCTATTTAAAAAAAAATTGCAGATGTTTCTGCATTTAATGATAAATCAAATACAAAACCAAACAACAATAGTAATAATCTCCTAGTTTGGAAACGCTTAGTGATTGTAATAAGCGCTATATAAAAACTGAGTATAATTATTATTATTACATAAAGAGTGATAGCTGAAATATACACACATAAAAATGCATGTAAATATATATAACTGAAAACTTAAAAGTTGGAGGTAATCATTAAAGTCAAAGAATCAAGATAAACGCGGAGGCCAACTATCATAAGCATGAATGTTTGAGTCGATAGAAGCAATATTTGATTGATTGTCAAAAGCAGTCGATATTTGATTGATAGCAACTAAAAAAATTAAGAACTCTGTAATTTCAATCTGATTTTGCTCAAATTTTCACTGATCTAACTGGTTTAAGCTTCTACCAACCATGAAATTTAGTAGGCAAGCTTTTTTTCTCAAGCCAAGTGATTATTTACACAGTTTCTTGCTTTCTGCTTTTTCACTGATCTGTTTCTCTCATTTTCTACTTACATGTAAATCATCAAAACCGACTTGAACTTTGAAGTTATTTATTAGTTAAATAAATGAATAATAGAAGCAGAGGTAATAATGATTGTTTTCATGCAGCTCACTACTTTATTACTATTATATCAATGATAGTTTTATTGTCTGATCAACTTTTTTCTTTTCAGGAAATGTGGTGAATGTTTCCAGTGTTTGTGGAATAAGAGTGGTATGTAGTAAGATATTATACATTTAATTATAAGTACCAGTATTAAAGTAGAGGTGCTTTGATTTTAAATATTGATGTAATTGCATAAGGGATGACTAGATCTAACAAGATTATCAAAACACTCTGCTGGGAAACATTCAAAGTAACAATTATCGTGTAGTTTAAATTGGTAAAATATAGCCCCACCTTCACACTTCTAGAGCTCTCCCGAGTGCTACGAAGAATTGTGACATCACTCAAGGGGACCAAATTTTTTTGTTGTAATTATTTATTCGGTCCTCTGAGTGCATCAGTTGGCTGCCAGGGAAGAGGAAAGCAAACTTAATCGATGTAACCATAATGATCCCTCTTCCCGACCTACTGGTGCACCCAGAAGACCTGCAAAATATAGCATGAAGGTAAATAAAAATGAGTGTACGAAGACAATGTCCCACAATTATGTGAATTTGTACCTCGTTGACATGGTTATAATTCAAAGTCGGCTTTTATCTGTCATTTTTAAGTTTCCCGTAGTATACGTTTCTTTTCTAGTTATGTGGTGAGATAAACTTCATTATTGAGGATTTTTATAATAATAATAATAATAATATGGATATTTATATAGCGCCGGTATCCGCCAGGCTCTGATGCTCATGGCGCTGTACATACATGTATTACTATCACAAAAATATAACTTTCTTAACTAAAATAAAGTAAACTAAAACAACACAAATTATTATGCTACATTGACATGATTAAATAGCATTGTTTAGAAAGAGATCGTTTTTTAGAGCAACTTTGAAGGCATGAAGGGTAGTTAAATTACGAATACTAAGTGGCAGCTTAAAATAATTTTGTTTGAATTTCAGATGGCCAATATGTTACCTTACAACATGGCAAAGGCTGCCGTTGACCAGCTCACTAGATGCGCTGCTTTAGGTAAGTAATTGTTGGCTCCCTGCTCCTGTGTATCCTATTTGCCCCTGACAAATACCCTTAGCCTCCTACATTAAATACCCTCTAAATAGCGGCATATTTTCTGCAATTTTACATTGGGTAGCCAACAACAACAACAAATTTAAAAGGGAGAAAATGAAAGAAAAAAATCTCGGATTCTCTTGTTTCAAATAATTATCAAAACATGAAATGAATCTGCTTACTTTCTTCTTCTCTCACTTGCTTATATGAGGCTTGATCTAAAACTGATGGCGTTTTATGTTGGATAAAGTTTTCTCTTTTTCTTTTTTCTTCTTAGAATTGGCTTCCAAGGGAGTTCGAGTGAATGCAGTAAAGTAAGTATTTGGCATTACCTGTGCCTGGGAGGGGAAAATAAACTTCTTCTTCTTCTTCTTCTTTTTCTTCTTCTTCTTCAGTACCTGTCGACAGACTTGTTAGTCCATTTGATCACTAAAGCTTCTATGGTTTTCCCCCTCACTGCAAATGCAAATGACATGTTTGAGTTCAAGTTTATTTCCACATCTGATCATGTTAAAAGTACAACTTACATGCATATATACAATAATAAGCATTAAAATGAAACATGATCAATTGAAATCATAATGTGGTGGGAAAAACAGAGGTCAATGGCCTATCAAGGTTATTCTCAAAGATAATAACATTTACATAAAAAGTTTCTTAAATATATTAAAAAAACATAGATAGATAGAAATACAAAGATTAAAATGACACAAAACATCAACATATAGAATTAAAACAGACAAATTCATTACAAAAAACAAAAACAGAAAGGGCATTAATCCTAGTTATACATATTCATTTACAAGATATTTCTTAAGCTTTCTTTTGAAAATTGACACTGTTGGGCATATTTCAAGTTCTTGAGGCAATTTGTTCCATAAATTGGTCCAGGCATAAATAAGTGTTGTTCTTGAGAAGTCATAATTTAACATTGGTAGGTGGAAAAGATTTAATTGAAGAGTCTCGTAAGTAGTCACATTTCTGTTAGATATAAAACAATCGTCTGAAAACTATTAACCTTTCTCAAAGGAAATCATCCAGCAAATCATCATTCCTCTTGATCTTACTCAGATTATTCTAAAGTCTCGTTCAGATACGAGGTAATTAAAGGAAACCAAAACCTTCATACTAAGTTACTTTTATTGTAAAGTTTAAAAGATTTGAATAAAATCAGTGAAAATTTGAACAAAATCGGGCAAGGAATAAGAAAGTTAAAGCTTTTTGAAATGACTAGTCACTAGAGGGCAGTATTCAATTTGATGACATCATCTGTGAACAACTCTCCATGCCTTTTGTACATAAAATTTCACAATTTTGTTGTTTTCTTCGTATTTATTTGTGTTCTTGATCCGACTTCATAACATGTGAAGTAGAATATCATTTTGCATTCTATATCTTGCTTTCAGGGGAGTACATTATCTCAATCACAAGAAAGAAGGAAAAACATGAAATTTGATGTACAAAAGGCATGGAGAGTTGTCCACAGATGATGTCATCAAATTGAATACCGCCCTCTAGTGACTAGTAATTTTAAAAAGCTCTTACTTCCTTATTCCTTGCCCGATTTTGTTCAAATTTTCACTGACATTTTTCAAATATCTTAAACTTTACAATAAAAGTAACTTAGTATGAAGGTTTTGATTTCCTTTAATGTTAAGAAGAAAAAAAAAAGATGTAAGCGCAATACGCTTCACTTATTTTGTATCTTACAACACTGACCTCAACGAATATGCATGGTCGGACCTTTGTTGCACACAGTTGCCATTCAATGACGCTTTAGTTGCTTTCTTCGCCTCTCTGCACAGTCGATAGTTTGCCACACATGCAATTTTGCACAGAACACTAGGCATCAATTGACAAAGGATTGCTTTGTGTTATTTTGTATTGTATTTGTATTTATTTCCTTCTCAACCGTACAATATGAAACACAATGTATATATAAATTATATACATGTACGTAACAATTATTTCAACATAGAGTATACAGTAAATAATTCAGATACGGAAGGAGGCGAAAACCCGAAAAGCGTAGCTTGAGTTGGGAACGCCCATAATAAGTTAACACAGTTATAATATGTTATACATCCGCCTTGCAAGATTATCAATTTCCAGTCGTGATTAGCTCCATGACAACCCTTTTAACATTGGTATAGATTAATCTTGCAGTAGAAACAAATGTCCTTTGGCAAGACATTAATCTACATTTGCTACACTCCACCCAGGTGAAGTAAATGGGGACCGGTAGGAAGGAATTCCTTGAATGCTGTGAGCATCGAAATCGGTAGCCTAGCAGAGCCGGGGTAATATTGGAGCACTTTGAGCACCCTGCAAGGTGGATATGTGCGCTATATATATCCAATATTATTATTATTATTATAATGTTGAGGTCTTTGTTGAATCTATCCCATGATACACACGATATGGCACTGCAGGATTATTTGTGTGGCATATAAAGATTTAAAGGGGTATGTTTGATATAACTGTCACCAGAAATGCTAGTATTTATTTTGTTTATTCATGTCTTCTTTACAATTAAAGCAGGGTAGGTCATTCAGTTAAAACACTGCTTTACAATGAAGCCCTGCTGCAACATACAAAATACACGAACAACAACAACATAAAGAAGAAAAACTTTTAACATGAAATACGAAAGCCGTTTACAGTGTCTCTTTTGCAAGATAAGGGAAGAGTTTGTCTCTGGTTCATGAATCCGGTTTGACAAATGCCAAAACGTGCAGTGTGTCGAAGAAAATGATGTAGAAATCAATCTAATGCAGATACCCTTTGCACACATGTGCTTCGTTCCATCTTCACTCCATGCTTCCATGCGAGGAACTGCCTGGGATTATGCATGCTTTTGCAACCTCGGGGGTTTATTTGCATATATCTACATGGATTTACATGTACATTGTATGACAACTGTAACTAATAAATATGCAAATAACAGAGCTTGTAAATAAAAGGAGGCACATGAATATCCATAGAATTCCGTGCATATCAATGAGCTTCTATGAATATTCAATAAAGCTTAACCAATCATACTGTAGAACCCAAGTGCAGGTTCAACTAAAAAGACGTGAGAAAAGAAAGTGGTATTGTAATTTGAAAACTGGAAGTGATCCAAACTAGAAGTTGTCTTCTCGACGAATTAACTATGTTGTCTCGTCGACGAAAATACTCTTTCAATTCAACAAGGCAATACTAAATCTTGTCGGAGGCTTTGACGAAACGCGAAACTACCAGAAATATATATACAACAACAAGATGTGTCCAGAAACAAAATGGCTGCCTCTGGCTAGCCCAAGCGTGAACTGAAGAAAATGAGAGAATAGCCTACTTGGCGAATTAAACAAATAAAGACTCGTGGCCAATCCAGCGAAGAAGAAAATACAAACGTGGACGATTAAATAAGCCGAGAATACAAAGTCGCAAAAGTCGTACGCTATGTATGAAGTAAGGAAGTACGAAGTGATGCACTGACGAATGACTAACCCGTGAACACGTGTATCTCTGATGACTACAATACGGAAGAGTGGCGAAAATCACGCTGCTAGCCAAAAACACGAGACTATGAAACGCCGTGATTGGCGCTTAAAAAAAAACAAACATGGAGACCACGAATGTCCTATTGCAGGTGCGAGGTTACTTAAAATATGCACGTAATTTACAAGACAAAAAGGAAGTGCCGATATAAATGAAGGAAGGAAATGCTGATATCTTGCAATTTCTGAAAGTTTGTTAACCCCACAATAACTGGGTGTATGGAACACTACAATACTGTAAAAAAAACAATAAACCAAAGGATGAACATGAAAGAATAAACTTGTAAGGAGTAATAAAAGTTGGGAAGAGTGAACATAGCACGAGAGCATGTAGAGGGAATGGTGACGGTGATTGAATGTGATGGAAAGAGCAAAATGGAGTTAGATGATAGAAAAATGCAAATAGACATATCGGAAGAAAGGATGCTTTCATACATGCCACAGTACAATATTATGTTCAAAATATAGCTCTACACTTGTATTGATTTATAATTCATTATTTTTCATAATTCATTATTTCTAATACATAAGAGTGCCTATTTCAGGCAGATTTGTGTGCCATATAAGAACAGAATTATTCTTCTTCTTATCATGACAATGATATTAAATCAATGGTTATGCTTTTTGTTTTTGCTTTGTTTTGTAATTGTAATTTCATTCATCTTTTACAGCCCTGGTACTATCATGACCCCTATTCAGTTCATGTATGGCCATTCAGACGAGCAAATTCGTGAGGTGAGTTTATAACCTGTTAATTGTCTACTGATTCTCTCGTTCCCATAGCCAATGGGTTAAAGGTAAAGATCAGTTTTGGAAACACCCCCCCCCCCCCCCTCTCAAAAAAAGAAATGGAAGCTCTTATTACCAATCATGCGAAAGAATATGTTCCTACTAATACGTGATGATACAAATTTTGCCGAGAAACCGCCTACTAATTGATGTATTTGGTAAATTATTACATCTATTTGGACCTGGTAGATATAATATAGTCCCATATACATCTTTCTGTGTACAGTGCGTGTAACTTCACCAAGACTGGGCCAAATTTATTATCATTTTGATGATTCCAGAACCTTGTAGTACACACCGTTACTTATGTGCTAGATGATCAACCTTTTCTGATCGATTCCACAACGTTTCTTTCACAATGCAATCGCATGAGCAGAACTGGTCTTTACCTTTAATACAGGAGCCTCCCTGTTACCATTGTTGATGGGTTAACCAACCAGTGGACCACTGAATTCTCTAACACCTGTAGAGGAGCGCTCCTGTTTCCATTGCCTATGGGGTTAAAGTTCACCAATCAGCAACAAATATTCTGTTCTTCATGTTTGTTTGTTTTAATGATTATATTTCTGCATTAAAAAAGATACAATATCAAATTCAAAGTACAAAAATTTGAACAATAACAAATATGGTACAATGAATAAAATGTTTCCAAAGTAATTAAATAGAAAATCATGTACAATTATATCATACAATAAACATGTACGAAGCATACAAATAAGATAAGAAATATATAGTAAATATTTGTCAATAAATTAGAGAGGTAATTTAGAATGCAGGAGACCACCATCATGAGCGGGGTTGTTGTCTGAAAGCTCACTTACGGTGACTTTCCAATTAGTGCCTTGAGTGAATCGAGTGCCAATAGACCTCCAAATTGGTATCTGAAAGTTCACTTAGCGGTCAATTAACTCCTGCATCATCAAAATATGCCCCTTCCCAGCTATTATCTATTCCCCCTCTCACCAAACAGACCAGGGGGGAGTTTCACAAAGACTAAGATCGACTTTAAGTTGGACTACCACAGTTTGCTCTCACCATTATGATCTTTAGATAATATTTTTTTCCTTCAATAATGAATTGTCATAAAATTAAAATTCTGTAGATTTTTTTACCATGATTTGTACGTCCCTTGAGAGACCAATGCCAGAAAACGATGAGAGAAAACAGTGGCATGAACAGCCTGCCGTAGTTAAGTCCAACTTAAAGTCAATCTTAGACTTTGTGAAACACCACCTGAAACAACAACTCAAAAATGTGAAATTTAATACAAAATCTGTGATCTCTTTTCATGCTTAGTGTACTTGATTTCACTCCCGTTCACCAAATTCTCTGCATGTGATCACACATTAACATATTCACGAATATGATCACATATTAACATATTCATGAATACGATCACAAATTAACATATTCATGAATATGATTACACATTAAGATATTCATGAATATGATCATCATTAACATATTAATGGGTATGATCGCACATTAAGATATTCATGAATATGATCGCACATTAACATATTCATGAATATGATCACACATTAACATATTCATGAATATTCATAAGATTTGTGACACTTTCCTCCGTCTTTTGTTTTTGCAGCGAGCAAGTAAGACTCACCCAATGGGCAGAGCAGGAGAAACGAACGAGGTGGCACCTGCCATCAAGTTCCTTGCATCCAACGCAGCATCCTTCATCACTGGAGAAACCCTGTCTATAGATGGCGGCAGACACGTCGCATGTGCACGATAATTCGATTTTCAACACCATTTGACTCATTGATTCTTTTAAGTCTTGAATATTTTGACTTACCGGTAAAAATATACAAAATTCAAAATGGGTGTAGGTATCATATTTTGAGGTACATGTTCAAAATTGAAATTGGATTGAAGCTATTGTTTTTGTAAATGCAATTCGTTTTTCATTCTACAAGGAATCAAATTATGAAAATGTAATTCACCTTTTATATATTTTATAAAAATAATGTTCCAAATCTCATTTATCAACTGTCATAACATGTACTTGCTGAAATATATGTTTGAGTTCTGAGTTAAAGGTAATACAAATTTTTGGTATGGGGTCGTGAATTTGGTTCAAATGAACATATTGGAAGCACATGCAATCCTACAATATTCACTGATCATTGTCGCGGTCGAAATCGACTCTAAAGTTATGAAATTGTAAATAATAACCACTTTATGTTGTATAGCTCCCTCTCAAGGTCAATATATGAATTAAGCTATAAAACAATGTTTCTTGACTGAAATCAACCGATAAGCTATTCCCATTCGGAAATTATATACCACAACTACATATTCTGAGATTTTCATGGTCGCAGCTACCATTGTACGGCCGTAGGAGCTATTTAAAATTCATCAAAATTTACCAGGAGCACCGGTAAATCTTAATATTCAATTTTTCTCGAAAGCAGAAGTGTTTTAAGGGTTAAAATTTCTAGTGCTTTTAATACATCCACAGGGGCATCCAAATATATCAAAATTGTAAAGATTCACTATCCACCCATTTTTCAAAATGTCCTAAAACTTTGTAATACCTTTAAAAGAGATGATTTTGTAATTTGTTGAACATTTTGTTGTCAGTTTGGATAAATATCCCAAATTACTAACCGTTAGACAATTTATTGTGATTCAATGTAATTAAACATTAGTCTTATTTGTGATGTCATAATATTTTATGTAATCAATTTGTTTTCGCAACATTGATGGCAACATCAAATAAAACAGTATTTTGGAATATATTTGAAAGATCGCCTATTCTTTTGTCATTCATATCAGTACTTCAGTACCTGGCGGTGTTTCACAAAGAACCTAAGTCAGACTTGACTTTAAGTTGGACTTACAAATTATGGAGAGCCATTTGTAGCCTCAAAATAAAATAAATTCAAAAGCAAAAATTATTTTGGACTTTTCATAAATTCCACATCATGAACATGAAATTTCCTTGATAATAGAAAATATGATTGATTTGAATCAACATTTTATGCCTTTTCAAATAACTTTTAGAATCTATTTATAAAGCTGCTAACCACTTAATTCCATAATTGTTAAGTCCAACTTAAAGATGAGTTCAACTTAGGATCTTTGTGAAATGCCCCTCCCCCCCCCCCCCCTTGGATAAATGTGCATCTGTACATACATCCTACCCAGAAAAATAGCCTATCAAGGATATATGCAGAGTTATCAGCATACAGTTTGGCCAACCCGGTTCTAGGTGGGTACAATGTGGTGATTATCAAAACTGCTTTGTTGAGCAAGTTTAAAGCAAAAGCCCCACCCCCCCCCCCCCCACTCCGTGAATGGAGGGATACCATGCGTGTTACCAAAAATGGCTCGTAGTACACAAAAATCCGGCCCGTATCGACTTTACACACCGAACTTAGGGGGGTGTTTTCAAAAGGAGGGAACATGCATATGCGTGCCCTAAATAACACCGAGTGGGGGGGGGGGGGCGGGGCAAAAGCGTATGCATAAAACTAAGTTTCTTCGAAAAAAAATCTTATTTTTCAAACAATTTGTATATTCAAGTATACAGTATATAGAGAGGACTTGGTCCTTTTCTGTCATAATGGGATACATGTGTAGCGAAATTTTATCGTCAATTCTAAAAACACTTTTCATTAAATCAGTTTGTTTACAATTGTCAGCTGATTGTGCTATACACAACCATCAATTGCCTTTCATAATCAAGAGACCAGCAATTCCTTTTGAAATCGTTTCTTTTCTTCACTGCTGGTCATGCAGCCTATTCAACATTGTGACTCAATAGAATATAAATCAGGCAAGCTCACCTGTTGTTGAAATACCTTCACTACCGTACCCTAGTAGATGTTTTTGTATCATGGCAACACCTGGCCAATCAAGAGACGGTCTGGAAAAAAGCACATGACACATTTTTCTAGATTCATTCCATTTGCAAGGTTTTTCTGCTAGTCACATACAACTGTGACTCGTATAGATTTAATCCATCGGATATCATCTCGCGTTGTAAAAACATTCATCGTTTGGGCTATCCGAGGAGGAGTTTTAATTTTCAAACACATTTTTGTTTTGATGCGTTTCGTCAGGGCCTCGCTGATGGGGTCGCTTCATTTCCATTAAGCGTTTTGACACTTATGGAAGGAAATTTGTGTGTATACCGTATATTTAATTCCTTATAATTATATGGACATCATGCCTCCGGGCTCCAGATGAGTTATTCTGTTGGATTCCCACATTTGCTACTATTCTTGCAGTTCGAATGAGGAGTCATTCATCAAGTTAATGGTGAGCTCATGTACTTATCTTTTAATGTTAGGAATTCACCCGAATACCAACACATTTAATATAATTAATATATATTTTTAATATCCAGGTGTTTTTTCCTTCTGTAATAACTAATTAGTAGTGTTCTGCTTCCACTGCATGCATATCCTAACAGCTACACACCTATGCACCTTGGTCGAGAGAGGCATTGTAGATAGAATATTGCTAAAGGGTATATGGGTTTATGTCAGGGATAAAATATATGAAATATATGAAATGGCCGCAAAATATATGACAAAAATGATGATGATGATGTTGATGATGAAGATGATACTGATGATAATAATCATAATGATTTTAAATAATGATAATAATTATTAGTAGTAATAATTATAAAATGTCTTGTTTACCCATGGTAGCTCATCAGTATTGCGTTCTCTTTGAGGTCAATTATGAAGGGGAAGGGCCTAAAGTAAGGTTGACTTTGACAAACAAATGGCCATTTCACCTCAAAAGGGGCACTATATTATGAGGAGCAGAAGTGGTATATTTTGTAGTGACAGATTCAGGTGGGGACCTTAACAGCTGCGCCCCCCCCCCCCCCCCCCCACACACACATTTTGGCTGTCACTTAAGAAAGGGGGGAGGGGGAGAGAGACGGAAGAGAAAGGGGAAAAAGAAAGAAAAGAAGGTAAAAGTCGGAAAGAGAGCGAAAGAGAAAGAATAGAAATGACAAAAGGGGTTCGTTAACATATTGGATGGGATGGAAACACCACCGCGAGCTGTTCCGCATACATAAGTATATATTAATGGCAGATTGGGAGGGGCAGATCGCCCGCGCCCTTCCTTCTCTTTTTGTTGAGGAAGGAAAAATGGCGAAAGAGAAAAAGATTGATGGAAAGAGGAAAAAGAGATGAATGTCAGTACGAAACAAAAGGGGAACAAAAAATCTATGAAATCGTCTTTTAGAGAGAAGAGATATTTCTAAAATGACAGCGGCTTGCTTTGTGAATTTCAAGAAGATTACAATTTATATCGTTCGTGACGGCCATTTTGAAGGTTCTAAATTGTTTAAAAAAACTCAAGAACTGAAGATCCCCACCCCCCGGGAAAGGCACTGCCCCTGCACCCACATGAGCCCTATACAACGGACCCCTGGACTCCATCCGTAAATATAGAAGTGGTTCCCAAGACAACCCTTAAATAGTAGTAAGATGAGGATGTGTGCTTATACCGCTCACACAGCTGTCTTGAAGGTTCATAATTGCTAATACTCGAGAGCGTCACTGGACTCGCTCACACGTTGGCTTCGCCTCCCCCACCCCCTCTGAAAAATCATGTATCTGCTGCAGCTTTGTAAACAAAGAGTTAAGCATAATAACCCCTTGTTTGTAAGGGATATCTTGACTTTGAAAGAAAGGGATATGGACTCAATGATTTATAACTTAATGAATTATAAATTTGTATGAAGAAACTAAGGGCAATCTTTTAGCTCAGGAGGGGCACCTTACCATTTTTGCTTTTCTTTTAGAAAGGGCATTTTGTATAAAAAAGGGGCAATTGTTTTGTAAAGAATGATGTAAACTAAGGACACATCAGATGACAGAGACCTACCTATGCTTATATTGCTTTATTTCACTTGTGTTTTGAATAGAGACTTCATATTTCACTCTTTCAATTTTGTGACGCTCGTTCCCTTATCCAATAATTCCTGATCCTGATGTAGCTTGTTGATTCACTCGTGTTTTTCTTTCTTTTCTTAACTTTATCTTCTTCTTTTTTTGAGGGGGGGGGGGGCAGACCGGAAAATCCTATTTTGTTCATAGATTGTATTCTTTCTTTCTTTTAAGATAAGCTTCTGGAAATGATAGAAAATAAATTCTCATAGATTCCAACAAAACTTACACTGAATTTCAAGATTATAAATAAATGTGCCAACGATTTTGGTAGGAAATGTATAGATGCTGTACTTAATGAGCATGGAAAAGATAAGGAAATCAAGGTAATACAAGGCCCGACACCATGATGATTGATGAACACAGGTCACTATGTGAGAATGAGAGAAGACGATTTGATTTACAGCAAGTTTTTATTTTAGTGGTTCAATCAATCAATCTACTGCAGGATAAACAATCCAGAATTATTAGCCACATTCTCACGACTTAGCGAAATATCGGCCGGCACGATTTTCACATTTCAGCACACTAAATTTCAAATTGATTTTAAATTTTGGCCTCCCCCCATTAGGAAATCTTGGATCTGCGCCTGCCCATACCAGAGCTCAAGATTAGCTAATGGTGCCCGTGGTGGCAATCACTGCACTCCTTTTTCTTAATCCCCTCTCACTCCCTTTAAAAATGATTTTACCCTGATGAAAACCTCAGCAACTTTGAACATTTTACCCGCATAGTTTATGTAGAATAATTCTTATTCTTTTGCGTAATTCTCCTGTTCTTTGAAATAAGATTTACACGAGTCCAAACTGCATGTATAATAATTGAAAAGATCAAAAGATTAAAATTAAGTTTAGGATGCGTGGAAGAGGGCCCTCAAATAAACAACACCGATCAATTGAAATATTGTTTATCTGTCATCATATAGCTTTGAAAATATTCGATAATGATGGAAATGACAGAGACATATTTTTAAACATTTGACCATGTGAAGTCAACATCATGCTATAATAATAATAATAACATGTCTTCTTTACCCAGGGTAGCCATTATTAGTTTTCATACTGTTCTCCCTGAGGGCCCTGCAATCATATTGTTACCCCGGTCATCGGATTCAGGCTTACCCGCACACAATATGCACATTCTCCACTCCCTGGGGAGCAATCCAGCCAGTGCATCATTTTTACAAGCGCACACTTGCTAATCTAATCACTCTTGCTAATCACACTTGCTAATCTAATCACTCTTGCTAATCACACTTGCTATGTGTTTCTCCTTTCATATTTCACCTCAACATCTTTCTTGATTTCGCTATAAAGTTCTTACACAATAACAATAGTAATCAAGCAATCAGCCAGTTTACAGATACAATAAATCAATACGTTCCAGAACAAGACTTGCCCAGTACAAAAAAAATCACTTTAAGAACAGCATTATTTAATACTCATTTCAGCCAATGTTTGAAGTTTGAAGTTTATTATCCAAACAAAAAGTACATCAATAAAACAATTAAATGTAAATGTTTAACATATTGAAAGGGAAAATGGGACCAGAAAATAGCATCAAATGCTTGTCGTGTCTGGTACCACTAACACAAAACTAAGTATCACAAATGAGAATGTAATGAATAAATATGAATAACTATTGAATACATATACTTAAGCTACAGGCTATTCTACATTATATACAGGCTAAAATATATGTTCTGTGATTAAATACAAAGTTTTGGTATTTTACTCTAAATATATATATATATATATATATAAAAAGATTACATAACATAATGTTTATAAAAAAGGCAAGAACCTCGGTTCAAAGTTCATGATTATTTTATACATGTATTAGCATTTGTGATATTAGAACTCTATACGAAAGCAAGACACTGCCGCTTTCTCCCGCACATAATAAGGGTAGGTCATTCCAAAAGCATGTGCCTCTGACATTGAGCATTTACCCTGCTTATAGTCCTTACTTTGGGTACACTCAACTCCTTACTTTAGGCACATGTACTCGACTTCTTACTTTCTCTTTATCTAGTCTCATATTTTTTACTCTATATGAGCCAGCAATACTGAATAGGGACTGCGGCAATTTATCATTCAATAATTGATAATATAAAACAAATAATTTAGAAATAAGAATGAACACACAAACTTTATTCAAAATATAAACTGGGTGAAGGTAAGTTCACTTCTGACTTGGAATGATTTACAAACGAGTTAAACACACTAAGATGTTCAGGGAATTGTCATAATGAATATGTCAGATCGAGGTAAAATTTCCGCGGTAAAAATGATGTTTTATATCTGCAGGGCAATTTTATTTTTCATAGTGCATCATGTTATTTCGACAACAAAGAAAATCACAAAAAATATTTCACTTGCTAAATATTATGACAGCTGCTCGAATATAGGTTACTTCTCGGACCGAGGTTGTATACCCACCCCCCCCCCCCCCCCCAAGGGAAAAAAAAAAAAAAATCATCGATCAACCCTTTCCTGCACCTTGTACGCGCTCATGACAGAAAGCTGCAGGATGCCTCTTTGGTTTATATTTGTCATATTACAGTAGCCTCAAACTTCAAAGACTCGAATCTTTTTGAAATTCGTTCAAGCGCAAGCCTCTTATATCATTCCTCCCCGATGTTGGAACAGTACGTGACGCAACAAAGCGCTACGATGACAACACAAGCCGGTGACCTTTCAAAAACCTCCTTGTGAAAAGTGTGACCTTTCTTACGTGACCTAGTTTGCGTGCACTTACATCATTTACCAATTTAACGCTTGAATAATGACAACCAAACTTATTCCTAGTCATTTCTGTGTTTTTAATTTAATGATATAAAATATTTTAAGCATTTTTATTTAAACATAATTTAAATTTATACTTAATATTTTTCTTGTTGCTTATAAAAACTTTAAAATCATTAAACTTATGTAAATCATTAGTTTGACATTAATCGGCAATCGAGCCAAGCGCTAGCGGTCGCGATCGACGCGACCCTGACCCACCGGCAGCTACGGAATTATGCATGCCCTGCATGTACCGGCGCGACTCGCTCATAGATATTGCGTAGCTACACTTACACTCCACAGCTAGCTAGTGCAGTGGATGGCTTCACTGTAACTTTTTGAGATGTAGTAAATTTGCTCTGATTGATCGTCGATGCATTTGATTTTGCTTCAAAACATTCTTTCCACCGACCATAGATCATTGATATTTTCGCTTATAGAGTGCACCAGAAAATGGCATTAAGAACTGTTTCCAGAATATTATTATCACAGTCGCAGAAGACTTCGCTCCGAATATGGATGGCAGAAACGAAGAGATTGTCAACAAGGTTTGTCTCAAATTTGGTTTGTTTTCTGTAAAATTTATTTAAATTGCAGTCTAGTCACAATAATTAGAGTAATGGAGATTCGGCTGTCATTTGAGTGTCGGTATGATGGGTCATCATGGTCATGATGTATGAAGGGGTGCAGGTGACCAAAGTTCGCGGACATTTTAGAACATAGAAGTCTAACTTTAGGCCTATTACAAAATGTGATATTCGAACTACGATTTCTCATATTCTACACAAATTTATTGATTTCAATTATAACCAAAGGGACGGCGAAGTTTTTAACTACAGATTAGTTCAACTAGAAAATTTTATCGTCGAAGGATTTCGGAGATATCGCGATCTAAAAATTCGATGTCCGATCGTTCGTGCGCGCTGCATCTAAAAAAGTCATAAAAAACAACGAGACCTAACTTCACGCATGAAGGTTTACAGTTGATTTATCAAAAAGTGTGATCCATAAAAATAAGGTAATATCATAATTTGCAAGGCAAGATATCATACAATCAGTTAGTACCACTCTTTACTTACAATTTTGAGGAAATCTGCTCTCAAATTGAAGATTTTCAGACCCTTATCGGTAAGTTGATCATTTTTCGGAACGGACGCAAAATATTGCAAAATTTGCCGATCTTTTGTCAATATTTTCACAATTTCGTACCCAATTCCAAAGAAAATTTCACTTCTGGGTAATTTTATGTTCCTCTTTCCATTGGTGATATCAGATTTTCGTAATCTTACTGATTTTTTGAGATAGCGAACTTAGGTCACGCGCGAACTTTGGTCACACCACCATAAGTGTAGATCTAGGCCTACCAAAATTTGATCAAGAACATTCTTTTCACAAGAAAGAAAGGTGGCCATGATGATCATGTTCTGATGATCATCAACTGTCATTGTTCTTAATGATAATCCCATGTCTGCACACACCCATTCAGGTTACCATAGGCCTAGTCTATATGCAAGTCAAGAATTTCTAGGCAATATTCTTAATCAATTTTGTATGAATATTGACATGATCCAATATTAATATTAATTTAAAGATGATGAAAACTGCATGTTTCGTTCTTTCACTCAGTCTCAGTCAAAATCACGCAGTTAGGTCTACACGTATGAATGTGGTCTAGTCCCTAACTATTACCTTTCTTGGCATTATCATCGGCATCATTGTACGGAACTGAGAGCTGAGAGGTGATCCTGTTAAAATGAGTGGTGCTTGAACCTGAATGAATTGGGGAAACCACCTTTCACTCCACCCAGCCCAGTAGTGCTTCATTTTGTCACATAGGTCTACATCGTTTTCCCTTTTCCCACTCCATAGACTCTACAGTACCGGTACACACAAGCATGTGCGTGTTGATGAACGAGTGGATTCCAAAACCACCATATAAGTCTAGATCTAGATCTAGTCTAGCCCCTTTTTATTTGAAAATATAGAATATTTCAATTCAGAAAGTGAGTAAATCTGTGACTGAATAAGTTTATCAGTACAACAAGGTTACATTGAAAAATATTTATCTTGTACCTAGGACTGTGACAGTCAAGACTCCACTCTTCAAACTTGTAAATTACTAATTTGATTTTCTTCCTTCAAATTTTCAGGCATATATGTTGCTGTCCATTCGCTGGGAACCCCGCGTGGGACATTCAAACTTCTCATCGCCCTAGTCGAACACCATCTTTGCAAGTGCCAACAAGAACATTTATCTCCATTCAGTCTCCACTCAACTTTGGAGGTAAAAAGAAGGAATATTCAGAGAGAAAAATCATAGGGTAAGTATCTTTGCATTATGAACATAGGGTAGCCATGTTCACGTCAGCCAGCCCGCCACCTGTCTGCAAAAACCCCCACATATTTTACTACAATCTTTAGTACAGGTGGTATCTACATGTACGGATATGAACAGGGCTTCTTAAAGAGAAGGTTGAGTTCTGGGAAGAGGTGACAAATAATTTGTGAGCGTTATTGTTATTATGCAAGTGTGGAAGAACATGAGATAAAAAATGTTTCTTGAAAAAAGGCTGAAAAGCATGGCTCATCAATTGCCTTAATATTGTAAATATGACACTTAAAGAGAATGTTGAGTTTTGGGAATAGGAGAAAAATAATTTGTGAGCGTTATCATTCTTATTATGCAAGTGTGGAAGAACATCAGATAAGACATATTCCCTGAAAAGCATGGCTCTTCAAATGCCTTTATATTTTAAATATGTCATGTAACTCGTAAAACTCGGGGGTAGGTTTTTTACGCCACGTGTTCGTGTAGTCCCATATACATCTTTCTGTGTACAGTGTTTGTAACTTTACCAAGACTTGGCCAAATTTCTTATCATTTTGATGATTCCAGAACCTTGCAATACACACAAATTCTTATATGCTAGATGATTAACCTTTTCTGGTCGATTTCACACCGTTTCTTTCACAATGCAATCGCATGACCAGAACTCAACTTCATCTTTAACAGCATAAAAATCATGACAGATTTGTATGCCACATGTTAGTGTAGTCCCATATACATATTTCTGTGTCAGTGCTTGTAACTTAACCAAGACTGGGCCAAATTTCTTATCATTTTGATGATTCCAGAACCTTGAAGTACTGACCAATACTTACCGGTATATGCTAGATGATCAACCTTTTCTGATCGATTCCACAACGTTTCTTTCACTATATGCAATCGCACAAGGAGGTGAACTAATGAATTTGTTTAACTTTTGTAGATTAACGTGTAGGTTAGGATTAGGTACCTACGTTTAGTTTTTGGTTCAAGGTAGAAATGAGTAATTGAGTGTATTAAATTGACCATGAAACAAATTTTATCAGAGCATGTGTTTTAAAACTGAAGTTCGCTACTCAAACACTAACAGTTTTTCTCACCACTCCTATATATCTCCAAACAGATATTCTATGTCAGACATGTATGAGGTGGTGGCAAATGTCGAAGACTACAAGAACTTTGTCCCCTGGTGCACCAAGTCTACCATCGTAGCCAGGAAGGCAGGCCACTTCAGGGCACAGCTAGAGATCGGCTTCCCGCCCTTGGTAGAGAGATACATGTCAACCGTCACTGTCGCTAAACCTCATCTAGTCAGGGTACGTATGCTGTTTGCCCTGCGATATCAGTAGCTTATTTTGGAAAATCTTAAAGCCACTCTGCACTAGTTGTTGTTGTTGTAGGTAATAGTTTAATGGCGTTCATTCAGTATTGAATATATACGCAATATCTTTAATTTTATAAGAAAATCAGTTATACATAAGAAAACATGAGGATAAAGATTTGTAACAATATAATTAACTAATCAGTAACGCAATTTATTAGGAGTCTCTGGATGGTTTGCAACTTTGTGTTTCTGCTTTTTATGCCTCCGCCACCGACGGTCGTGCCGGAGGCATCATGTTTTCGGGTTGTCCGTCCGTACGTCTGTACGTCCGTACGTCCGTCCCGTTTGACCGTTATCACAATATCTCAAGAACCATTTAAGATTTAAACTTAAGACTCGGGAATAGTATTTATCACCATAGGAAGACGATCTGATTAGATTTTGGAGTACGTAGGTCAAAGGTCACAGGTCACAGAGATCAACTTATGAAATTCCTTGTATTGAGTTTGTTAGCGCGATATCTCAAGAACCATTTGAGATTTAAACTTCAAACTTAAGGATAGTATGTATCACCATAGGAAGACGATCTGATTAGATTTTGGAGCACGTATGTCAAAGGTCAAGGGTCACAGAGGTCAACTTATGAAATTACATACATTGAGATTGTTATCATGATATCTCAAGAACCACTGGAGATTTAAACTTCAAACTTAGTGATAGTGTGTATCACTATAGGAAAACAATCTGATTACATTTTGGAGCACGTAGGTCAAAGGTCAAGGGTCATAGAGGTCAACTTATGAAATTCCATACATTGAGATTGTTATCATGATATCTCAAGAACCACTGGAGATGTAAAAACTTCAAACTTAAGGATAGTATGTATCACCATAGGAGGACGATCTGATTAGATTTTGGAGCACGTAGGTCAAAGGTCAAGGGTCACAGAGGTCAACTTATGAAATTCCATACATTGAGATTGTTATCATAATATCTCAAGAACCACTGGAGATTTAAACTTCAAACTTAATGATAGTGTGTTTCACCATAGGAAGACAATCTGATTAGATTTTGGAGCACGTAGGTCAAAGGTCAAGGGTCACAGAGGTCAACTTATGAAATTCCATACATTGAGATTGTTATCATGATATCTCAAGAACCACTGGAGATTTAAACTCCAAACTTGTTTAAATTGCTCTATGGCGGAGGCATCATTTTCGACTGCGCGCAGTCAAAATTCCATCTAGTTTAAAAAGTTTAATCTGCACTAGTTTGGCCAGGAGGGATTTGACCTCCCTGCATGGTCACCAGCAGGCGGTAATCTCATCAAATCAGCTCTCAATTAACATCAGAAAAAGTGGATCATGGGGGACCAATGGTCACCGATTATGCCTTGTTTGCTATATATAGAGGGCGCAAGTAACTATACGTAGTGCAGTGGGGCTTTGAGACATATCTATTTGATTCGGCATATAAATTGTTCTCTACCATTTTGGTATTTTCTATCTAACTCCTGGTTTTGAAAACAAAATTTATAATGCACATGTGCGCCATGAGCATTTGGTTTCAATAGATTTGGCGCCTTACAAATCTTGAATATTATCATTATTAATGAAATTAATCAAAATATACATCGTGAGCTCTTCAGCTAGAATTAAGACAGATTCCTCCTTATTATATGCTAGCACACATAACAGGCAGGACACTTTGTATACTTTGATGTTTAATGTGCGATGTACCAGCAAAAGTCCAAGGTCATTTTGTATCTTAGTATAGTTTATATGTAGTTCATTGTAAGTGCCTTGAGCACCCTCTGGGTGGATATGTTACACATTATAAATGTCTTTATTATTTTTTATCATTTATGGCCTATGGGGCAGGATTTTATTCTGTCAATAAAATCCTACCCACCATTACCAGAGTCTCTAGTAACTGCTACCAGCATCAACTCATTTAAACACAGCTTGGATTCTTTTTGGTTAGACAAACCCTTTGTTATAGCATAGTCTGACATCCACGCATGCACTGATATAGACTTTTACTAATGTACCAAATGATCTGACCGGGAAACCTACAGGATATCCTACACTCCCGTATAGATGATGATGATGATGATGATTAATTTTGAGACGTGCTTAAATACAGTTTTATAAATATATAAATATTTGCATTTTCTCTCAATCAAGGCTGTATGTACTGATGGAAGATTATTTAATCATCTGATAACAACGTGGAGATTTGGTCCAGGACCGAAAGGAAAACCAGACACGTGTATGGTTGACTTCTCGGTAAGTATCCCTCAAAAGGACAAAGAGAGGATATATATATTTGTATAAGAATGAGATGGGGTGAAGAAATCAAAGATGAAGAGTGATATGTAGAGGTGCTGTGGTCTACTCTAGTTTATATAGTTTATATAGTCGGACTGAGGATCACAGGGTCCATGGTTCAAGTCCCGTTGCGGCACTAATGTCCTTTGGCAAGACATTAATCTACATTTGTCACTCTCCATCCATGTCTTAAATTTGTACCGGTAGAAAGGAATTGCTTGAATGCTATGAGCGCTGATACAGTAGCCTAGCAGAGCTGTTATAATATTGGAGCACCTTGAGCACCTTACATGGTGGATATGTGCGCTATAGAAAGATCCAATGTTATTATTATGTAAAAGAAAATTGATTGAAGGCAGAAAGGAGTTAGAAAACTGTTATCATCGTCCTGCCCTTATTTTTTTTACACTTGAATTGGAAATTATATTCAAACGTCCTCATAATGAAGATACGCTTATAATCCTCATTGAAAAAAGAAAGAGAGGGAGGGGGGGGGGGGGCAAGTCCCTTCTGCGAATCACCTGTGATAGTCTTGCATGTCCTTTGATACCATGTTCTTTTAAGCCAGATTTATGAATTCCTATATGTATGATTGAATGACTATGAATTTGTTAATTCTCCAATATGTATGTCATTGGCTTGTCTTTTAAGGGATTCCCTTTTATTTTTATAATAAAGGTCTTATAATGCTTATGATTTGTCAAGTTTCATTATTTCTCATTGCCCATAAGCTAATGCCAGTTGAATCAACCCTCCCCTACAAGCCCTGTGCTCATATAATAAGAATAAGACATTGTTTGATAGATCAATGTCTAAACATGATTTAATAGCAATATAGTTGGCAGTGTATTGGGTTTTTACAGACATGTATCAATCAGATATGATTATTTACGTCTAGGGACCGACCTTTAAACTTCACCATCCAAAAGACGTGACACAGTTTCAAACCTGCTTCCTCGGCTGCGTCCTGGGCAGTGCAAACATTACCTACTTTTGAAACGAGACCATGTTTATAATGTAAATTTCCTATGCTCTTATTTCCCTCTTGTACATTATCACAGGTCTCGTTTGAGTTCCGATCGGTGCTCCATTCGCATCTATCCCACCTCTTCTTTGATGAGGTCGTGAAGAAAATGGTGAAGGCGTTTGAGATGAGAGCAGAAAAGATGTATGGCCCACAGACGAATGTATCGCGGTCTGCTCTCTTCCCCGATACCCACTCTTGACGAAGACCCAAACTTAGTTAGATGTTTTTTTAGTAATCTTGTCATGTATTGTGTAGTTAGGCCGTTTTATTATGAGCAGCTGTTGTCACTATCTCTTTGCAAGGAATATGGAACTCCTTACATGTGGCAACAATTACATTAAAACAAAAATAAGAACACTTTGGCCCGAATTCACAAAGCAAGGTTTGAGCTCAGACCAAGGTTTGAGCTCAAACCTCCTTTTGTTTCGCCAAACCTCCTTTTGTTCTTTACAAACCAGGTTTGTAAAACACGCGTAAAACGCGTCATATGACGTACGAAAACCAAGGTTTGTCGACAAACCTCCTTTGTGAATTCGGGCCATTGTGATGGAGATGTCCTAATGTTTGGTCTTTTGGTGTGCTAGAAGTTTCCAAGTATTCTGGGATTACTTGATGATTGGCCCGATTCGAGCTATACTAAAAACAAAATTGATATTCATGAACAAAAAAGACATCTACACAGCATAAGTTTGTTTTCCATTTACACTAGATAATTTCAAAATTACATGTGAAAAAAGGAACTTAATAAAAAGCATAGCTTGTAGAGTTTAAGTTCCTCAAAATCATTTTGACACATACTAAAATTTTAGATATGGTTCGTAATGTATTGGACAAAAAGATATACAATTATGGTCACTTACCTCGATATTAAAGCTAAAGTTGAGTTCTGGTCATGCGATTGCATTGTGAAAGAAACGGTGTGGAATTGACCAGAAAAGGTTGATCATCTAGCATATAAGAATTTGTGTGTACATGTATTGCAAGGTTCTGGAATCATCAAAATGATAAGAAATTTGGCCAAGTCTTGTTAAAGTTACAAACACTGTACACAGAAAGATGTATATGGGACTACACGAACACGGGTGTAAAAATCCTACCCTGGATTTTTACAATGTTACACGACATATTTAGAATATGAAGGCATTTGAAGAGCCATGCTTTTCAGGGAACATGTCTTATCTGATGTTCTTCCACACTTGCATAATAAGAATGATAACGCTCACAAATTATTTTTCACCTCTTCCCAGAACTCAACCTTCTTTATTTTTCTTCCTTAAAAGAGTTGGTGACAATAACATGCCTCACCGTTATATTATGTACATTTTTAATGGAATATTTCCATAATATTACATTTTTAATGGAATATTTTCATAGTATTTTTTTAAATGCATGATACCCTTCAATAAATTTTATTATCAGGAAGTATTAGGTATATGATAATTGTTCATGTTTTAGTGAACCTCAATTCTCTCTACTGCATATAGCAATATATATTCCCATAATGCACTGCACATCCGATGCCTGAGCGACTTTGCACACAAATTCCGGTGATTCTAAAACACGTATTCTGCTCTACTTTTAAGCTAATAATTCATTATCTGCTATTTTTAATCTTGCTCGATAGTGACAAATTAAAAGAAAACACAAGCAGTAAGCATATTTATTAGTTTAAAGTAATATACCAGTATTGGCAAAACGCAACCGCTTGGAGAAAATCTCCTCCAAAAACATGGCATGCTACAACACAAGTGGCTTCTTTTCCCAAGCCATGATTGTACGCTATTGTCAGTAATTTTTAAGAATTTGCAGTACTACACAGCAGAGTCGCATATTTGAATATACCGAAGGTCTACATTCTTGATAGATTTACATCATTATAGACTTTGGCAAAACTACATTTTCTCATGCTTGGTCCGATTGACAGTGAAGTGCGAGTCCAATACTGTGTGGCTCGTTTTGACCGGACGTTCATGTGACTGCAAAATCCTGGAAAATTTGCTAGTAAATATAGAGCGCTACTTATTTTGGCTTATTTTCAGCTATATGCAGTCGGGAGAATCCTCCTTCATTCTGTACTCTCTTATTGTGTGTGAAGTCTAAAGGCTCCATTTTAATAGACACTAGGCATAAATCGCTTCAATATACTACTTTAATAAAGGTATTCGTGAAGCACCTCATGATTTTGGCATTGATTACTCTTAAGTGCTCAAAGTGGGACGTCTCTATGTTTTAAAAGATGTGTGGCTATTTGGGGGTTATTTGTACCAAAGCTAAATATAAACTGGTCTATACATATACTGTATACAATACAAAACGTGCATGTAGGCCAACCTGTAGCCACCCTGTATTTGTAGGGTTGACGCTATATGAGCTCCAAGATTTGTTTATTATTAGTGAATTCACAGTAAAGGTCACATTTTTTACGGCTCGCAAAGAGTATAACTACCTGTGCCTACCTCACAGACAATCAGACTTTGATTATTTATTGCTTTTCCTCACTTTTTTTTAAGGGCAAAAAATAGAACTGAATAAATACTGAGATTCGAACCCACAACTACAACGTTCTACATGTATAACGCTGGTATACTAGCTAGTATTAATGAAAAAATCTTAGAGCCCATATATTGTCGACCTATTTTTAGTTGGCGAAATGACACAAATGTTGCGTCAGACATGTAACTAATAATTTATCTTAATTTATGCATGTTTCTATACCTAATCCTTGGTAACTAAGTATTTCATTTACCTTGCATAAATTAGTTGTTGCCTTATCTGGCAATCCTCTGGCAAGCTTTTGTCAAGAGAAACTTTTGTTACAAAAAGTAGGCATAAATTTAGAATTTCATTCCATGCCTTAGAAAATGTTTGCGTTTGACACCTCAAATCGTTTTCTGAGCTTTTCCCAACTTAGCAACACCATGCAAATGTGTGATTCACAAATGAAAAAACAGAAAGCAATTATTGTTTGCAACAGCCGTTTGAAATTATTGATGAATATTTAGAAGCTGCAAACTATTACGCAATGTGAAAATAAGTGCGTCTTGTCGACTTGAACTTGTTCAACTCTACAAGGGAAATGATGTGTTATAGTCTTTTGCAGCTGTTGTAGTGCTATACTTGGTTGTGTAAGGGATCGTGCATTGCTATTTCAATGGAAACTTGAGCAATGGACCCGTTTACTGATGTATATTCAATTTATACTGTATGCATGTGTTTCTTCCAACCCCTTGGTTATCAACAAATTCCTTTACTTGTTATGCATAATGGAATCTCTTTAGATGGAATTCACTTTGCAAACAATAGTCGTTGCCATGTCAGGCAAGTCTATGGAAAGATATTGAGTCATGAACAAACATAAATTCTTCAAAAAGTATGCATTATATTAGCCATCAGGTCTCTTTGTGTATTGCATTTGGACAAATTTGAGTTTTATCTTCACTCTATTTGAAAGAAAATCATGTGGTATGAATTAACAAGTTGACAATTTGATTCATACTTTCATATCTGTTTAGTGTTAAACAATGATAACTCTGGACTAGCAAAAGTCTGCCAGATTTTTCATGGCCTTGAGCTCCGTTTATTTGCTGATATCTATCCCATGAATTCCAAAAACATGTTATACAAGCTTCCAAAACTATCAGAAATATAATATGTGTACCAAAAAAGACCAGTTATTATTCTACAAGCACATTATCATTATCTATAGTGGCCAATTAGATGAACAGCATCTCTACAAGTGGTTGATTTCACTTTATACAGTTGTTGTAGATTTTGTTTTTCTTTTAATGCTGCTGTTGCTGTATCATTTTGCACGACATGAGCTAGAAATGTTTTCATCCTGTTTTAGCTGCTTATATTGGACATGTTATGTATATAAGAGAGATTATAGGAGTATATTCTTTAATATTACCCAGATATTAAATCATGTGTGGTATTTATGAATATGACATTTGTTTGTGTTTTAATTTTTGTTTGAATTCTGTTGTGTGCTGCTTTACATTCAAGGACCTTATGCTTAAGATATTGTGAAGAAATGCACCGGGGAAAAATAGGGTGTCCCTACTTGCTATAAGATGGGTCGTGACCCCCATCTGGCTACAATAGGGTCAAATTAAACACAAACTAGAAAAACATCACTTTTGGCCCAAACGGTAAGGGCTTTTTTCAGAATTTTTGTGCAAAAAAGTGAAAATATTAGAATAGTCTATTATCCTCAAAATGAATGTCCCTTATGCCATGAAATGAATGCTGACTCATTTGGATTTTGAAGTAAAAATAAAGAAGAAAAAAGAGTCACTTTTTTGTCAAAGTGGCAAGGTGCAAGTAGAGCATTTTTGTGGAAAAATAGTGAAAATATTCAAATAGCCTAGTATCCTCACAATGAACGTTCCTATATGCCATGAGATGGGTCATGTCCGGTTCGGTTACAAAAGGGGCATAGGGGGAAATTTAGTAAAAAAAATTGAAACGCCACTTTTTGGCCTAAATGGTAAGGGGTTAGTTCAGCAGTTTTTTAAAAAAAGTGAAAATATTTAAATAGCCTACTTTTCTCACAATGAATGTCATATATGCCATGAGATGGATAATGACCCCCATCTGGCTACGAAAGGGGCGTAGCGGCAAATTAAATAAAAAATTCCCAAAACAGAACTTTTTGGCCAAAATGGCAAAGGTGCAGCATTTTTGTGAAAAAAAGTGAAATATTAGAAAAGCCTACTTTTCTAAAAATGAATGTCCCTACTTGCCGTGAGATGGGTCATAACTCATTCGGCAAAAAGGGGCATAGGGGCAAATTAAATAAAAATTCGAAAACTAGAACTTTTTACGCCATAATGGCAAGGGGTTACTTCAGCATTTTTGTGAAAAAAAGTGAAAATATTCAATTACTGGTAGCCTAATATTCTCACAATGAATGTCCCTAAATGCCATATTGACATATTGATATTGATTTATTTTGTCCACAATGTGGAAATATGCTTCCCACCGGCATTACAATAATACAAGAAACAAGAGGACAATAATATGAAAAACGTAAAAAAAAACCTCTTTTTGGCCTACATAAAGGGGTTAGTTCAGCATTTTTGTGAAAAAAGTGAAAACATTAGAATAGCCTATTATCCTCAAAACAAATGTCCCTACTTGCCATGAAATGGATAATGACCCCCAATTGGCTACGAAAGGTCCATAGGGGCAAATTTGTAACAATTAAAAAACATCACTTTTTGGCCAAAATGGCAAGGGGTCAGTTCAGCGTTTTTGTGAAAAAAGTGCAAATATTAAAATAGCCTCATATCCTTCCGATGAATGTCCCTAACTGCCATGAGATTGATAATGACCCCCATCTGGCTTTGAAAGGGGCATATGGGCAAATTTTGTAAAAATTTGAAAACCATCACTTTTGGGGCAAAAAGTGCAAATATTCAAATACCGGAAACTTACTTTTCTCACACCGAGTGTCCCTAAATGGCAAGGGGTCGTAAGAATATAATTTTTAGGACTTGTTAAATTGTTGTAATCCAGTATTGAAATAAATGTGCAAGTTGCATGTTTTCAAGGATCGCATAGCTGTAGTTGTTTCTGAACAGTTGGGTACCAAGTTGTCCCCCCAAAATGTTCAAAACATATTTTCAAAAAGTTGGGTCATACGTGTACAATTGTACATCAATGCAATCAACAACACAACTGTCATCACCACCATCATTGTCACAATCGTTGTCACAATCGTTGTCACCATCACCATCCTCTACACCACAACCACCACGATCATCATCACTTCTATCGCCACCACCGTCACAACAACCACAACCACCAAACCCACCACCACTTCTAACATATCATCACCACTATCACCATCTCGTCCACAAAATTACCAGTACACAAGAACAAAAACAAGAATAAAACTGAAATATGTCCATTCTTAGTGATTCAATTTTTAATTCAGACTTTGACCATGGCACACAAATCTCCATTCAACCATGGTCTATTTCACCCTACAAACTCTCTCTTTTACTTATTAATTTCTCTACTTTTTTTTTTCTTCATTTTTATTACTTTTTTTTAATTCACAGAAGAAATATCTTAAAAGTCTTGAAAAAAGCAAACGTAAGAAAAAAGAAAACCTTCCCCCTCATCACCGACAATTACAAAACCAATCTACAACATAAACATACCTCCATGAAGTCTAATACTCTCTTGTTAAAACTACATAGTCTACCTTAACTGTTTTTCATCCACCAGCTTTTAAGCCAATGTATATTAATGAGATTTCTCGGTTGTGGAATTGAACAGGTTAAGGAGAATTCATTTGGTCAGAGCACCCTACGAGTGTCAGCCTCCTTTTCTCATTTTTGTAAATAACATTTTCTCGCCTGATGCACATTGGCACTCTCTGAGTGTAAGCAGCCAATGGTGCTTTATGAACCCGTATCAATTCTCTTATGTTTTTTCGTTCTTTTCGCAGTAAAAATGCTTCTGATATTGTCAGCTGATTCAATATTGATTTGACTGAGGTGCGCACACCTTACGGTAATGAAACAAATTTAGATGCAATACACATTTAAATAAAAAAAAAAACATTTTTCATAGAATTTCTGAAGCAACTTTTTTTTTCTCACTCAGATGGAAGTATAGAGCAATATCGATTTCAACAATAAATTTCTTTGTGAAGCCCTTGTAATGTACACAATATACAATTGTACAGAAGTCGTTCAAAACCGGTATGGGAAGAGTTTTACTTGCTGTATCTGTACATATAAGCAGAAACCTCATAACGAATCGTTTCATATATTCAGATTCGGAGTCATCAATTTGCAATGAATCAATTGTACAATACCTCAGACAGATTCGTCCAAAATTTACTGTTTGCTGTTTGCTCTTTTTTAAATATTCAGTTTTGGTTGGGGGAAGAATCGATGAGTTCCCAGTGTGTAACGGGAAGAAAAGTGTAACGAAAAACTACGTTCTTTCAAAACACGAGACTTCAATCTCGTATGCTACCCATCCTTGAACACTGGCAGATCACATCATTGACATTCAAATCTAAAATGTCACCTATCGTAGCAAAAGCAAGCACAAACAACAGTCCAGGTAAAAAAAAAAGAAATCATACATCTTCTCTCAAATATTGACCCCTTCATCTCATCTGTACAACTTGACTGCATTTCTCTCTCAAAACCTTTCAACATTTTTATCATTTTTTTTGCTTTTAAAACAAAGAAGTAAAAATCACACATTTCGGATTCTCACTAGGACTACACATCTAATCTGCTACTCATAAAAAAATCTTATATAATTTACAGACGTCATCCCTTGAAAGGCATGTCTCCTCGCTACCATTTCATCATAAAATTCATTAAAATCTATCTTCACAATTGTGTCTAAAGCGTACCTACGTGTATCTCATTATCTCTAATAACACTAAAATGGATCTGACTTGTTCTCCACAAAATCCATCAATCTTACAATATTTTCTTAGAAAAAAAGCATGAAACGGAACATGTGGAGAGAGGACAAAAGAAATAAGATGACAATCAAATCTTCTAGATAACTACCAAAACAAAAAAACGAAATATTCTTAAAGCCTAGGCTATATATATACAGCAGCACTTAACATACAACTCATAGTGTTAGATCAAATCTACAATGTCAGAAATTCTGTCTTCTCGTAGCAAACTTACGACGACACGTGAAAACAACTGAGAGAAAGAACAAAAATGAGACAAATTAAAAATTAGCTGTACACAGACAAATCAAAATGCTTCAAAATCATCATAAAGAGAAGGAAAAAAATCACACTCGTTTCAGCGCAACATATGAGCTAAATCGAATCGGAACTTGATCACGTGGAAAAACTTCGTTCACTGTCATATGTACAACATGGTCCTTAGAATCTGAGAGATTTTCTCACGAATAACGAACATTTCATTCCACAACTCAAGACGCCGACTAGAAGAACGATCTCCAATGCAAAGTTGAGATTTAACTTTTACGACAGCAGCAGTTAAGCATGCTATTGTTACATTACTCGACAGATCTACCATTAGAAAATGACAAAGAAAACCACACAGGCACAACACAAAACTAAACAAAATTCATGAATACAGTTTCATCGTGTGCTTTCATGACCTACCCAAACACAATTTTCGAAGGAAGACAGGAAAAAAATAAAACAAATTATATATCACATCTCCATTTACAAGAAAAAAAACACAAACAACGACAAAGTAAAGCATACTGCCAATTTGCAGGGTATAACAAAATTAATCAACGAGTCACAAGTTTTTATCACAAGTCCCGAAAGTCAGTAGGTGGGATAATTTTTTACGTACAAAATACTACGCTCCATCAACTGCAGTTTCATATCTTGAAATATCTAGACAATGTTTCTCTAAGGTACTTGTAAAGAGACAATCTAAGAGGAAATATGTCTGCAAGTATTTTTTTATATTCACCAATAGATCGAGTCTCCACATATTTAACAAAAAATCTTGTAGATATAAGAGCTCACACACACAGTTCTTTTATTTTGTCAGCTTCAGTGAAAAATATAACCATCACGTACGATAACAGACAACTATCACGAGAATAAAACAACTACTTTCCTCTCCGACAGACAAGACTTAAATATGAATGTATATTAAAGATAAACAAGAAGCATGGGAAGGGGGCATTATTGTCCATGGTCTTTTTTACAACATGGGGGTAATAAAAACTAATGAACTCTCATCTTTTGTTTTAAATCTTGGGTACATGAAGCAAACATGCATGTGAAGATACAGGGAAGGTTTTTAATAGAGTATCTCGTTTGACATAAAATACTTGAATTCACTTTATTATTATGCCTTTGTATTTTAATCTACCAAGAATAGAGAGAGGGGGGGGGGGGGGGGGAGGAGGAGGGGAAGATAACACAGTTTATAAAACCATTTTAGCCCTTCAATTATGCATTGTCAAACTGAGGTAAACTTTTGGTTCACCAACTGCGGGAAAGCATTACTTTCATATTACTTAGGTGACGGAATAATAAATTGGTTTCACAATTGTCGGGTATCAATGTAAATAATGTAATGATAATATAAACCTATGTTTAAGAGCTTCTTATTACGATGAAAAACAGAAATGTTTGGATAATGGCAAGGTACATGGATTAGAAGCGTTCTCCTCCTCGATATACTTTATCCCCGCACAAGTCCAATTACACTGGTTATAGACCGAGGTAAACGTTTACGATCAACAAGTCTAAACCTGCTCCACATGTACACCTCATATCCCAAAGATAAACTCTCTCTGTCATTTTGTTAAACTCTTCTTGTAAAACATCACTGTAACAAATATCCAATAGCAGTTAGTATTTCACCGAACTTGCATCTCGCTCTTTAACAAAGCATGCAAAGCTTACGGTAGATTATCACAGGTCTTGGCAACGCAACATGAACCTCATTCAACGATGAAAAGAATGTTTTCTCTGCATAGGTGCTCTACACATAAAGATTCCACAAATGTAATACGAGTTGTGATTACAAACAATTGTGTTTTTTTCTTCTTCTTCTTCTTATGCTATTCAATAAATAGAACTTTATTTTGGAAGGCACATAGAAACTGGCATAGCCTGAAGAAAATTTTGTAATTTTTTAAAACTTTGAAAAGACACGAGTGCTATCTATCTTTTTCCTCTTTTTCAAATAACAAATTAACCAAAGAAAAACAAACAAAAAAAGACACAAACAACAAACATACATGTAAGTGCTGGAATTCATGAGTGCTTAGAAGTCATACCGAAGAAAAATAAGGACAAAAGATGAACCAAAAAAAAGGTCAACGTAAAGATGTCTGTGGAACGAATAAGATCTTAAATCTCGCAGAAAGTACAACCAAATTTCACATCAACATACATACATAATCATTTAAAGTCATCGCCATTCTATTTTTATTTCCGTTTCTTTCAATATCCAATCCTTGCTATCGTTCACACATCTCCATGTTTTCACGGCGTATAATGCCGTCTTCTCTCATATCTCTTCACTAAGTCCCTGAGCTACCCATCGTAATCACATCTTACCAAAGCATTGCAGCTCTCTTCAAATTGGCAACTATGTTGCCAATTTACCTCCCACTTTTTATTGCTACTACACAATGCAGCAAAAAACAATTCATCCGCCTTCTGCCAAGTGAATCTCAATCACTGCCTATACATTTGTCAATATTCATAGATATATTAAGCTGCAATGTAATGAGCAGTACACATATAACATGTTACATGCTCATACGTTCTATCTTGCATAATCTAGACTTTCATCTATATTCTTCACAAATTCATTCTCCATTATCAAATCATTGACTTCTATATCGAGTATCCATCATACTCTTTCTGTCATCAAACCCTGAATCTCGCACCTCCAATTTCAAATTTGTCCCCGTACAGAAACACATGTACAAAAAATCTCACCGGGATTCCCCCGTCGTGGAAACATCTACCATATATACAACAACAACAACAAAAATTCTTATGAAATCTACGAGGAAAAAAAAAGAATGCCAAAATAGAAACATACATGTACTTCACATTTACAAATTTTCATCCAAACACAATCGATCTTATCTACATACCTACTCGAACTACACAATGAAACTTACATACGCTACAACATTTCACATAAATTTCGGCAGCTTGAAGATTTCTCGACAACAATAGCTAGTATAACGTCTGCTCAACTTGAAAAAACGTTCAACACATTTAGTTTGAGCATACTCCCTTCTCCGCATAAGAGGTATATTTTGGTATGCATTATCTTACTACAATGCAAAATCGACTTCCTGTCGCATCGTGACAGCAAAGAATAACTCATCTCAAACAAATGCAAACATTTCATTTGCAACAACGAAAAGGAGATGATTATTTTAAACTCACGAGTTGCTACCTCATCTTACAATCATCGTCATGAGATATTCAAAATTCATTGTTTATAAATACATTCAGATAAACCTCAATATTCATTTCATTCTTTTGTATTTTTGTTTCTTCATGATGTTTAAAATTCATTGACAATCATCAGAAATCCATAATAGTTATATTTATTGCCTCTCAGAATAAACTCCCCAAACACGTACAAAACATAGGTAGACACTAAAATGGGGCATGGTTTCAAAACAAGATTCTCATCCTACACAAAATCTAGCACCCTACTCTAAAATGTTCATAATCGAGGGATAAAACGACGGCAAATTTCTAAAAACCTTAGCAGCCATCTTCTCACGCATGAATAAAAACAGGAACTATACTTTTTTCTACTTTAAAAATTCAGTCAGTCCAATGGCTTTGACATTTCAAGTTCATTTCACAACTGTTTTCTGTATCTTCACTTGCAGAAATAATAAGAAATTGATTATTTCATGAATTGCAATCTCATTTAAAATTGATAAAATGTTGCATTCATTCAGCATTAAAAGATGATCAAATATTAAATTGGTTAAAAATGCTTTTGGCATGATTAAAAGAGTTCCAGTACCTAATGGAGGACTTTCGCAGACTAACGGGTTAGGGCAAGATAAGAAAGAGTTCCACACAACATTCAAAACTGGAATAAAATTCCTCGCGTTCACCGCAGAACTCTATTTACAGCATCTCATACGCACACAGAATATTTTCAAAATTGCTTTTAAAAGATTTGAACATCTTCCTTTAAAATAGCTCCTTTCTTGCTCCTAACATGCTTTTGAATGTCATCACAATTTGAAAGCGCATTTCTCAAGTTACAAGAGCTCTCTCTGTTTGTGCTCACGGTTTTTGTCGTATCAAGAACGTAACCCGTTGACTATTGAATTCTCTGTCTCTTTCCAGGACTGATACAAGAACCGTGCATTTCTTGTGGAGTCTAGAAATGGTGATCAATACACATTGTACAAAAATACGCTTCTTGGACTCCGCTTTTTCATGTTTCATCTCGCATCACATGGCGTCTCTACTTATTTTCTGGGAGGGATGCTGAAATCTACACGTTTCCATGACGATGAGCTGCTAGATGAGGGTGTTGGACTTGCCGGGCTGCTTGTCGTTTTTATTTCTTTTTCTATTTCTCCCCTACGAGGTAATCTTGTTAATCTGCCACACATAGGTTCACTTTAGGATAATCTACCAATCACTGTAAAATTGAATAGAGAGAAAGAACATGTTATTACTGCACAGAGGCAATACGATGAAACCTGTCTAGAAAGACCACACAAGGGAGACAAGAAAACTGGTCTTTATAGGCAGGTGGTCTTTATGTACAGGTTCCTTTAGTACATGTTTCAATGAGAAACCATTTTCAAGGGAAACAAAAAATTGTGGAATTTGTAGACAGGTGGTCTTTCTATACAGGTGGTCACTAAAGGAGGTTTGACTGTATATATATATATATTTACAGCTGGAAAACATACATTACCATTGTTGAACCCTAAACAATTTTTTTTGTGAACAAATTATGTATAGGCTTATTTACATTGCAGAACAAAAATTTGAAAACTAAGTTTCTTTTAGAACTATCATTTATACTACTATTACTGGAAAATCCCATAAAAAAGATAGGCATTTTGATAATTTTTTGTTTTCCTTCTTCTTCTGAGGAGGTTTCAGACAGTCCAACCTGGGACCCGTTTCACAAAACTTGTCATCAGTGACAAATGACAGTTGTTGTTATAAGCTACTGAAATCCTTGCTTCTGATTGGTTATCAGCAGATTTATCACTGATTTTTGTCATTTGTCATTGAAAAAAGGCTTTGTGAAACGGGTCCCAAGTGGGCAGAGGGGGGGGGGGGGGGGGGGGGGGGTGTAAATACAAGCTTACCAATGACAGTGTTGAGGCTGAAGGGGGTGGGGTAACACTCATCACTTGGCTCCGGCTGAGGCATAATACTGCTGGGCGGCGCTCATCGTTTGCTGCTCTTCTACTTGGTCCTGTCAAATTGGCAACAAAAAGAAAAAATACATTCAAATTGACGAAAATGTAAAAGAATACCATTGAGAAGGCAAAAAGCCAAATTCTTAAATACAGTTACTTTCAGAGAGCTGAGACCTATAAGATCAAACGGGCTTTATAGAGATGATCCTTTTCCTTCTTTTCAATCTTATATTTTACTTTAATTCAATGTACCTTATGCTCATATGTTCTTTTTATGTTGAAATGTCGGTATTCATGTTTATAATATTGAGTATTAACATTCAACATATACATGTACATATGAGAGTTACGAAGGATAATGATGGATTTTAGATTGGCTTGGATTGTAGTGATAGAAATATGCCATCAATATCATTGCTCATCATGATTTACGCCTGGTATGATCAATTGACATCTCTGATTTTATGTGTCTGAGTGTGACATTTGAACCCAGAATGAAAATACATGGGACCAATAGTTTAAATTATCCTATCTAATCTCAAAGCAAATACAAAATTCTTTTTATGCTCAAGAATACTTCCCAGGCTTTCAGGATTATTAATCTTATTAACTATCATAATTGTCACAAAATGTGAGTCGACCTAGCATTTCTTATCGGGTTTGATTACTCTTCAAATGTAATACTGCTAGCTCTCATACCGTAATTGCTACGTAACAGTAACATGAATTATACAAAAACAAAGATTCTATATCTCAGAGAGATGGAACAAACATGTTTTGCAAAATGGGAGAAGACAAACGAAAAGAGATAGATACATTAGTGCACATATAGGCTACCAAGAAAATAATAAAAATGGATGATAGAGGGAGAGAGAAAGAGAGAAAGAGAGAGAGAAAGAGAGAGAGAGAGAGAAATATTGGGGGAGAGGCAGAAAGAGAAAGAGGTAACAAGGAAAAGAAAAAAGCGAGGCTCAGAAACAAACGGGCAACAATAGAACACTGAAGAAAAAATGACAACAAGAAACCCAATGTCTAAACCATTACCGGTACATGCGAACCTGAGGCAAGCTCATAAAATAGACAATGGACAATGAGTTTGGGACCGGTACACAAGAACATCGGCACAGAGATACATAATAATACAATACAATGGTACAGAAATATATAATAATACAATACAACGGCACAGAAATACATAATAATACAATACAAGCACTTGACTAGACAAGAATGTGACTAACCCAAATATGCCCATTGTGGCACACATAATGCCAAAAGTCAACAAGTTGCGATCATTATCTTACAAAGCAATATGAAAACTGGATTTCTGTTTTTGTACACAGAAACAGGTAGCTAACATAGCATATAAACAGCAAATTGCATTATTTTTTTTCATAGGATTGATCATTTGACAGAGCAAAACTGCAATTGTGATGAAATATAGGAAGCTTTCGAGTGAAAATTCTTTAAATGTTTCCAAATTTCATACTATGAATCTGCTTTTATCATGTATTTTGGTCTACATAACTCTTTTGGAGTGGAAATGCCAGAAAATAAAATAGTTTTGTTGTTCATACTCAGAAATATAAGATCATCTTTTCAGAGCCAGGAGGGCATTGTCTCTGTGTTATACGAGTCAACATCCTTTTGGCTTCAAACAGATGAAAAGTTTTGGGGGCACGATTGATTGAGTTAGTCACACGACAGGGAAACACACATACATCGACTGTTACCGGATGTAATAGTTGAGTCTGGTATGCATGTCCTAGGTGTGCGTATGGGTTGGTTTGTTGGATATACTGCTGTAGAGGTTAAAAAACAAAAATAAAAATAAAATGAGTATTGAAACAGAGAGATGGTGAAGAAATACAAGTCTGAAAACCGGGAAAAGAAAAGTGGTGTCGTTATTGTTATCGGCTGATATTGGGAAGAGGTGAATAAAAATCAATGATTACATAATAAAGATACTTAACCCTTACTGTACTGGGGGGGGGGGGGCCTGGGAGGCCCCCCCCCTCGACATTTTCGGAGATTGCGCCGCAACCGCTTGGAATTTTGAATTGTCGTTTCATGACTTTTTTCCCTCAAGTCTTACGCACATTTTGATACCATTTTCGTCGAAATCGGATATACCTGTAAGGCGTTACATAACAATTAGTATGCTCATGTCATTAAAAAAAAAGAAAAAAAAAATGAAAATCGCATCAAAATTTGCATAAATTATCATTATTAATTACATTACATTACATTAAAATAACTTTTTTGTGTTAAAAAAGTAGTTTCATATGAATAATGAGTTTCAACATTCAAAAAGTGGAGTTTGACACGTTTTCTGTAAAATGCATAAATTTAGCGCATTTTGCATAATTAATTAGGCTAACGACAAAAATTTGCATATTCGGAAAAAATAATTATACCATCTTGTTCCTTACGTAAATATCTACAAACATGCAAATTTTCGTGTTCATCGGACAATCGACGGCCGAGATCATAGGGGGGGGGGGCCTCCCAGGCCCCCCCCCCCCCCCCCAGTCAGTGGGTGCTCAAAATAGCCCAGTACAGTAAGGGTTAAGGTTCGCATCACAGAGATATATTACATACTCTGGCAAGTAATGTACCGTACTTTAATGCCACAGAAATATATGGCATATGAGATCAATAACTGTATATGGTTTACATTATCATTTTATATGGTTTATGGCGCAGCGATGTAAGATTAATGCCATAACACCTCAGAGATATAGACTTTTAAATGCCAAAGTTTACCACAAAAGAGCACGGCACAATTTTGTGCAAAACCAAACAAAATATAAAAGATATCCAATGTAAACATACCAATAAAAATAAATAAAGAAAATTGCTTGAAACCTTTTGATGCAAATGATCAGACTTGACCAGAAATACTGCAATTACATCTACTTCAAAACCATGTAATTCCCAGACAATGCCATTTGTTAGATCTCCACAACATCCGTAATGAATATTTACAGCGAAAGCACGAGAAAATTGCTAACTGTGAATGTGATAACTGATAAACAGCCCAACCTTGGATTTAAGTTAGTGATGAACTTAACATAGCACATTCCTCAAACATGATACAGTATGTGCATTGTACATAATTTTTAAGTACATGTAGGATATCCCTACAGCTATCTGAATGACAAATGCTGCAGTAACCTTCACTAACCAAGTTTCAACCCTGGCTCAAAAAATTTATCAAACTCTCACCCCTCCTCCCCTCTCCACTAGCTATAGTTGATTTGAGTTGGGTTGCGTATGGACCAAAGACTATATCATACCCACCCAAACTCTAAACGCCACCCTAATCCTACGCATACATTAAAACCCAATTGCAACCCTAACCCTAAACATAATGCTATGTCCTTCATTAAATGAGGCCCAGAACAAGTATTACTGGAGCGATTTTGGACAGAGCAATGTCATCAAAGAAAAAGTGAAAGAAGAAAATTTAAGAATCTAGGGTGAACTTACTGAGGATGCTAGTTGTAGTTGACCGAGTTGTGTCGAGAGACCAGTAGGGACCATGGGATGACCGCTAGCCATACCGGCCATACTGGGTTCTCCGTATACAGACTGCTGCTGTGTGAAAGAGAGAGAGCGAAAAAAGGTTGAGAAATTTGGCAACTAGCATACTGTAGTTAAGGTCCAAAAGTTTACCTGGGGTTTATCTCGTCTTTTAAAGAGTCGATATCAATCGCAACTATGTATATAAGAGATAGGAGATTGCAAACTTGCGATTGATCATAGGACTTGCCAGTTGATTAGAGGACTTACGATTGATTTTTTGATCAATCATAACTCTTTAAAAGTGTGTCAGTGATGACCTCCCTCTCCCCCTTCCCCTTTTTATCCCTTGAACGATAGAATCAAAGTTGGCAACAACATGCACTCGTATGGTCAATGTGGTTTTTTGATTCATTCTGTAGTTTACTGATAAGACAACAACGATGGAGAACCTGAAACAAGAAGACTTAACACATTCAATTTGTTATATCTTATGATAGTGCAGTTTCAGAAGTGGACCAATGTCTGATTGAGTATTGGGCTTAAAAATCTTGTTCAAATGTTGTTTCCAAAATGGCCGTCTATGAATGAAAGTCTGTGAACATACCTGGGCAGACGTGATTTGTGGCTGAACAATGTAAGGTGACGTTTGCTGTATCCATTGTGGAGTGCTGGCAGCCGGTAGACTTGCATACGTGACACCGCCCCCTAGATTGTACGCTGCTGCGCTCAGCTGGTGAGGCATCATGGGTACCCTGCAGAGGGGAGGACAAAAAGAAGGAAACATTTAGGAACATTGTCATTGTACAACCACCCAACGGAGACAAGAAAAGTGGTCTTTAGAGGCAGGTTGTCTTTATGTACAGGTTTTTTTAGTAGGCTACATGTTTCAAGGAGAAACCATTTCCAAGGGAAACAAAAAACGTGATCTCTATAGACAGGTGGTCTTTATATACAGATGGTTGCTAAAGCAGGTTTGACTGTACAACGTTAGCTCAAAATACTTTGTTAATATCCTTCTGGCTCTCAGCTATTGAACAAATTATTTTAGAGTTCAATTTTGAATTCTAGCATTTAAATCACCAACATCCCTGTGTGGTTTTACATATCCAGCATCAAGTATATTTGATTCTGTTGCATTCTTCTTTCTATGAATACCACAACTACCTTTAGTTGAAAAGCAGAAAGAAAAAAATTCAAAAATTCCATTTAAAAGATTGAGGATTGGGGGGGGGGGGGGGGTTCAAAAATATAAAAACAGACATTTTAAAAAGTTTGTGAATTTGATAGACATGTTGCCATTAACTGTACCGCCACAGGGAATTTTGAATACCTGTGAGTTTCATACATGTGAAACTAACACAAGTTCTGAATTAATATCATCTGCTAAAAGCTTGAAGAGCGTTAACTTTTATGAAAATGCTTTAATTTGACAACCTTCATCCTCTCAACAGATGTCATCTTATGAGAAATGTTAGTTTATAAACTAGACGGCATCTACATGTAGTTTCTCAAGTTGTAATTTTATAAGATGCCAACGGAAATGGAACACTAAAATTTCCACTTATGTGCAAAGAAAAAAACCCCAACCACAACTCATTTGAATTTCAGAACAATAGTATAAAGACCACAGTAGATTGAGTGCATATTGGACTAAGTATTCATCGAATTCGTATTCCATCCCTCCGTTCTCATGCTGAATAATAAACAAAGCCAAGCTCTATTTCCTCTGATATAGTGTCTCTGTTTAAACATTTATATACCGCCCTCTGAGGTCCGCAAATCAGGCGACTTCTGGGCCGTGCTGTAACATGCTCTAACGCTTCCCTGACCTAAATGACTTTCTGAAAAGCTATGTCTCGACAATGACCCCTTGGGATCGAAATAATATATTGTGCTGCACTAGCTAGGGTTCATGTTGATTTAATATATTGACATGGTTTTGAGGTCTGGAGAAGAAAAAACAGTATCTATGCTTTCTCTCAATATGTTGTTCATATTTTGATGTACAATTTATGTACAAAATTCACAAAAAAGAATATCAAGGGCTTATTTGGCTCAGAAGAAGTTCTCCAAAATGGAATTTTATCTTCCACCCTCCAACCTTTAAAGCCCCACTGCACTAATTATAGCTACTTGCACCCTCTATATATCAAACAATGCTTAAGCAGTGACCATTGGTCCCCCATGATCCCCTTTTCTTTACCGGTAATGAATTGAGAGCTGATTTGATGAGATAACCACCTGTCAGTGACCATGCAAGGAGAACCTATCCCTCTTGGCCAAACTAGTGCAGATAGGCTTTACATATCTCCTTTATGCCACATTCAAATCTATTTATTTCATCTACCAAAAAAAGAAAAAGAGAAAAAATATCCCCAAACGTGACTATTGATTAACATTCCGAAATTCCATCAAACTCTAATCATTATTATCATTTTTTTTTTTTTTTGAGGGGGGGGGGGGAGGGAGAAATATATATTCATCCTGTTGTTGTGAACATGTCGACTCACCCATTGCGAGCGTATAGGCTCTCGTACGTGAGTGCGCCTGCTTCGGTCGGCCGGCCCATCCAGTTCGTGGCCGACTGCGGCCCGCGGCCCTGCTTGTTAATCTGGTTTCGCTTTTTGACGCCACCGTCAGCGAATTTGCATAGTAGAGGTTCTTGTTGGCTGGCTGTATGGGAGAAGAGAACACAAAGAGTTGTTATAAAGATGAAAGTTGAAATCAAGATTTGAATCATGGAAAAGAATCACACATTGACATGATCATACAGGAATAAAAAACAAATATGCATTGCGGCCCAGGGGCTGAGTTGAACAATATTTTTACAAAAGTATTGACTTGATTAAAAAATATACTACTGGTATATAGAATCATAATAATGCAAGTAAGCAATATGCAATTGTAAATTACTTATGAGAGAGTAATACCAAGGAGCACATGTGAGTCTACCATTTGCAAATTGATACTGAATCTTTGTGCAGTCAAATTTGGAATTACCATGAATTGCCAAGAAGAAGGACACATGCATTTTTTTATAAAACTTTTGTGTTTTTAGGTATGTTATGAAAGGCTTAACAAAAAATAAAGAGTGTTATATTTATCAATGTTTAACGATTTGTACACCGTATGGACAGCAATGTGCATGAAACAAAGATACTGCCAGAGAACTTCCTAACTTTGAAATATGTGATTCAAGAAATGTACTCCATGGACTCCTTTCAGTCAAGCACACACACATACGTTTCAAGGTAAAGACCAGTTTTCGAAATGCCCCCCCTCTCAAAAAATGAAATGGAAGCTCTTATTACCAATCATGTGAAAGAATATGTTTTGACTAATACGTGATCATACAAATTTTGCCGAGAAACCGCTTACTAATTGATATATTTGGTAAATTATTATATCTATTTGGACCTGATAGATATAACGCATGTGTCGCAGTCCCATATACATCTTTCTGTGTACAGTGCTTGTAACTTTACCAAGACTGGGTCAAATTTATTATCATTTTGATGATTTCAGAACCTTGCAGGACACACCAACTTATCTGCTAGATTATCAACCTTTTCTGATCGATTCCACAACGTTTCTTTCACAATGCAATCGCATGACCATAACTGGTCTTTATCGTTAAGCAAGTGAAATTCAACGAGTGAGGATTTAGCAGTCATACTTACGATCTAATGTGACCCCGTTAAATCGCCGGATGACTTCTTCACACTTCTCTTTTGATTCCATCCTGGGAAAAAATAAAAGGAAGAAAGAGAACCATTTAAAAATAAATTGCACATAAGGATAGTATTTATATTTCAAATGAAATGAATTTGAAATGACTAAGATAGACATCAATGATATATTGTTACTCATTTTTGCAAAATGGGATATGGTAATTTTAAAGATACAAATTTCAAATCACTTTGCAACTTGTGGTTTAAACAATCTGATTTTTTCATTATTCTGTGTTTATTAATAATTTTAGATAATTCTTTTTTTTATCTTTGTATTAAATGTTAATATCCCAGCTCCTTGCCTATTATTTTTCATGAATGTGACGATATTGGTCACAATTTAATAAATCTAAATGAAACAAAATACATTGATACCACTCATACTAATCAATATCTTGCTTACAGAAAGTATCCATTACATGCCTACAAGTACAGGTCGAGAAATTCCATGAAAAAAGTGGTGGAAAAACATCCTGGAACGTCAGAAATTTGAGCAAAAGCTTCCAGATATGTCTTCATCCCCTCACTTTTCCTCCTAAGACTTAATCCCTGGATATGTAAGATGATCATTGTGTCAAAATGGGACAGGATTTGAATAAATAAAGAAAACAACAAATCTCCTGCATGATTTTTCTCTGGAATTTCACTTCATCGGGCCACTGGCAACCCCTTCCAGTGCTGGAACCCGACCCGGCCGCCCAATAAAAACCATTTGACGCTAATCTACGCCGCTATCGAATGACGGCCGAGAATCTGACTCTGACTTTCTCCACGATGTCACCGAGTTAGTTATAAACTCGGAGAGAATTTCAACGAGATTGATTTCTCTGTGTAACTTCACGTCAGATGTGCGCTGCAAATTTACAAATGAAATGTTTCTGGGAGGCGATGCGAACTAGGGCCGGGGCAGGTGGTTTAGAAAGAGAAACTTTGGTTTACCCACGAAGGGCGTAGCGCTGCATTTGGGATGCCACTGCTAATGAACCTGTCTGAGTAACGCGAGTGGCGCGGCAATCGTTAGCGATATTTGCACATCAAAAGGTCCGGGCTGTGGAATGTGATGATGAATGTAAATACCAGAGGAATGTAGACTTTGTATCCTCTTCGGAGCAATCTTCTTTTGCCTTTCAGGTATGCCTCTCCCTCTCCCTCTCTACCTCGATCTCTATTCCTACTCTATCACTGTCATTTTTCTCCTCAGCTGTGCCACTTCTGGTTAAAGCTTACTTGTACAATTTCTTCCTTGTTTCCAACTAGGTGTGTTTTTATTTGGAAGCGACTTATTTTTGCAGATATTTCTGTTTCCTTTTTATGTTTTTTCCTCCTTTCCCACTTTGTGTCTATGTGCAGCTATTTTTGTTACAACTCTTTACTAAGTTCTTCCTCCTTTCAAAGTTAATGTGCTTTCATGAAAAAACACTCAATAATTATTCAATTTTTCTCAGTTTGACTGCCTCCCTTTCATTTATCAATTTTGTTCTCTCCTTGTCTTATCTCTCTCTCTCTCTCTCTCACTCCTTCTCTCTCTCACTCTCTCACTCTCTCTCTCTCTCTCTCTCTCTCTCTCCATCTCATCTCTCTCTCTCCATCTCATCTTATCTTACTACATTTCTTTCTTTCACTGTTCCCCCTTCTTGTCGCTTCTGTCTGTCTGTCTGTCTTTCTCCCTCTATCTGTTGGTCTGTGTTTATCTGTCAGCCCCCTCTCTCTTACCCTAACTCTCTCTTCCTCCCCTCCTTTCTCTCTCCCTCTCCTCCCCCTCTCCCCATCCCTAAGGTCCTCAGCCCAGCCATTTCTCCACTTTTTTCTTCTGTGGGTATCTTCTCCCATCGATATTGTAAGTCTCTGGTAACCCAAGGCAAGAGCTTGTCGCGATTCGGTTTCTGTCATTCAGAGCATGTCTGCATACCATGACATGACTTCTAAATTAAACTGTTCCATTTGAGAGAGAGGGTAGAGGGGAGACGAGAGAAGGGGTGAGGGTCTATATGGCCATAGTCAAATCATTCTGGTGAGGGAGGGGGGGGGGGATATTGAGGGGTTGTGAATCCTGCATTCATTTTCTACATGAGCTTCACTGGAATTCCTATATCATAATGATTTTGAGGGGGTGCTTATTATTATTAGTATTTTATTTGTATATATATATTTATAATTTTTTTTTTTTTTTTTTTTTTGGGGGGGGGGGGGGGGTGTTTGAGCCCTTGAAACCCCCTTCTAGACCCACCACTACTGGGGGTGTCAAGGGTGTGTATAAAAAGCAGGACAAACACATCAATTGGAGCAGAGTCTGATAAATGCAACGAATTAAAGCGTGCAAAGTCATCCCCAACTTGATCACAGTTGAAAGCTTCCAATAGAAGAAGCTGGGGGTGAATTCATCAAGCATTTAAGATGCGCATGGACATTCTTGACTCTTTTTGCTTGGTCAATCAACTGTTTTTGCCCGCTGAAATGCTCTGCTGAATATATTTCCTTTCCGTTTACTTTCCTTTTACCTTCTCATGATTATTTATGTTGTGCTCTAGCTCTTCTTGAACTGAGCATTTACAGAAAAATTCAAAATTAACAAAACATGTTCATCAAATTCAGACTCAAAATAGAGATGACCTTTCGAAAGGGATTTAAAAGAAAGAGAAAATGGGGTAAAATGAGTAAAGATTGAGAGCAAGAGATAAAGAAAAAAAGGGAGAGAGGGACATAGAGACAAAGATACATTCTTTCAGATAGAGAGACGACAAGGCAGAGAGATATGGAGAGAATGAAAGCAGGACAGAAAGAAAGAGAGAGAAGGATTATGGGAGGTAGGGATAGTAAGAGGTTTTAGGGGGACAGTGAGAAAACGGCACTAGGGCCTCAGCCGCTACCGCCGCTGTTTGCATGCTTGCATACTTATAGGGGCATTAATCTAGAATGCAACAAATGAAGGTAAGAGAGAAGGAAGGAAGGAAGGAAGGAGAGAAGGAGGAAAAGAAAAGAACTTACCGGGTACCTTGCAATGTCTACACCCCTGCTATTATACGTAATGGGTATACCTCAATATCTTTAAATAATTTTGACAAAATGAGCCTCAATGAAATTTGATCACTGGGGGTGACAGGCAATGACTATAGATACGAAAGGGACAAAATGGGCGGGACTAAAAGGGCGTGGTGGTAGCTTACCTTGCAAAGCCTACGCCTCGGCTGTCGTGCGTGGTGGTATCCCTCAATATCCTAGTACTGATTACATGACCGATGGGTGATAGCATACTCTCCAAAGCTTTCTCATCGATATTGTGAGGCAGATTCGATATATACAGATTGGTTGGATCCTGCTCTTGTTGCTGTAGCTCCAGAAGAACGAAAGAAAAAGAGAGAGGAAAAAATTAAAAAAGAGAGACAAATAAAAACCATGTTGAATATTTATTAAACAGTCATATTATTGCATGCATTGTGAAAATGAACTTCTCAAGAAAGGTTGATTTTGTACATATGAACATCTGGGCCCGTTGGTAAAAACTTACCATTGATAGTTACTTTGCCATCAATGGTAACTACCATGGAAACCTTGATTGTGATTGGCTGTTAAAGGTACTATGTCCCTTTTGCAGCCAACCTCAAATGCTGTAGAACTTTGCAGGAATTATGAATATGTCATGTATGTCCTATCTGTGAAATTTAAATGTTAGCAGTGTCCTCGTATTCAAATTATGCAAGGAAACCCGTTTACTTGCTAGACTTCACTATCAGACACTATTGAGTGACTGACTGGCTTTTTTTTTTCTTTGGTTTGGTAACATACATGAAAAGAGTTGTAAAGGGTACATGAGCATTTGTCTACATCAATAACCCACTTCTTGGCCAAGATTAAACTGATTGAATCTTTGCGCAGCATAAAACGTATGACCATTCGGTACAAATGTCTGAAAATCAAGACTATTACTTTTGGGCTCTATAGCCCTAAAGTCGATTTGACAACTAATAGTCATTATTTTCCCACTTGAAGACATTTTCAAGCCCCACCTTTTTCAGGGAAGTTCTAAATTAGTATTATCTTTCAAATGCAGTTGGAATTTAAATTTTTCATTTTTTTGGCCTGCAAATGGGACATAGTACCTTTAAGCCCTGTAACCATGGTAGTTACCATTGATGGCAAAGTTACCATCAATGGTAAGTTTTATGCAACAGAGCCTAGTATGCTATCATGAGGATTTAACATGGCAAAACTAGAACCAAATTTCACCCAATTTAGCAAAAATTATGATCAATAAATAGTACCAGTCACAGATGTCATAAACAGCAGCAGACTTCCAAAGACCAATTATGACCCCATGTCATATATAGGTCTACTGCCATCTATGGCCACTCGTGACCAGTGTAAAATCTTTGTTCCACAACTTTATACAAACTTTGTATTGTCATAACCAATATAGCCATTTTACACTTCTACAATGAATACTGAAGCAGTATTGAGAAGGAGGTGTCATTTTCAATCAACACAGAGTATACAATGGAACTTGGATTTCAAGGAGTGGACAAAACGGGATCAAGTCTGATAAAATGTGGCTTTCTGAATATGAAACCATCTTGCAATTTGATGCCAAATTGTGCAATCTAACCCAGGCGTATCTTGCAACAAACTTGGCCATCTTTTATCTCTGACATCTCTATCGGGTTGTCGTCAAAACGAAGTGTCCACCCTCATCAGGCTCCCAATCTATCAGGCCTAAATCCATTAGCCCACATTTCTTTTTTTCTTCTTTTTATTATCTCGGTCAAGAAAGATGACCCGCTCTGGATTCCATTAAAAACACAAACTTTGTTTCTTCTGGCACTGGCTGTGAGAAATGTGTGCGCAAGGTAGTCTGATCTCAAGCCCGCCTGAGGGTTATTTTATACTCTCCTCGTCACTCAGCAATGCTACCACTGACATCTCATCGACATCTGCATCTAAGCTGGGATGATTCTGGGACAACTTTCTTTCCAAAACTATTATTGCAATGAAATTGGATTGTAGATTCATGGGAGACTACCTTTGGTTGGGTCTACAAAACATTCAAATAGTTGAACTGTTAACGTTATAAATCTAGTACAAACACTGGAAGAAAAACATGCCTAACTATTTTTTAGAGAAGATTCTCTGGAGAAACAGTCGTAATGGAAAAGTCAACTACAGGACTCTTGTGTTTTGGTCAAAACTAGCCTTTAGAATTGCCAAATTATGACATAAGAAACAGAGAGAGAGAGAGAGAGAGAGAGAGAGAGAGAGAAGGGGCATAATAGCCTTTTTATGTATGACTAATTGAGAGAAAAATTTAAATACACAAACATAGCAAAAGTTCCAAACTTCCAAGATGGGAGGACACTATTTTAAATACCTAAAGGGTCTGAAGTCGGACTATCAGGGGAAAAACAAAACGAAGAAACAGTTGCAAAAGTCCCGGTTTCGTCCTAAGGTAGCCAGTGGCACGACCATTGATCAACTCCCTTTCTAATGCCTGCCGAACAATCCCCTATCACGAGGCTCATGCTCTGACCTACTTTGTGTCTTTAGTTTCTTTCCTCTCAGAAGTTTGGGAACGAGGGGGGAAGCTTTGACAGAGAGAGAGAGAGAGAGAGAGAGAGAGAGAGAGAGAGAGAGAGAGCAAGAAAACTAGTTTCTGTGTTCATAGCATAGGGGTCAATTGTCTTCTTTCAAGTTCAAATTGGTTTGTTCCCTTTAGGCCTCCTACAAGACAATGAGCTTTTCTTTAAAAGTTGTTTCGAGTGATTAACTGTGGCCTATTAAGTTTAGGAGGGAGATAAAACTTTATTTCAATTTTCAAAATGTAAGACGTGTATTGCCCAATCCATATAGATATTTATGAATGGCGAAAATTATATTTCATAGATTTTTGTTGATGTGTGTGTATTGGCTTGACTTGTATCTGCTCCACGGAGAGCGGTAAAGTGACTGGTTAAGGAGACTAATATCCTGTCTCCCTACGACAAAATGTTAGTGTTACTGCAATGAATTGTCATTACAATGAATAAAATATTCAAGACAAGATTGATCTTGAGCAAGAAGGGGTTTCCCTAATTTTTATATGAAAGTAAGCATCTTTCAGACCATCTGCAGTCTTGATCATCATCCTCCTTTCTCCCTCTCTCTCTCTCTCTCTTTCCAACCAACCAACCAACCCTTGCAGCAATTGAATTCTGGAATTACAATTGAACATGAAGCTTAAAATAACTTCAATTACCAAGTTTGGATAAGACAACAACCCCCCTGGTGCCGAGCCTTGGGGGTCTCGGAGCTAATTTACGGTGAAGACAGCCCCGTCTTGGAGAAAGACAGGCTCACTTTATACCCCCTTCGGGTTCAAAGGTGAGAGAATAAGAGAAACACAGGGTAGGAGATCAATGGGAGCCTGAGAGTTAAAGGGATTACTGGTAACTGAAATTATGATTTTATATTTAAAGGTGTCCAATTCAACAGCAAATGTTTTGGGTTCCATGCCAGTATATGCCTACTATAATATCAGAGTATCAGCTTCAAATAGTTCTCATGTGTGTTGCAAGTTTTTGGTCTAAATTGAAGAAAAAATCTAAATGAAGTAACAACAACTTGCGAGTAGACTTCTTCTGCGCATTATATCTTTTTAAAAAGTAATATTTGAAGTTCATATTTTGAATGCAGTATATCGACATGGGAGCCCTAACATGAAAACCAAAATATGTTTTGAGTGATTGCTTCAATTTAGGCCAATATCGAGTGATACTGAATCACTTGACAATAGACTTATTGATTTGACCTAAACTATCCATTTCAATCTATTAATCTATCACAAAGGTACAGCCCATATCAACAAGTGCCTGCTCAGGTGGGTATTCTCCAGATGATACAGGAAGGTGAACGACCCACTTCCATCCCGGAACACCGATCTGATGACGGAGGCAACTTTGGAGTATCGTTAAACAAACAGATGACATAAAGAAGACCAAAATGAACAGATCTTTCTTAGCGCATCACAAAATAAAAGGGGAAGGAAATCAATACCAGGAGGAAGAATTTCACGATAATCAAATAGTTTTGAGTCAGCGACCCCTGGTGGAGAGCCGCACTTCCTTTCCAAGCAGGAAGTTTTCTGTTACGTGCGTAACCATGGCAACCCCGAGGCATCTTCTGTGCCGCTTCCAGCGGGTGGGCAGGCCAGGTTGTCTTTGAGGGTCTTTGTAAGACCAGCAATGCTTAGGTGCCCAGCAGGGATCGTTTTTATCCATGGGGAGATACTGGCAGAAGAATCTCATCTTTTGATAATTTTCAAAAAGAATTGTCCGACAGGTGTTCGCCAGTTGTGTTGAGTTTGTTTTGAGATGGCTCGATCTGCAATAACTCCTTTGGTGAGTCATGGGGCTACAAGTTTGGAGCTTCACATGTTGAAAGCACAGAGATAGATAGAAATGTGTGTCCAGAAAGCAGTGAATGTGTTTGACAGTCTCGCCGGATGATCGAAACGTCAAAAGGTGAAACAAGAAGGAAAACAAAATTGTACGATGTAAAGAGGGAGATATGGGGGGGGGGGTAGACAGACAGATGGATACAGAAAGAGAGAGAAAGAGAGAGAGAGAGAGAGAGAGAGAGAGAGAGAGAGAGAGAGAAGAGAGAGAGAGAGAGAGAGAGAGAGAGAGAGAGAGGGGGGGCAGAGCAAGAAAGCGAGACAGACAGAAAGTCTGAGGAAGAGGGGCAGAGAAGCAGACTGAATAAAAGAGATATAAAAGGTAGTGAAAGTGAAAGATAGAGAAACAGACAGCAGAAGTGATAGGAAGAGAGAGAGAGAGAGAGAGAGAGAGAGAGAAAGAGAGAGAGGAAGAGAGACAGAGACAGACAGAGGAGAGTGAGACAGAGAGAGAGAGAGAGCGTGAGCAATTGAAAAAAAACAGAGACAGACAGAGGAGAGTGAGACAGAGAGAGACAGAGCGTGAGTAATTGAAAAAAACAGAGACAGACAGAGGAGAGTGAGACAGAGAGAGACAGAGAGAGACAGAGAGAGACAGAGAGAGATAGAGAGAGACAGACAGAAAAGAGACAGACAGAAAAGAGACAGAGACTGGAAGCCAATAAAAGAAATTGTCTCCATAGGCCACAGACCTTCCATGAGAATTACCTTCATAATTAACAAAGCAACAAATGAAACCTGCCCACCAAACCTAATCCTGATGAACCACCCTGATGAACAAACCCTTTAATAAGAACATAATTGGATAGAATCCTTCCCTGTCAATGCACATGCTATACATGGCAGCTTATGTTGACCAGTATTAATACGCATGACTTGCTCTATCCTCCCAGTCGATACCCTAAATAACAACCAGTTGCAAGTATCGAACAAAACTGACTTCTGCATTTCCGAAGCATCTAAATTGAATGATCATTACTTCCTTTACAAAACTATTTTATTCCTCATTAAATTATCCATGACTTATTCTTGCTCCAATGTTAACAATGAGACATCTTAAGCACATTAACAGATTAATCATTACTACCTACTGTATTTTTCCCCACAAGAATATCTAATCCTCAGACAGAAAACTTTCGTTCATATTGCTGAAGATGCCCCTATTATTACCAGTAAGAAACTTACCCCGTTCAATTCTTCTCATAGAAGATATCTGTTTGGAGCCAGAAGGGTGTTAATTCATAATGTAAGAGAGGATTTCAGATCACTCCTAGTCCAGAATCTGACCGGTTTTCTATATTTCCTACAATTGATTCAAACCACCGAAGATGGCTTTATCAACAAACTCATACGCTCACCAGCCCTATGGCACAGCTTTCGCCGGGCGTCCTAATTTAAGGATCACGCCATCTTCGGCTGGCAGCAAGTAAGGAGGGGGAGGTCGCATTGCGTTGGTGTGGTGGAGATCAAAATTAAATCGGCCAGATTCTGGACTAGATCACTCCATGCTCTGTAGGGGTATCAGATTTCAGTGATACCTCACATATATGGAGAGGACCAGATAAATGTAACATGACAGTTCCACCAAGACATGAAACTTGAAAATATATGAAAATACTTAAAATTACGAATGAGTGACACCAGGATGAGACAAGTGACTCAAATGTGCTCTTTGAACTTTCAAAGTTTTGGTCGACTTGTACGAGATGATTAACGATGATTAAAGTGCGGGTTCATAGAAAATCAGAAATACGGCATATAGAGTATTACTAGAAACTGGTAAGCTATTAGATGACTATTATGCAAGTTTTAGGTCAACTACATATCGGGTGGTTTATAAAAATACAAATAAAACAACCTCCATAGCATCTGGGATATGCGAGAGATTCGCCGGAAAAAAAAAAAGTTTTCATGCCGTCACAATATGAACCAACCCTGCCCAAGCAGACGACATCCCATAAAGAATGAACATAATTGCAATGCTTATATTTCTCAAATTATAATGAGTTTAGTGTATATAAATGTGATGGAATTTTACACCATTCAAAAAGGGATATGACCCCCATTCTGATAACTTAATTCTTTTGTTTGTAAATACACAGGATATGGGTTAATGAACGATCAAAGAAACCACACTTTCAAATTAAAAAACCTCCGGAATGATAGCTGGACGTCATTATTGTTCCCTCTTGAAACGCCGAACCTGCCGCGGTCTATGCAGCTGAAAATACAATGGCGTCTTATTTTGTTTACAAGCGACGGATTCCTTTTTTTTAATCCTTGCATTTTTTCATCAAAATAATACCATGCACGGGGTTAAGAGTGAGGCAATAGATTAAACATTTTGCCTGAAGGTATTGAAGTAAGAGAAATAACTGAAGAAAAGATAACAAAACAGGCACTGAAATTGTGTGAGATGTCATGGGGCATCGTCTGCTTGTGCACATCATGTTCAACATGTGACGTCATATCTCAGCAGCGACCGGGGAGCTTTTCAGGTGCTATGTCGGGGCTGTATCTAAGCATTTTGTAATTGTTAATAATCATTACTTCGAATGTTTCCAAGCACTGGCTTTTGATAACCTTGGCCAATCAAAGTGTCACCTTTGCAATGATGACATTAAAGTTAGTTTTTTAAATCAATGAACCTTCTCTTTAACAGTGTGTTGAATGAGATGTTATATTTTTCTCCACTTCTATGTGCATGTAGCAAAAACATAAAAGGTACCGAAGTCACAATCTAACAATTTTTATGGGAAAGAGGGAAAGATCCTTCACTTTCTGTACATTTTCTCTTCAATTTTGATGCAAATAGCATTTCCAATTGATTTTGTGTCAGAGCTAAGTACATCTTGATAGTACCTTACACCTCATCAGTATTCAACATATAAACCTACAATCTATAATGTATAAGGCATCCCCGGTATGTTCTTGTGCAATAAAAAAAGTTCACATTGAACAAATCAAATGCCCCCAAATCATAAAATCTGTTGACTCGATGAAGCAACGATCTACATGATGATCTGGATAAGAAGTTCCAGCAAACTTTGCGACCAACAATATCCAGTAACTAAAACTCTTTTAAACAAAAGAGGATTAAATAGTGTAAATCCTGTTGAACTTTCACCCTGTGCATTAAGTTGAATATACATAGGATACCCTATGGCTTTTCTTCTCTATGGGAAATAGCGGCAGTGGTCAGTAAATGGAACTATTACAAAGTCTGAGCGGTTGAAAGTACTTCTCACTCTCTAACTTTTTGTCCTGCTTGTCGCGAAAAAGGGAGACTGGAATTGGAACAAGGGCCTGCAAAAATACCTGCCAGCTAGCGTAAACAATATTTTGATAGGAATTGATACCGCGCTGAACAAGAAACTTCTACTGCTGCACTGAAATATGTCTGTAAGGTTGGAAGTCTGACTGCATGGTTTTCCCACTTTGTATCAACATCGCAACTATGACCGAATATACAAGTACCGGTATGTACAAGATGCAAATCTTTGGCTTGGTTAGGGAGCTGCAACTCCTCTAAAGCAGTATATATGGGTAATGGGTATGTCTTTAAGTTAAACAGGAAGAATACAAGAAAAGAATAGAAGGCTAAGTTGCAATTTGATGTTTTCAAAATTGATTACCAATCCCTTAAATTACAACATTATTTTCTTATCGCGTAAATCTGACAAAAATAACTAATTTCTGCAATAAAACTAACATAAATGTAATTTTGGTACTGATTTCAATTATGAGGGCATGTATTTGATCTCATAATGATGAAAGATTGAAAATCCCTAGACCATAGTGAAAGGAGAGGATGAATGCATGCAGTGGCACAGTGGTTTCTTTCAAAGAATTCATTCTTCTTCGTCTACAGGGGGCTCATCTATTTTTCTCTTTATATTCTTTATTTCTTCTTCTTCCTTTTTTTTGGGGGGGGGGGGCACGGTTCTATGATTGTTATAAACTTACCTTTGCCATTTGTGCCAGGATGTTCTTTTCTTGTAAGTCCTTGGTTGCTTTCTGGGCTGAGAGGGCGTTATCAAAGTCAACGAAGCCATAACCTGGATAGAGAGAGATGATGGAGATTTTAAAAAAGTTACAAAAGTTACAAGTTCATGGGATCTTCTTGTATTTATACATTTGAAAGTGAGATAACTCTGGTTGCAAGTCAAACCTGCTTTAGTAACCACCGGTCTACAAAGACCACATTTTTTGTTTCCCTTGAAAAGGTTTCTCATTGAAACATGCACTAAAGGAACCTGTCTACAAAGAGTTTGTTTTCCTTGAGTGGTCACTAAAGACATGTTTGATTGTATACAGTCATAGATTGAAAATACAGGATATACCAAATTCAAATCTCATTCAATAGAATTAAGCGCTACATGTACATGTAAACAAACATATAAAAATATACAAATGTACATTGAAATATTAAAATGATTATCAATGGGTACTTGTTTAGGGCATGGACTAGGGTCATGATGGAATTCAACATCCCTTATCAACAATCAAAGATACACAATAAATAGAAATAATAAATAGATTATAAAGTTTTACCCGAGAAAAAAAAATCTTTGCAGTTCTCAACAGAATATATATAGGCACATTTCTTCACCCTTTCAATAGCTCATGCTTTATTTACAAATCTCAAGGGAAGGTATTGGTCAAAGGCGCATAAAATGTTGGCATAAAATGGAGAGAAGTTAGCTCAAGTATGTGTGTTTGTGAACGAGGGTTTGGGAAACAAAAGAAAAAACAGGACAAAAAAAATTGTCTCGCCTTCATCCGTGTCTAACATCGGCTTTGGATCACAGCATGCAGGGCAAAACATTATTTGACGATTCTTATACAAGATTGTTGTAACAATCAATGATCCCTAAAGGGCATTGTACATCAAGCGTCACACCTTTGCACATAATACGACACCAGCGACCCGCAACATTCATTCAAAATTTAATCTTCCGAAAATGAGTTTCCATGTGGGGCAAACTCAATGAGAACCAGAGTGGTGTTAAGTCCTACATTTAAACATGCAATTAACACCTTTCAGGTTTCAGACTCTCATCGGATGAGAATACAGAGAGAGAAAAAAAAAGAGAACATTTTCACAGCTCTGGATGTTGCCACATAGGTAGGGTAATGAGGAGATTAATAATAGAGAATTCTCGGGCGGAAGAAGTGTTGGAAAAAAGGTCGTTCGCTTCTCAGATGAAAGCGTCTAATTAATTTATAAATGATAAGATGATGAAAGGAAGGAAGGGCACAGGGGGCAATGCAGCATTTTACACTAAAATATAGTCCATGGTGATTTATCCAAATTTGCATTTTTTCTTGCTTTTTTAGAGCAACCGAAGGCTGGAGACGGAAAGGTTTGTGGTATACTCAAAGTATTTAATGGAAACACAAAGTTTCAACTTGCAGTGAGGTCTTTAAAAATGTTAAATGAAACTTAAAGATGCAATAAAAACCCCAAGTATGCAGCTATGATGTAGCACCATATATAGCTGAAGCTATGAAATATAACTTTTATATATATTTTAATACAATTTTTTGTTTAATGTTTAGCATTCTTGTGGAGAAAAATCAGCATGATTGGATTTATTTATGCATTTGTTTCTCAACAGAAGATTGCATTTCGCCTTTAAATAGTCTTTCATCTCACACCTAGATCTTCCCCATATAAACCCTCTCTCTCTCCTGCCTCCCCCTCCCCTCTCTGTCTTCTGTCTGTCTGTGTGTCTGTGTGTCTGACTGTCTGTCTGTCTGTGTGTCTGTCTCCCTCCCTCTCTCTCTCTCTCTCTCTCTCCTTCCTCTCTCTCTCTCTCTGTCTCTTTCTTTCCACTCACATCAATTTAAAGGTATCATGATTAGGAGCACACTCTTCCATTAAATGTCTCACATTCGGTGGATGAAAAAAAAATGAAAGCTCTTTCTCGCAAATGTCATGGCATCTCCTCATGAGTGTCTTCTTCTTCTTCTACGCTTCCGTCGCAAGTCTGTCGAATCTATCAGTATCGCACCATTAACTAAATGAAGACGCTCTGCTCCCTCCATCCACTTTATTATTGCTCTGCACTTTCTTCTTAATACACCCATGATTATACTTAATATCATGTTCTTTTAGGCTGGCTACATTTTGCTTTGTATCATTAAGAATTGGAAATAAATTTGAGAAAGAGGGACTCATAAAAACAGCTTGTTTGAGCTGTTAATGTTCCTCATTATAGTTCTCATAAACTTTTTTTCAGGATGTTTGTCGATCACATGATTGGGGTTATTCTTGGAGAGGGGGAAGGTATAATGGGAGAAGAAAGTGTGAAGAAGTACTCTTAAGAATGTCTCTTGGCTAATAGAGGAAGAAGTGCAACTTGGATAGAATGAGTGTTTGGAAGGAGAGAACGTGAGAAACAAGGAGAATGAATGAAAAAGAAACAGAAGGAAAAGAGGGTGATGTTAATGTAGAAGAGACAGGGAGGGGAAGAGGTAGAGGTAGAGGTAGAGGTAGAGGTAGAGAGGTAGAGAGAGAGAGAGAGAGGGAGGAGAGAGAGAGAGAGAGAGAGGGAGGAAGAGAGAGAGAGAGGTAGAGAGAGAGAGAGACAGAGAGAAGAGAGACAGAGAGAAGAGAGACAGAGAGAAGAGAGAGAGAGAGAGAGAGAAGAGAGGAGAGAGAGAGAGAGAGAGAGAGAGGGAGGGGGTGTGGAGAGAGAAACAGAGACAGACATACAGACAGACTGATAGAGGACGAATAATGATCGAGTGTGGTATCATATAGACACCACTGGAAGAAGAAATGAGTCACCCTGGCAACCGTTCATCACATCAAATATTGAACAAAATTGTTAAGATAGTTTACGCAGGTTTTTCCATTTTCGTTTTTTATTCTCGGAACACGGAAGGAAATTCAATTTCAGTTAACCATATTGAATTACTATTTGGTTTTATGTTCCCCAGAGCCGCACAACAAATACCATAATGGGGTGGGACTGGGATACATCAATTTCCCTTCTGCAGCTCCCAATTTTCATCCAATTTAAAACTAACAATTCAATTTCTTGTAAACAGGGTGCTAGCTTTTTGGAGGCAATTTTCAGGAAAATGATCCAACCAGCTACGAAGGGCAGGGACAGGCAGATCCAGGCGGATCCGTAAACTTGCAAGTGATCTAACGGCTTTTTACCATTGGCAGTGTCAACGTCCTCAAAACCCTTGACCCCTTGAGATGTGACCTTCTGCAGGTCAACCCTATCCCATGTCATAAACATACTGTCATGATGGTATTTCTTTTGAGAGGCATGCCTGTCTACAATTCTCTGAAAAGGGGAATGTTTCAGACTTTACATTGATTATAATAGGATCATTATTCCTGAAATATCGGTCTCAAAATAATTGGAGCAGTTTGAGAGTTTCCATCATTTTTGTGGAACTACATGTAAACCACCTGCCACCTTGTTTTTTTGAGATATTAATATGAGATCTGTATTAATATAGTTGCATTATCTGGAATAGAATACATTTTACTACTAATAACTGTAAAATTACATTAAAAACAAGTTAGATCGAATATTTTACATTTTGATAACGAGAATAATGTCTTGTGAGCTTGGATAACACTTTAACACAGAAGTTGTGATACTACCCAAATCAAGTCAGGATTTAATCAACTCTTGGTCCAAATGATTGAAATATGACAATATTTGTAATTCTGAGTGAAGGTAAAATCACTAAATATTTAAGAATCTATATTTGCCAAGCAGGTTGCAAATATGGCTTGAGGAATATTCATTTCTTCTAACAAACTCAGAATCAAAACAAACTTAAATCTTTGACTGTCATATTACACAACCACAATAATAATGTAGCTGATCATTCCCTTTAATCAAAACTATAAGGATACCCTCCAACATCTGGATATCTTGTTCATAATTGGCAGTCAAAATTCCACCATCTTCCCCATCAATAGAAACAGCTTGGTGATTTACAAGTGTCATCTTAAAGGTCAATGGCAAAATCTTCCTTGCTTCAGTCTAAATCGTACCCCATGGATTTGTTAAAGATAGAGTAGACTATTGGTCATGCCATTGCAATGGGAAGGAATTTGTCCGGAAACAGTTCTGAAAGGTTAATTTCGTAGTATAGGCCAATGAGAATTGGTATAAATGTACCAATTTTGGAAACATCAAAATGATAAGATAATGATTGACTCAACCTCATTGACAACCAAATGCAGGACACACAGTCACAGAAATGAGTGAATGGGACTACACACAAACGTGATATGATCAGTCCACATTTTTCAGCTATTTCTTGTCATATTTCAAACAATGCAGCATTTTTAAGAGCAATCCCTTTATAGGATACCTTTCTGCTATGATGTTCTTCCAAACTGACATACAAAGTATGAGAAACAGATTAACAGAGCTCACAAAATATTTTAAAAACTTTACCAGAACTCAACCTTCTCTTTAAAGCTTGACAGTGTAAATTTTTCCTTTCTGCTGTCTCAATCAGACCCAACGGAACCCTTAAGGGCTGGCTACCCCAAATATTCAGATTTGATGGTAAGTAGGGGGACAACAAAACTTGAAATGTATGAAAAGAAATCATTTCAAATTGCACATATACCATTCATGCAATAGTTAAAGGCCTTACGTTGGAATTCTTGGTCATAAAGGAGGATGCCATTTGAAAAAATTTCATATCATTGAAATGATAAATTCCAAGAAGTAGAACTGAAATTCATTAGATGTCCAACTACTTTTTATTTGTGGAATTATAACATATCCCAAAACATCTTTAATCAATCCTTACCGGTATTCACTGATTATTCAACTTTTTCATACTACCTACTGTAACTACTAAAAAGAGAAAAACATGGGCAAAATGAATAGAGCCTACTCGATCAAAACTCTCCTATTGTAAAGTCAATTGTCTCTTGAATGGCACACTGGTGGATGGTGTCATACCAGGCAAGCCTCAGGCAAAGATGAAAGTGGCAAAATGGAGGAAATTAAAGCATTGAGAAGATGAAAGTGGTGAAAGACTGAACATCAAGGCAATACAGTATGAAAACACACAGCTATAATTATTGCCAATATAATCCACATACATATGGGAAAGGCAAAAGGGATAAAGCTGGCAATCAAGAGAAAAACAGAAGATGGGATAAAAATCCCCTTTGGTTGTCATAGCAACCGATGACTTACCTTTACATTGCTTTGTTTCCTTATCAAGTATTGCCTTAGTGGATACAATGTTTCCATATCTGTAGAGAAAAGAGAAAGAAAAGAAAAGAAAAGAAAGAAAAAAATACATCGTAATTATATTTAAAAAAAATAACTTTGTTACTTCATTTCAGAGAAATTTGATAGAAATGTTGACATTTTGATTACAACTGATAATCCGCTTACTTGGACTATCTTATCAAAATGTCCCTTTATCACGATAAACAACAATATTTCTCATGCAAAGAGTATCATATTAAACAAAATGATTGATGAAGGAAGAAAATGACACATTTTATTCCTTTAATAACAAAAGTCAAGTACATATTTCTCAAGGAATTCTTTAACTGAATTAACAGATGGATTATATAATCTACAGGGGGGGGGGGGTTTCCCCTTGGATGTTACACAACACAAATTCATTTATAGTCACTAAATTTTGGGCTAATAAGATTAAACTAACATCTATCAACTCCTGCCAGGCAAAGTTATGCTGACAATTTGATTCAATTTCATATGGTGAGGGATAAGGCTGTCTGCTATGCTAGTCAATCGAATCAGTGAAACTAAATGAAATATGACTGGGATGGCGTGTTTTGGGATGACGAACAGCAAATTAAACGCAAAAATTAAGTAAATTGATGATTTAGGAGGGTGAACAGAACTCTAACCATTTTCATCTCCAGGATTGAGGCCTAATCCTTGTTACTACTGTATTGTCTCTGTCTCATAACTTCATAAGCATACTAGTACAGGCATTTCTCATAGGAAATGGGTGGTCAAATATAAGCACTTGTGATGATTGTTCCAGTTTTATTTTCATAGGGTAATGGTTAGGATGGCAAGGCATCTGGGATTATAATTTATGTTGAGGTTTAGGTTTAGTGTTTGTTCCAGGGTTGAAGCAAATGATTTGGGCTAGTGTAGGGCAACCAACAGTGGAGATATTGTATGTCACAGGAGCTTGTGTCATGTAACAATGCAATGAGTTTATTAATCTATTGACTCCTGGATCCTGTTGGCTCCTGTATTAAGCCTATGGGAATTAAACAATTCAGAATTCAGCAGGTTAATTAGGCTGTGGCTTGAAGAAGCTTGGACTTCACCCGAAAAGAGAGGGGAGGGAGCAAATCCATCTATCGGTTTCCCTCCCTCTTGGCCATCGACCACAGCTAGCGCCCCCCTCCCTGAAGACTAGATATCACTCAGACGAGATGAATTTGTCGCAATTGAAAAGCCAAGTATCCCATCACGCACCACCGCACTTGGCACCTCCGAAGCCGCAGTCATTACTTCCTGTTGACCAACTTTAACCAGCTTTTTCTCTTTTTTTCCCTCCCGTTTTCCAATTTCCATGATTCAAAAAAAAAATTCACCGCCGATGTACTATCCTATCAATATTGCCCCGTCGCGTCATTTCTCGATCTGTGTCGTGTCTTTAGTTTTGCGTTAAGATGCATATTGAAGTTTAATCTACCACTCTTCTTGTCTCTCCCGCATAATTTCTGGAGGACCATAGTGCCACTACTTCTGAAGAAGTCCTTGAGAGACGCCAAATGCATGGCATGCCAACAACACCAGAGGGAGATGAATTTTATTTTCTGTTTTTCTGGAGATATCTCCGGCTTGACCACTTGTGACCACACGGATGATTATTAATATATCTACTGCTCATAGATGATGAGGAAAAGTGTCAAAAATGATACGAGGATGAGTGTGACGGTACAGGAAGAGAGGTATAGAGATTAGACAAATCTAAGAAGGAGGGCATGAGAGACAGAGAGATGGGAAGAGAGAGATGGAGTGAGGAAAGAGAAGGCAAAATGACAGAGAAAAGGTGAAAGTAAGAGGGGGAGAGAGAGAGAGAGAGAGAGAGAGAGAGAGAGAAAGGGGTGGAATGAAAAAGAAAGAACATAAAGAAGGAGAGGAGAAGGTAAAGTATATTGAAACAGGGAGAGAGGGGGAGAAGGGGAAAGAGGGAGAGGGAGAGAGGGAGAGAGAGCTGGGAGATATGGGAGTTTTCAAACAAACAAATTGGTCATTACTTTGTACTTTCATATATCCAGGGTATAAAAATCGCAGACCACACAAAATCTTGAACAGATGGGAAGAGGGCTTTGCTAAATACAAGGGGGCACCCTCTACCCAGAACAGCGTTCTATTTCCATGATCCAGAAACAAAAGTCCTCATAAATCCATCCAGAAAATTCTTCCACTAATCTCAAAATCATCTGTGCAGCGATACTGTCTCTCAGTCGTCTGTTAGTCCATGCTTTTTACTTTGTAATATTCTTCAGGGCTTCAAGCAGTCTGCAAGGGCCCTCCTTCTGAGATCAAGCTGAAATATTAATGTGTTCCATTTTTTTAAAATTGAGGTACTGGTTATCAAGAGGCAGATTAGTAATTCAGCCCATTTTCTCAATGAATGCTAATGTGAATTTCATTATACATTGTGGGATACCTGATAGGAATTTATTCCTTGAAATGCTAGAGCGCCGTATTATGGCAGCCATGCTAAAGCCAGGGTAATGATCGGGAGCGCCAGGAGGGTCAAATCTGACTGACATGAGCGCTATACAAGAACCCATTATTATTATTACTCCTGTATCAAATAAAGGAGTATATCCCACAATCTAGGAAATTATTTCATAAATGGAAATGATTGCCTTTTATGTTTTATGTTGAGATATGTATTTCAAGACTGGGATAAGCTACCATAGGCATAGTTCCATGCATGGCAAAAATACCTCTGACAATATACTTCTAAAGTTTAACCCAAACAAATATAGGGGGAGGGAGGAGGGGACATTCTCAAATATTGGAGTAGATTTTCCTCAAAAATATGAGACTGTGATTTGAGACACAAGCTGTTTTCTGGCTAGCCCTTCATGGTGTCATCAGCTGATGCATTCTGGGTATCGGTTAAACCAGGTCTTGGGGTTATGAAAACACGAGGGTCTTGGGTAGACCAAAATGGGGGATCCTGAAGCTTTCAAAGGTTTATTTTATTATTATGGAAGCTAATCTTGGAAGGTATACTAGACTGTACACATGTTTTCCTTATAGCTTTGAGGGGAATAGAACAAGTGTCCTCTTTGATGTCAAGATAGAGATGATTTATCAAGGGAATTGAAACCCATAAAGGAAGGGATGATCTATCAGGTTGGGAACAGAATGCAGTACCATTTGAGCCAGAGAATACTTTTTCTTCAATTTTCAATTAAAAAAGTGAGTTTTTATCACAGTGATTGTATATATCTTACCGTTTTATTTTATATAAGAATTTTTTCCCCTTATTTGTCCAGATTCCCTTTTGAGTTTCCCAGTGAATAACTCTGTTCAAGTAGGCCAATGTATTTTTCACTGATACAAACCAACAACTGAGTTTTAAAAAAAATATCTTGAGCTCACATTACCATTTTGAAATTGGATGTGACCATTATTCCACTTCCACTCATATATCAATGCTCACTTAGAAGACAATCCTCTCTCAAAAACCAGCAAAAGAAGAAGTAGGTCCATCTACTTTTAAGCTAAGGAATAAAGGAAAACGTGGCAAACTGAGAAACCTGATCACCAACGAGATCCACTCAGAAAGTAAGTCTCCCACAGAACGTTAGACATTCATGAACCCCCCCCCCTCAACCGCGACAGACAGACCTACTTCTTTTAACCATGAAAGAGCATAATTTTAACACTTTATGATTTTGCAAGATTTGAACATTATACATGTTTCAGGAAGCCAGAAAGGCATTGACTGATATGCACATAGTATAGTCAGCGTCCATTTGGCTGTGAACGAATGATTTCATACATTTGACATTCTACCAAAACCGAAACTTCGATCATGTCTGCTTCTGGGAGCTTCTGGTTTACGGATGCACTTACAAAAAACAACGACTAATTCCCTGCTCCCTGCTTTTTCTCGGCCAGGGATGGAATATAAAGCAAATTCCCTACTCATCTTCTTCGCCATGTATCAAATTTCCGATTCTACTTTAAATGGCATTTTGGGTAATGAGAATCTAACAGGAGAGCAAAGGTCGCCTGGCATTAGGTTTAATTTGATTCACGAAGGTCAGAAACCACATCTTTCTCCCGTCTTGCGCTTTATTTTCTCCCTTTCTCCTCATTTTTTCGGCAAGGAAAATTTCGCGGAATGATTGATGATGCGCTGATTTGATGTGAAACGAGAGACGTGCTGGTGAAAAAATTTGGAGGGAGAGGCTTGGAGTGATGTGATGTGAAAGAAGACTGGTATCATTTCTCATTTGTGGTTTGATATAGGAAGCAGTGGTCAACTAGTGTGGAAAAGGAGAGAGAGATGTGCATGACTGGTAGAGTAGTGTGGTCAATTTGGGGATGCCATCCACAATCTACATCTAATGCTTTTGGTTAGGATAGAAGTGCTTTCCAGATGCAAGGCTTCATTTTCAGAGGAAAGATTATGCATTTATACATTGAAAACCACTTTTCAAAGACATTTTACTGAAGATGAAGAAAAAAACACCTTGAAATTAAAATTTACCGGAGGACTCCGCACTAACTTATCTCATCTCAACGAGCTGCCTTCTCCCACACATATCATGATTATACCTTAAAACTGGAAATAAAAAACATCAATATCACTAAATAAACATCATTCACTCCCCCAATTACCACTCTACCCTTTAATGGTGTCATCTAACGGATGAATTAATGCTTCAAATGGAAAAAGAAAATGGCAAATACATAAAAACAGAATCCAATCTATCCAGAAGATCAATTTACAATGAAGGGAAACAAACCAATTAGACGTGAAACGACAGCAAACAATGGCTATATTTATACATTGGTTATCACATCATCATGAAATATCTGTGTTGGACGCTATTAATAGAAAGTTAGAGGGAGCCCTTTTGAATGATAAAAAGGGAAGATAACCGTTCACGGTTAACCCTGGTAATAAATTTCATCCGTGGAATGCTATTTTATCTTTCCATCCTCCGAAAAATCTTTCTATTCTTCTTGTAAGTGAAGTCGAGTACTGATGGATTATTTT